TACAGGCGTTTTCACCGCCTGAATGTGGAATGTGCCCATATTTTGCACTATGAATGTGGGCAAGTTGTTCCCCTCTCAGTTTTGTGTGAGCACACTTAATGTTTATGTACGATTTCGTACGAGGTGATGCATTATTTTCAACCTGTGTACCGTCGTGCATAAAATTGTGCGTGAATTTGCATAAATTTATGCATGATACGCATGATATGCAAATTCCTCGTATGCACAAAATCGTGCAAGTTGGACGCAAGGGGAAATTACTCCAGCCAAATTTGTACACCGCGAAATTCATCAAACATGTAAAATTCACTACAATTCATCAAAATTCCACTGAAATTCATCGAAATTTGACTGAAATTCATCGACATTCGACTGAAATTCGTCGGAATTCGACTGAAATTCATTTGATATGTACACCGAAATTCACAGTGATTTCCCCTTGGTTGGACGTACAAAATTCTACCTTAACATATAGTGTGAGTACCAACTTGTTTGTCCGCAGGCCGCGGCCTGGCTCGCCGCCGCCCAGGCCATCATGGTGCCCAGCGGCAAGGTGGGCCCCATCGTGCCGCCCACGCCGCGGCCGCGGCGCACCGTGCCGTCCTCCACGTCGGCGCCCGCCCCGGTCTACGAGGAGCCCGAGGACCCCTCGGCCAACGAGGTCGACGGCGGCCAGCGCTACCAGCCGCCAGTGTACCGGCCGCCCCTGCTCAAGCACCTCCTGCTGCGGTCGCACTCGCTCAAGTTCCGCCAGCTGTACGCCCACGAGCTGCCCAGCTACTTCCAGAAACAGGTACGAGACAATGAAGACGGACTCACACTGTCATTCACTGTGGGAAAAAATCACAGTAAATCCTGTAGTGATTAGTACAGCTGTCACTGTAGTTCAGAGTACAGGATTTACTGTACTTTTTTACAGGATCTACTGTACTTTGTACGGGATTTACTGTTACCACAGGAGTGGAGTACGGAATATCCTGTACCAGGTACAGTAAATGCTGTAACCAGGCACAGTAAATACTGTGTCCTGAACTACAGTAAATCCCGGCAAAAAAATTAACGGGATTTACTGTGGTTTTTTCGCACAGTGTTCCTGCACTGTGAGAAAAAAGTACGGAAAAAGTGCGGAACATGCCTGGTCAATAATTTGCCTGGAACGTCCGTACTTGCCACCTACGGAACGTTCCGTACTTTTTTTCCGTACCCATTTACATGGGTTCATATGGAGCAAGTACGGAACGTTCCTTTCTCCGTACCTCCGTACTATATTTTTCTGTACCAATTCCGTACAAAAGTACGGAATTTTTTTACAGTGGGGACGTCGCGTTGAAACGAATGTGACAAAATGCGAGGGGGCAACGACTTGAAAATTTCGTGTCAGCTGGATTACGGATTACCTCCGGATTACAACAAAAAATTTCCTGGATTACCTTTGGATTAAGTCGGACTACCCCGGACTATCTAAAAATTTTCCGGGATTACCCCGGATTACCTCCAAATTTCAGGTCATCCGATTACGAATTACCAATTCGCTGTCAGCTAAATTACCGAAGTCGTTACCCCCTCAGACAAAATGTCACGTTCCTTTCAGCATTTTGCCACTTTCGTTTGAATGTGAATGAGCTAGTTCATTGCCGATTCACATCCAAACGAATGTGACACTATGCCCAAAAGAACGTGACACTTTGTCACATTCGTTTCAACGCGATGGCACGTTCCTGGCATGAGAGTGAACGCACTAAAAATTGATTGGTCTGACACACAGCGACTTTTACACTTTCACAGTGAATAGGTGTGAATATTTCAATGTTGGGCTTGCTTGTCTGCCCTTGTCCGAATGACTCCAGCCCATGCTGCAGCAGTACGCCGCGGGCCTCGCGCTGTGTGGGCGGTGCGTGGCCCTCATCTGCATAGCAAAGCTGCAGCGAAGCACTGCCACTCGTCATCAGCGTCCATAACCGCGAGGCAGGCAGGCAGGCCCGGTCGGTGGATCGTTCTTGTCCGAGCGGCCCCGGCAGCTCCACGCCCCCCCCCCCTTTCCCCCGGACTCTATTTGTTTAACGGTGGGAGATTAGCATAGAAAAACGCTCACGTAAACATTGTTAAAGAAATGCACCAGCGTCACCATTCAGACAGGGTGAGTTTGAGGATTTGAGACCAATGACGCGAATTATTGCACGTGGTTGTGCAAAATGGACAAGCATTCAATCAAGCAACAGCCAGAATTGTTCCATAAAATTGGGTGTGTGTCCTTGGACGAAAAAAAGCGGGCATTCATCTAATAGACCACGGAATCTGAATTTGGGGTTGTTAAGCGTCTCAGGGAGTGCATATACATCCATCTCGTTATTATTGGCACAGTAAACGCCTGCAAATAAATTAATTCACGTTCCTTGGGCATTTGTGAGTGAGTGATCAATCAGAACGCAGAACAAAAAAAACCGGAGCTATGCTTCCCAGACTTTTTTTCCTGTGTGGATTATCTTTAGCAGGACAGGATCGCTTCATTAATTCCAATTACTTGATTACTTTTGTAAAAAAAATAACACGAAAAGGTTGTAAAGTTGGATGGTCGCAGTGTGGGCCCGCGCAACACGACGTTGGCGTTATGAGTCGTGGCGGCGATGCACCGATAGCGGGCATCGTGTGTCTCGCGCAGTAAAGCTCTAATTGGATCGTCAGCGCGCAGGGGCTGACTCCGAGGGGCGCTCTGTCTCTCTCGCACTCACTGCGCGTTCCGTAGTGGTGCGAGAGAGACAGAGCGAAGATGCACGGTTCGGAAACAGGCCACTCGCGGGGCCGCGGTCTTGCAAGGCGCCCCAGCCAGCAGGGGGTCGCTAACGTAACCATTTCCCCCAATTCAGGGTGGGGCGCTTGGCCGACGAAGTAAAAGTACGCGTATTTTTTAATTAAACGGTAACAGTTCTGTTTTTTAAACGCGGGTCACTAACTCCTGAGGTTTGCGTCCGCACTCCAAACCTGCTGTAGAACTTTGATGCCATTATTGAACATCACTCTACAAACGCAAGTGTCCACACACTTAAAAATGTATGCCTACATGCACACTGTTCTAAAGTGTGTGCCTGCAGGCACACAAAACAATGTGCTTGCGAGGCACATACTTTAGAACAGCGTGCCTGACCGATACTGCTAGGGTCCTGGTCACACAGTTAGACACTGTGTGGTTCCATGCACACTGTTCAAAACAGTGTGCCATGCAAACACTTGCGATTGCAGAGCAGTATTTGCCAAGGACTTTGTTCCAGTGCTTCATCAAACTTAAGGACAATCAAGTGACCAAACATTTTCTCAAACGATCTGCTTCGGAACCTATGGCTTGATTTAAAATATCATCAGGTCAAAATTACGAGGTCTACATACCTCCTTTAGTTCAACATATGGTGGAAGCAGGACACAGGAATCCTTACACGCAGACGACCGGGCAGTGGAGCAGGAGCGGTGCACTCTTTGCTCGCGCAAGGAACCTGCCAGTGTTCTCAAACGGGCGGTCCGGCTCGGCCCATCCCGTCCTGGCGCTGCTTGGCCAGAGCGCCCAGCCCGGCCCGCCACTCTGAGCATGGGCCGGGTGGCGGCCCGGACCGTCCAGAGGAGCGGGCCGTCGCACAACCCGCTCCGATCGGCACCACGCTTGGCTTCGGCTGCGTAGCCGAGCTCGCAACGCGCTGGCTCACTGCGAGCGGCGGTCGGTTCGATCCCAGGCAAGGCAGCGCGCCGCTCGGCAGCCATCCTTGTCTAACCCACTGGCCGCCTTGAGTGCGAGAGAGATGCAAGATGTGCTCGCTCGTCGAGCGCCGATCACACCTCCGCCGCCGGTCCACTGGCCGCCGGCGGCCGGTGACAGAGGCAGCCGAGCCGAAGGCAGCCGAACCCAGCTCGGTGCCTCGGACGTGTCCCGCAAAATTCGGACGGGAGACCGACGGCCCATCATCGTCCACTGCCTAGGCGGTGGGCCGAGCCGGACCGCCCGTTTGAGAACACTGGAACCTGCTCAGCAAAACCAACACACCGCCCTAATGCGCCTTCTGAAGCGAGTGTGTATGAATAGGGCGCCAGGAAGCGCACAAAAGCCAGTATGCGGCTCGCAACAAATACCCGGAAAAAAGGCTGGTCGCGCTGGGAAAGGATATACGCAGTGGGAATACGGTGGGGTGGGGAGGGGGCGAAGACGAGGCAAGGGCTAAATTAGCCGCTTCCATGCAGCGAAGCCACCCATCGCAGACCCTGCAGCTCTTTGTGTGTTTGTGTGTGTGTGTGTTGGTGTGTGTTGGTGTGTGTGTTGGTGTCTTGTGTGTGTGCGCGTGCCTGAGCCGTGCAGTAATTCCTAATTAGGCCCACCGCGTTCACACTAAGCGCGCCAAGTCGCACGGCTCGGAGTGTCCCACATTCGACAAGAGTTTTGTTTATTTACGACCTCTTTTATACACAAGCACATGAACACACAAGATATCCAAAAGCACACAGGTAATTGCGTCAACCAATCAGCTCGCGATAACGACACAGAACACAACATTGCATTGGCCGAAAAATCTAACTTAGTTCGTAACATAAAACCCAATCACATAAAAAACATTTACGGGTACTGCGTAGTATTCTTCTTAAAACCTAAAGCTTACATCCAAAATAAAATTGTCCTGGCAATCAATTGTGATATTAAAAAAAATGGGCACACAGAATATATAAAGTTATAATGAATCACAGAAAAGTTGACGGATAATACCCAGCTGTTGGCAGGGGCACTTATTATTTTTTCAGTCCTGTGCCCTAAAAAGAAAAGAACACTGAAAACGTAATGGTCGGACACATGGCCAAATAATGCCGTGACAAAAAGTTACGCCAAAAATTGGCGTGACACGAAATTCACGACGATAAACGGCATGACATGTGTGTCACGCTGTCATTTGGCGTGAATGACAAGGGGTTTTATGAGAAAAGTCACGCCAAAAAGCGGCATGACAAGAAATTCGCAATAAAAATTGGAGTGAATTTTTGAGTCACGCCGATATATGACATGACTTTTCTGTCATGCCGTTTTTGGGGGTGACACTTTATTCGCGCGCCCCTGCAGCGGCACGAAGTCACGCCGATAGATTTTCAGTGAAGAGTCCTAGGTGTCCCCGCGGTGAAGTGCTCGTGGGCATGGCAGCAACGACTCGTCGCCTTCCTGGAGGCCAAGACCCGCGTCACCACGGGCAAGGGCCCATCCTCGTCCTCGGGGACGCCGCCCCCGGGGTCGATATGCCAGACCAGGGTGTGTGGCCCACTGGCCTAGTCCCTGATGGTGTCGAGGATCCAGGGCATGTAGTGCGCCACCCTGGTGTACACGCCGGGCCAGCCGCGCGTGCCGCAGTTGCGGGGCCCGAAGGCCACGACCCCCGTGCTGAACCAGCGGATGTCGCCGCTCTCGTGCAGGTCGGGGCCCATGAGGGGCCCGCCGCTGTCGCCGTTGCAGGAGTCCCGGCCCTGCGCGCCGCCGGCGCACAGCTGGCCGCCGCTGCTGAGGCGCACCGCCGCCTTCTGGTACACGGGCTGGCAGTCCGCGTTGGACACCACGGGCACGGCCAGCTTGAGCTTCACGTCGCTCTCGGAACCTGCAGGCAGAGGGGCGTTAGTCGTCGGCCGGCATGCACCCTACCCGCAGAGGCACACGCGGATACTTACGCGTCTCCGTCTTGCCCCAGCCCGCCACCCACCGCCTCTTGCCCACGTAGGACTTGGCGGCGACTTCGCTGCTCGCCGGCAGGCAGATTGGCGCGATCCAGTCTGGAAACGGGAAGAGGGAGAGATTAGGCACGCAAACACGGGACGACGTGTCGTCGGGGCGATCCGGGCCGCAGAGAATTCCTTACCAGTGAACTGCACGTCCCTCGAGAGCCTGAGCAGGGCGATGTCGTGGTAGTGGTTAGGGTCATTCTTGGCGTACTCAGGGTGCGGGATGGCGCGCTCGACGGGCACGTCCACGGCGGGGGCGGCGCAGATCTGGCCGCCGAAGAAGTCCGGCCTGCAGTCCGGGCTGGTCTTGGTGTCGTGCTCGCCCAGGCGCACGCTCACGCTGCAGGCGAAGGAAGGCGTCAAGTAAAACGGGAACGCCACGCACCAGCATCAGATGGGGTGGCCGAACGAAGAGCCTCTCGTCGCCGTCTCTCTCGCGTCCCTACGTGACGCCCCACGAGTGCGACAGAAACAGCGTCGAAGGCGCACTTCCCTGGCCGGTCGCGGCGCTGGACTCACAGTCGGATGGCGTCCTCCTGGACGCAGTGGGCCGCCGTGAGCACGTAGCGCTTGGCGATGAGCACGCCGCCGCAGTAGAAGCCGAGCTGGCCGCGGGCTGCAACGGCCAACACAAGGGGTTAGCGCGGGGGTTTCCGGCTTGCACTCCGAACAGTCTCCTCGCCTCTCTGTCTCCGTTGCTCTCGCAGGGCGTTCGGCAAGGGTGCGAGACACGAGGCCGCGGTACTCACGGCTGCGGTACTCCAGCAGCGCCATCCAGGGGAACTCGCCGAGCTCGGTCTTGTTGCCGCCGAAGATAATGTGCTGGTGGAGGTCGATGCCGCACACGTCCGTGGGCAGCAGGCCGGCGTTGGGGTGGCCGTCGTGCGGGCTGGGGCCGCTGGGCGATTTGGGCAAGGGCGTCACGGGGTCCGGCCGGTCGCTCGTCGCCGGCCTCACGGCGGGGCTCGGCGCGCGGTCGTCCGTGTTCTGGCAGCACACCTGCGCGGCCGGAGGGAGGACGGGTTGAAAAACAGAGACAAGGCATCCGACTTGCAGTGGGTCTTCGACGTCCGCCACGGCCACGGCGACTCGACACCCCCCAGCAAAAGTCTGCTATCTGTGCGAGGCTAAAACATAAGCCGCTATCTGCGTGCGGTCTAATTCTAAAGCCGCCATCTGCGCCGGACCAAAATAAAAGCCGCTAACCAACTTTCCGTTTAGGTTAGGGTTGACATAAACATAGCAAATTACTAATTAACCATTCGGACAATGTTTCTGGGCCGTGGCAAAGTTACTCTGACAAACTTTAGTAACAAACAGGTAAAAGTTTGATAGCGATGTCTGTATTAGTTCTTAAACTATATAGAGTCAAAGTCGCGAGGTGGGGAAAGCAGATAGCGGCTTTTATTTTGGTCCGGCGCAGATGGCGGCTTTAGAATCGTTCGCACGCAGATAGCGGCTTATGTTTTAGCCTCGCACAGATAGCAGACTTTTGCTGGGGGGTGTCGCAATGGATTCCTCCTACGGAGAGCAATGCATTGGTGGGGTCACACGTTCGATTCCCGTTTAGCGAGTGTGGAGCTCAAAACGCGTCCGGAGTTTTGACCGTTTTGACCGCCTCCACCGGTTTTCTGGCCCACCCTGCACGGCGTCGCTACTCACCAAAGGGGCGGCGGCCTCGAAGCCGCACTGGCTGTTGCGCAGGAACTGCACGCTCTCGGGGGGCACGGGCTTCTTCCGGAGCAGCGCCACGAGCGGCGGGCAGCGCACCACGGGGATGCAGGAGCCGGGCCTGTCGTCCGGGGTGAAGCAGGAGCTGCCTGCGCACAGGACGTCGACTTGGTCACAATCTTGGCACCTCACAAATCGATGTCCACCGCCCTTTGTCCCCCGATTTTGTGGTCCAAGAACCATCGATTCGACAATCATCGACAGGAAGAGGTCCTTCGGGTCCGTCTTCTCAGAACACACGGTTAGGTTTCCCGCCTCATGCGCATGTAGGTTGGGTTGCCTACTGGGCGAAATAATGCCCGACAGAGCCGCAGAGTCGGTGCGGTCCTGTTTCGGTTGTGTATTTTCCGGGATTCGATAAATCGAGTCAGATTGTGGTTCAAGACGTAAGACTATATTCCAAAACACTGTTCCTGCTGGCTCCACACACACACACCCTTACTCTAAGCGTTCCTCCAGGCGACTGCCCGGCCGCCCGTCACTCGGCTCGGCTGTCGCCCTGTTCGGCTTCCGCGGTCCGCGGCTGATCAGTATAGCGGTAGGGTTTTCTATTAGGGTCAGCAGTTATGCCGCGCGCCGCGCGACGCCGCTTCCCCCAAATCGTCTTGTCTCCCGCAACATCCGCGGCGCACGGAAATGCTGTCGCCCCGACCCTACCACTTAACATTTTGAAAACTGATTAGATGGTAAATTTTTGAATTACATTAACGAAAATACGGATTGATGAGTGGTGTGGAGCCAATATTACAAATACAGAAAAGTACAGAAATAACAAATTCAAAAAGAGAAATCACATACAAACCACAGAAATACAATCATAGCTAGCACTTTTTTTTTCGAAAACCTATTTTTTTTTTCTGAATTCAAATTCATCTATTCAACGCCATAAACCTTTTCAAACCCATTATTTTCCCCAAAGTAACGTGCGGCGTCGAGGGCCCTGGTGCCCGCTTTTCCATTTTGCATAGCAAGGGCCTGTGACGGCCTGCGGCCGCAGATGGGGAATCCCCGCGAATGCCTTATTAGCCGGTCGCGTCATCGCCAAGGCCAAATCACGGAGCTAGCTAAAACGAGCTGCCTCTCCCTCCCTCCTCTCTCTCTCTCTCTCTCTCTCTCTCTCTCTCTCTCTCTCTCTCTCTCTCCTTCTCCGCGCGATTACCATCCAGGGGCTCTCGCGCGCGGAGTATCGGCGCGGCCCATTAATGTCCCCCGGAAAGTCCGATCCGTGGGAAGAGGGAAGGACGCCGTCCGTCCGTACCCCGCGCGCAGGGGTGTGAAGTGGCGTCTCGCGCGCGGAGTAGCGACGGCGGACCAACGCTCATCTGACTGCGCAGGGGTGTGAACTGGCGTCTCGCGCGCGGACAGCGGGTGGAAACTACTTTTCCGAAACGGGCGTGCAGACGTTTTGTTATCCGTTAACATCGGCCGAACCAAGCAAGCTAGGTAAAATCTGCTTACATTTTCGGAATCATCACAAAATTTGACAGGGAATATGGTACTTTATAGATGGCGAAAGCAAAATGATCATAGTTATTTTGAAGCCTAAAAGCAAATGTGTTGCGAAATATGGCCCTGATCCCATGTCTCGCACTGTCGCGGTTTGCTCAAAATGACTGATTTGGAAACGTTAATGTGGGCGAACGGAGCGTGGTATCACAAATCCGAAAACAGATTTGGAATCCTCAAGACTTTTACCATGGTATAGGCTATATGCGTTCTTTTGAATTTTCAGATTTCATCCTGATAACTGTCGCCGAATTTCAGTCGATTACGTGTTTACAACAAACATTTGCGTGGCTCAAGTACCGACCATTTTCGGGGATCGTTGCCGTAAGAAGGAGTAGCTACCTACTCCATCTATATAGCCTATACATTGGCAAAGTTTTTGAGGATTCCAAATCTGGTCTCAGATTTGTGATACGACACCCCGTTCGTTCACATTAACGTTTTCAAGATGGAAATGTTACTCGACGAGACATAGGATTTTTGGTCTTTTTGAAACATTTCTGTTTTTAGGCTTCAAAATAACCATGATAATTTAGGTTTCGCCATCTAGAAAGTATCCTATTCCCTGTCAAATTTTGTGCTGATTCCGAAAATGTAAGCAGATTTGACCTAGCTTGCTTGGTTCGGCCGATGTTAACGGATAACAAAACGTCTGCACGCCCGTTTCGGAAAAGTAGTTTCCACCCGCTGGCGTGGAGTAGCGACGGCGGACCAACGCTCATCTGACTGCGCAGGGGTGTGAACTGGCGTCTCGCGCGCGGAGTAGCGACGGCGGACCAACGCTCACCTGACTGCGCCGCGGCGGGCTGGGCCAGCACTAGCACGAAGGCGGCGTGGACGGCGAGGACGGCGAGGGCGCCCCGCGGGGAGGGCGGCACGGCCATGACAGGAGCGCGGCTGCGCGGCGTTCGGTCTGATCGGGCGGGTGGAGGATGCGACACCGACGGCGAGCGGCCTGGCAATGTGTGTCTGTGCCTCGCGGTGCCTGCACTGCGATCTGTGGGGCAGACGGGCCAGGCCCCCCTCCACCTCAATTCTGGCCTCGCACCGGGCGGTTTTTCCCCAGTTTACTCTGGCCCAACCAGAAGGCCGGATTCGCGGCCAGCGTGCGCATCTCTGACAGAGAGGGTCCCTAGTCGTGGGGCATCCCGGCCCCGTTCCCCGCCTTTCCGCGAACCAGGCTCCTGCCGTTACTCGAACCTCGCGATTCGAAAGTGAGAACAGTGAGTCTATAGTTAGGAATGAAGAGCTAACACTGTTGTTGGCAGGCCAATACTCTATTTGTTTTGATAAAATTGGCAGAAACCTTAAAACTTGCAGTTGTTATTGATCAAAGAGGTCGTGCAACCCCCCAACCAGAACCAGAACCATCCAGACAAAAAAGCGCAACTCAACCTCCTAATAACAAACACGTAGTTTGATTACCGGTTTCAACACTCACATAGTTTGTGCACCGAGACCAACAAACACGTAGTTTCGCGGCCGTTCGGGAGTCGCGAGTAAACACTCACGTAGTTCGGTTCAACAATCACGCAGTTCCATTTTCTACAGTATTATTGCTGTGTAAGTCGTTTGATCACTATTAGGTGGTAAAAAACAGTCATTGTGACCGAATTTAAGCTTGGAAACGTGTTCTGAGGCAGTTTTCAGTAAAAATACAGTCAAAATACAATGTGGCGAACAGCTTCTCAAAGTACTTTCAGAGTGCCCCTACCGACCATACTCTCCACTTTTAGGTTGAAAGTGACTCAAAGCACAAATAATTTAGTTTGTACACCCTCAATGGATGCCCAATGTCCATTTTCAGTCTAAAATAAAACACTCGAACAAACTACGTGTTTGTTAGCCCGCAGCAGAAAACTACGTGCTTGTTGCATCTTCTAGCAAAACTACGTGTTTGTTGACCTCGATGCTCAAAGTACGTGAGTATTGAAACCGGTGATCAAACTACGTGTTTGTTATTAGGAGGTACTCAATTTAACAAAAGAAATACGTACCTCACATTCTGCCGCGTTAATGTGGAAATCAGCGCGATGTGGGTCGCGTGGCGGTGCGGCGCCTGCCTCGCGTTGATGATGTCCACGCCCTTCGCTTCGCGGCCGCGGCGCGGCAGACGAACAGACAGACAGACGGTTGGACAGACACTCATCCTAGGAAATAAAGAGTCGTAACCAAGGCTGATATTCTGGGTGAGGTATTCTTTATCACCCAAATTTGGATAAGAATTATTTTGCTGCTCAAATTTGGATGAAAGTAAAATAGCTGCACCCTTTATTCAAATTTGGGTAAGGAAACCTTCCTAGTTCAAATCCGGTAGATAAAACAATCCTCCCCCAAATTCCTCGCCCAATACATGGTATTGATCAGAACTCTCTCATTCTCAGTGCGCACTAGGAACGAGTCACGGCTAGGACCACATATTTAGGGTCGAAATTATTTTGACACCCAAATTTAGGTTACGGAAATTTGCATCAACCTACCAAGTTGTATTAGCATCTATATTTGGGTCACAAATCGTTCCTCTCCTAAATTTGGTCAATCCAGCACCCTCAACCTCAATTTTATTTCAGCTGTGATTATGACTCCGTCCGACCCTCACCGACAGTCACAGCGTCCACGTCCTCACTGAGAATGAACTATATTTCAGTCGGTCAGTCACTCACACATTCAGACGGGAAGGCAGAACGTCGGACAGACAGACTGGCGACGCGAGATAAATGTCGCTATTGAGCCATAGGCAGAGTGCCGCTCGGGTCGTCCCCTCGCTGCTCGCCCGAGGCGCTTCGTCTAGCGAAAAGCCCTTCGTCCTTGCCGGAACAGCGAGGAGAGTGTCGCGTCGGCGGGGCGAAAAACCGCTTGGACATTTGCTGTTGTTTTTTCTTGTCGCTGCGGTTCCTGACACCGGAGCGTTGCCGCGTTGCTTGATCTGATCTGCCGCCTCCGAATTCCACATGCTGAGGCAATGCTGGCAATGCTGCGGCGGAGGCGCGGCCGTCCGCCGGTCCTGCCGATTACTTAGCGGGTACTGAGTGGGCGGCCCACTGTGGGCCGCGGTGACCAATCAGCACGCGTCATCTCGCTTCCTCGTGTAGCGTTGCACTGTGGTGCACCTTGATGCAGCGCGCCTTGAGCCCAGCCTCAGCAGCATCAGCGCGTGCTCGTGCTTCACCGGGCCTCCCCACAAGGGAGGCTGGAACCCTCTCCCCCACTCCTCCCAAAAAGAACACGACTTCTTAGACTTAAAACAAAATCCCTTTTTAAAGTTACTGTTTTGAAGAAATGCTATGTTTTCATCCTAACTTTTTTTTTTCTCGTATGAAGAAAAATTCTCATCAAAATGTTTGTTTTACAAAACGACAAGAAAAGAAGAGAATAAAATCAAATCTTCGTTCCTGGGTGCGGCTGATAAACCCATAAAATGAACACTGAGAAAACATTACAAACTATTTTAGGCCTTACAAAGAAAAGGAGCTTCTTATAACAAAGTATTTTGAGCATACATAAGCTTACAAAGAAAATACTTTGTAATTAACGAACTATTTCCGCGTATAACGAAGTAAATTAAATTAGTTTGTATCATGTATGCTCAAAAAACTTCGCAAGGTTTTTAGCGTGAACACATCTCATGAACACTTCTCTGTTTCCTCTCGTTTCAGATTATCGGCGATGTGCTGCCCAAGTATGACCGTGGTGCCACCAGAGTCAAGCACTCGGACCAGGTATGGCATGCGTGGAATTCCAAGTTAGTTTCGATTTCACTTTAGTGGAAAGGGGACTCCGCCTCCGCCGTGGCCACAGTGACGGTCAAATCGACGACGAAAAATTAAATTAACAAGCCCCTGTGACACGAGGCGATGTGGACTCCACGTTGTGGAGCGCTACCCTTGGCCGTATCGTGCAGACAGGAGGAAGCTGCTGCACTGTGCGAAAAAACCACAGTAAATCCCGTTAATTTTTTTGCCGGGATTTACTGTAGTTCAGGACACAGTACTGTGCCTGGTTACAGCATTTACTGTACCTGGTACAGGATATTCCGTACTCCACTCCTGTGGTAACAGTAAATCCCGTACAAAGTACAGTAGATCCTGTAAAAAAAGTACAGTAAATCCTGTACTCTGAACTACAGTGACAGCTGTACTAATCACTACAGGATTTACTGTGATTTTTCCCACAGTGTGGGGATAATGGGGTGTCGTGCTCGAAAGACGGAGAAGCGACCCGGCGTGCGTGGGCAGGAATACAAAGTGGAGGCGACTGCCGTCCCGCCGCGGCACGCCGTCCCCAAGGCCAGCAGACGACACAGTGCACCGGCCGGCACTCTTGACATTGGCTGATCCCAAGAACTGTGTCACTCGCACGAAAAAAAAAAAAATACTTCGTTGTTGTGATCTACTTTGTTGGATGGATAGGCATAAGCCTACACTCAAGAAAGTCTACGAAGAAAATGAAGGCATTGTACAATTGCTTCGTGTTAATGTACATACTAAGAAGGATTTTGCTTCGTAATACGAAGCAATTCTTCGTAAAATTTACAATGCCTTTATTTCCTTCGCACTACGATGTTTCTTCTGTGTAGATGCGATCGAAAGACCGGTACCCACAGCTGGTAGCCAAGAACGAACATTTGAAAGAAGACAACTAACGCAACTAACCTAACCTGGAGTTTGTTGTCGTTGTACGTTCGAAAGTACCAGCTTTTGGTTCAGAATGTTGGATTTTCGGTCGCACATATCGAATTCAGCCTTGATCGAATTCAAACAAAGTTGATAACCTCAACAATTTTATTTTTTTTCGTGCGTGTGTCTGTGCAGTGTACGCGCTCGGGATGCCGATAACTTAGAACCCCAGTGTCGCAGTAAAGAAGTGACTGGCAGCCTTCAGTCGAAGCTCTTTTTTTTTCGTCCTCACCCGCGAGGCTAGATTTAGCGACGGTCCCTCAGATGGCGGCTGGTGGTATCTTGCCCGTGTATCGGGCTGCTGAGATGGACAACGAAAGAGCGAGAGGAAAAACGAGATCCTAGATCAGCGATGCAGTGAAGAAACGGATAAGAGACTCCTGCCCCGAATTTATCGTGTGATTGTGAGGCCGCGTTTTGAACCGTCTCGCAGCCTTGGGGCGGGCCTGAACACGGCATGGGTCATTATCCACTTGGCGCGCAGGAGGAAGTGCCGGAGCAGCAGACTGATTCCGTGAGCCGTTTTCGTCGCTCCGCCTCTCTCGCACCTATACTGGACGCACTGGAGGCCCCACGAGTGCGAGAGCGACGAAAACGACTCTCGGAGTCAGTCTGCGCTGGAACATGGCTGGGACGAGTGGTCACACTCCAAAGGAGGGCCTCAGGGTCTTGCCGGATCAGGATCCCGATTCGAGGCAGCTGGAGTGGTTGCAGTCAAAGCAAAGCACATGTCCCTCACCCCTACTCGCGCTCCCACTCGAATAACAAGAAAAGAAGCGATGGGAGTAGGCAGCCCGACTCGCATTTTCGTGTCGCTTTCAAATTTTTGGCCCAGAATGTAGCCAAAGAAAATACCTATCGTCATAGAATTCATGGATACGTCAAGTTGAGGAATGTTTTTGTTTCGTGATACTAAAGTAAAAAGATGTCAAAATCTTAATAACTTTTAAAAATGCTAAAAAATTCGAATAAAGTTCGAGGTGTTCTTGTGCTGACATGGTTATTGAAGTTAGTGGGGGTCACAAGTTAGCTTCGAGTCCTGTTAAGCGGCTCTGGAGCCTGAAAACGCGGCCAGAATTTTCGCCGCCTCCGCGCCGGTCTTCTGGCCCACTGTGGTGCGGGCCGATTGGTACAATTATCCCTACATGCCTCTCTCTCTATTTTCCAGGTCGTGCCGCTTGCCTACTACCGCAGGAAAATGTACTACTCCGGGTACCCGGACTACGACTACTGAGTGCGGCGCTCCAGACGCCGACCGCTGACTTTGCCGCGCGGGGTCCTGCAGTGCCTCGGGACAGCCCTTCTCTCGGTGGTGTGTCCACCGACATCGACGACATCCAACTTTCAACGGGCCGATCACCGAGAGCCTCCCACGCCGCCGACGTTTACACTCTGAAAGTCTTACAGTGGAGATTGCCCATATTATGGTGAAAATTCTCTATGTAATAGGGGTGCACCTGACTTAGCAAGTCACCATTGGCAATTCATTGTTCCTCAGAATTTGTTTGTCGAAATTTTTTGCCTTGGAGAAAATCTTCACCTTAATATGTTGGTGCAACCTTTCACCGTATGTCATTTAGAGTGTACTCTTCAACTACCTTGAAGTTACCAACTTTTATTTTGTTTACCATTGTGACCTGTGAAATAATGACCTGTGAAGTTCTGAAACGGACTGATTACTTACTGTAGAGAGCTTTTGTTTACTACATTCTAGTGTACTTAATAACGTGTAAAAATGACAGATGAATTGATACTTCCAAAAAAGATAGACATACTATATCGTGGTAGTTTTCTGTTTACTTTTAACGAATACCACTGCCTTACGTTACCTTAAGTACTTTATCTGATCAACAAGATCAACAAAGCTTTCACGTTTAAAAAAAATAGTTTGTGACGCTTGCAAACAGAACTCCGTCCAACTACACTGTAAGCTGAAGGTACAAATACGCAGATGTGAGAACTGTTCGCTCCCAGGTTGAGGGGGTGTTACTTGCCATAATGTTTTGCTGCTTTTGTGGCTGTCGAGGATGTTTATTTTTTTACCTTGAGAAAAAAATTGTTTTCTGCAAATTTGGCCCTGAGTGGATTGAAATCGATTAAGATTTGTGTCAAGCTGGTGAACTAAATCAAAAACTAAAAAAATAAATGTCCTTCCGTCATAAAATGAAACTCGACATCATTTGTGTGAACCGCCCAACAATATTTATTGAATGCTGATGGTTTCCAAATGATTCAGAGCAATTGACATGCCATGCTCTGTAAAAATTGTGTAAAAATACAAATAAAATAAACATTTCTACAAAATCAAAAGTGATCCTTTTAACCCCTTTCCTGAACAAAAAGACAAGAGGACAAGTAGATGAGGTGGGTCTAGAACTGCCCCCGATGGACATTGGCGAATCAGGTGCGAGACAGATTTGGTAAAGTTATTGCCGAGTCAGGCGCGGATCCAGAGACTTATTCAAGGAAGGGCAATGTTGCGAGAGTTGCCTACTTGCAGGAGTAACGGGCGTCTTTTTGCCGAATGACGCCCCCCTCCCCCCCTTTCTGTAATCTGTGCCCGTGCCATGTGCCAAGGCGGCCAAAAAACACGATACGGTCTTCTCTCATGGGTATATATACAAGACCGACAGCAAGATTTTCGTCACGTTTACTAAGAATCGTGGTGTTGTGGGCAATTGGGCCTGAATGTTGCGAGAAAGACCATTCCATTCGTGAATGTGTACGGGCTTGAAAAGACATTTGTTTCGATACTCCTCACGGCTGAAGATGGGCAGCCCATTTGACAGCTGCTGGCTGGATTACAAGCTACCTCTCGCTGCCCTGCCAGCCCCGCGACGGCAGGCAACCCCTTCGACACGCCTGTATGGTAGGCAGCCCATCGGCCTCCTTGAGGCGGAGAGAACCCGGGCGGGACGTCGCGGTCGGCCGCTCCGCCGGAAGGGTAGGCAACATCTTAGACTGCCAGCACACTGCCCTATACACTTTGAAAATTTTGGTAGTCTTTTGATGACAATTTCAAGGCTAATTTTCGTGATAAAGATGTCATCAAATCAGTTGATGACGTATCGTAAACCGGGTTAACTTGAGACGAAGGGTAACTTGAGACACTTCTGCTTTTCTACCCTTTTGGAGCTGCCACCAAGCTCGGCACATTCGAAGAGCATGCTATGGCATTTTGGTTACTTTTGTTTTTCTTTCGGCGCAGCGAAAGGGTGCATCCTGCAGCAGTAATTTTGAAAACTTGCAATATCACTCTAAAGCGTTACGCTGGATTCATTTAGAGTCGTCGTAAAAATAAATGCACCAAAAGTCGGATCGCGTCGGCCAAGCAGGCCCATTTCATCTACGATATAGAGCCTGCCGAAAATGCAAGAAGGAAGGAGGCCTCTGATTGGGCGGTGCGATCTGACTTCCCGTATACCATTGTGTTTTCGAGGGACCAAAGATGATGCAGTCCCTGAGATCGTCCGAAAACAATTTTTAGAATCCGGTCTTCAAAGGGACGGCATTACGGCACATAACAGCACTTAAGAATTAAGAATTCCTGTACTTTGCCTACTTTTCCAGGACGGCTTACTACAGATGACACAATTTTTCAGAACTTTCCTGATCAACCGTAAGTGTCAACCGGACCAGCTACATTCGCTTTCTCAAGCGTTCGCACCTCACTAAGTTTGACTCTCAAAAACTACGCGAAAGCCGCCTCCTACCACGAACGTAATCGGCTAGTATCGCCGTCAGCAGATACAGCGCGTGAGTCTACCTCGCCTTGACCGAGGTGCACTTGGTCTCGCGATTAATTCTATTTTATCAACTAACTTCCGGTGTAGGTCGAGCTGCAGTGTCCCGGTTGACCCTTTCAGTCGTCGTCGAGTGAAGAATAAAGGTTATTAAAAAGCCAGGAACCGCTAGGAACGTACCTACTGGTTCCTGGCTTTTTTTAATTACTAAAGATCATCTGACATCTGAAGAGGTATATTAGTAAACTTTACCTTGGGCAAGTTCTCAGTTGAGCAAGCTCTTTTAAACTTTGTCCGTCCAGTAGTTACGGATATCTCGTTTGATGAGTTGGACTGACACGGTACTTCACGGAACGTATACATCATCTTGGCGGAACAGTTACTGCATGCATCCCTTTGCAGTACCACTCATCCGCTGCTGAAAGCTGTAGACCTCTTGTGGAGTGGACAACGGTATTGGCGGAGACGCTGGCGCTCAACACGCTGCAAGCGGGCTGCTGGACGGCCGCACTTTGACGAGACGACATCAGCGACTTCAGTGTTTGTTGGGTGAGTGAGGTGTACTCACAGAGTCAACTATAGGGAACAACTTCCTGAACTTTACCTTTGAATCAGCTCACGGTAAAAGAAACGCCTGGGAATTCCAGGCGGCTCCTGGTAAATGTGCCCTGGACTTGGGAATTTCAGGCTCTGCTTTTTGCCGTTCTGTTGCGCCTTCCAGACTTCTGTCTATTCTGTATTTCAACAATAGTGTAATCCAGCGCAGTCTAGGAAGGTTGAAGGTGGGTCTGAATGTAAGATTCATATGATAAAGGAGGGGAGAAGCGAGAGGGCCTATCTATGGAAGCAGTGTGAGCTTTCAGCGTTAGGGAGTGAGAAGAAAGTACTCTAAAGTGTGTACTAGGGATTTTTCAAAATCTTCGCGTGTCTTGTATTACAATACATTCTCTCGTATACGCATCAGAAAACGCGGTGGAGTTGTATTACAAAGCGATTCTCTAGTAACGGAAAGATGCCTGATTTGTATTACAAAACTTTTCTTCGAAAATCAATTTATAATTGAGTACGTAGTTCAGTACGAAGACGCGACTAACACTGCCAGAAAATGCTGAGGCGCAATTTCTTGCTTAAAGAAAAGTTTTGTGTTTCATAACTACGTTCAAGAGGATTGTTTTATGATACAAATTCACCTTGTTTTCTTGTTACACGAAAGAATGCACTCTAAATGTTGTACAGTAAAGATTCTCCATATTATGGTGAAAATGTTCCATATTATGGTGGTGCAGCTGACTTCGTAACATACCATTAAGAATTCACTGTACCTTACAGTGATTTTGACGAATTTCGTTGGTATTATGGAGAAATTCTCTACCATATTATGTTGGTGCAGCCTTTCACCGTAAGACATTTACTTTGTGCTTCGTTACACAGCAGATGTTCTTGTACTGTACAAATTTTTTTGTGTAACTTGAGTCAGAAATTCCGCCATGTATTTATGGATTCGGGGAGTCTGGGCCTGGGCTGATGTCTGTTCCGTTTAAGTTCAGGCGCAAACACGCTTGAAAACAGAGGGTAGGGGTAACACTTGTAAAATGGAAGCGTAACTCTGTACATAAAGTTGCGCTTAAAGTAATTCTTTGCTTGAGTCAAGCATCAACCCTTGAAAACGTTACGCTTGAAATGTTAAATGCACTGAAAATGCCCTCTTTTTTGTATAGGAGGAATCTTGGCAGATCTTTGTTACCGTCAACGGGGGTAACTTGGGACAGTCTGCCCTGTACAGATTCACTCTACAAAAAATGTCCTGTCAACGCCGTTAATTTATTACCAATGTTTGCTGTTATGCAATTCACGGCGTTTGCTGTGAACTAGTTCACGGCGTTTGCTGTGAACTAGTTCACGGCGTTCACTGTGATCTCGGTTACAGTGTTCACTGTGATCTGGCCACAGTAAACGCCGTGAATTGGAGCCTGATTTGCAGTACTTCGGTGCTTAGCGGCGTCAAACTCACAGTGTTTACTGGGGACCAGATCACAGTGAACACCGCGAACAAGATCACAGTGAATCCCGTGAGCAGATCACAGTAAACGCTGTGAATTGACCTACAGTGAAAACTGGTAATAAATTAACGGCATTTACAGGACATTTTTGGTAGAGTGTTGTTGGTGCTGCCATTCAGCAACGGGGGTTCCTAGCGTCAAACCCGCGGCAGGGTTTTGTTTCAGAGGCCTCAGGGCACGCGTGGAAAGGTAGAGAAGGTGCATAACATCAGAATTAGTATTTGAGAAACGGGAAACTAAATAATAGGGTTTTTGACAGTCGAACATTGACAAGTTGACCCTAGTGCAAGGAGTGAAATGCAGATTTGGCCGATTAGTCTCTCTGGGTTGTTAGATCATACACAGATAATAAAGTTTGCAAAAGGGCGTTGCTTATAGTTTTCCCGTCTTAGGTCCAGACTTCACTTTCTCAAAAATCGAAACTTTACGGGGTACGTAACTTGGGACAGTCTTTTCCTCATGTTTCCAGCAGTCCTAGCCTTCAAGGAGTTGACTGAACCGGTCCCTGGCATAACTTTAACTTCGGATTTTACGCTGGTGATGGAAAGAGATGCCTTGCTCAGCAGTTTTGTCTTCTGGTAATCCATATTTTGAAATTTTCAGAAAATGCCTGGAAAATACCAGTAGAAAAGAGAGTTCCACGTAGAGCCCTAGATATAGCCTAATATCGGTCCTAAAAGAGTTCCTAGGCCTGAATTCTTGGTCTACATGTTGTGACTTAAATTTATTACATCCATTAACATCAATAGATGCATGGGAATGTAGCTAATTACCTACTGTCCCAAGTTACCCCCGCTCATGGGGTAACTTGGGACACTCTTTCGAGACCGCTTGGAAACGATGTAATCGAGGCAAATGAACCAGACAAGCATGAAATCATGGGGAAAGGGTCAAACTTTAACATAGTTAGGATCCAATGGTCTGGGTTGAGAATCTTGCCTCTGGCGTTCGAAAAACGTGAAAAAGTGTCCCAAGTTACCTCCGTTGACGGCACGCTTCATTTCAAGGTCTAACGGATTACGCGAGGATTACGCTTGAAACATAGGGTTATACTTAGTTGACCAGTATTCATTTATTTCAGAGAAGCGGTCAGAAGACTGCCCGTGCCCGTGTTACCTGACGAAATTCATCAATCGACCCAGCCTCTTCACCAACAGAACCACTTGACTTACAAGGTACGCACACTGCAAAAAAAAAAATCCGCAGTTCAGCACGGATACGGTAGTCCGTAGTCCCATCGAGGAGGAATTCACTACCAAAAAGGCTCAACCGACCTTTTTCAAAGAGTACTCATGTAATTGGCTTACGCCAATTACATCTTTACGGACCCTGAATTTTTAATCGAAGTATCAGCACAAATGTTACATTTTGCGCTGAGTTAGCCTAAATGTATCCCAATCTATCTGTTCAGTGCGTGTTGAAACCAAGGGCCTAGTTTCCACAATCGTGCGCTCAAGTGCGCACATTACATAGCTGTGTAGTTTTATGAGCTTCCCGCAAAATTGAGCATGCGTTTTTAAATTCACGAATTTGTGCGTTAATAAACACGAAAATCTGAGTTAATACGCATGAATTCGTGCATTTCACGCGCATCCTCGATTCCATTCAGAAGCTGCGCACGAAAAAAACTACAGATATATAGTAATCAATTGTGCGGGGGTCCGGCCCACTCACCCAGACGTTTTTCACCCGAAACCGAACCGACCAAAAGTCTATTTGCCCCCAGTTAATTCTCCCCCCCCCCTAATATTCACCCCAAGGTCCGTTTGCCATATCTCACCCACGCCAAAATACTTCGCCCTTAAAAGCGAGAAGCATTGCCTGAGAGTGGGGTGTTGTGAAAAGCCGCAGCGCGGGCGGTGCGATGGGGAAGTTCTAGACGACAACAATCAAAAAGCCTTGCCTGCCAAGTAATTTCTCATTCTGTACACTGAGATTCCAAACGCCATGAACGTAGTACGTATGGTGCAGCAATGCACTGAGATATCACACCATACGTGCAATGCCATAGCCATATTGCACCTTACGAGCGATGCGTGTCGAAAATGCCCTATGCTAATGCAATGGTAATTTGAGAATCCGGTTAATCAATCTCTGGTCTGTTGCAGCTCATCCAAGCGCTATCCAGTCGAGCAGCTTGATCTCTCAGTGAGGACTTCGAGCGAACTGCACACGCCGGCCACAATTTCGGAGGTAAGTTTCTGCCGCGTGTTGCATGAGGAAAGAGAATTCATAGCACTTGGGTTTTGAATGCGCTACATGCACTTGTTTGTCTAAGGTCCCGAAAATGGCCCACCGATGCGCCGTGTGCGCCAAGGAGTTCCGTTATAGGTCAGTGCTGACGGCGCATCTCCGCTGCCACACCGGAGAGAAGCCTTTCGAATGTTCGGTCTGCAGCAAGAAGTTTAGTCAAGCTGCACACTTATCAACGCACCTCCGCATCCACACCGGGGACAAGCCTTTCGAATGTTCGGTTTGCGAAAAGAAGTTTAGTCATGCTGGACAGCTCAGAAGCCACATCCGAACTCATACCGGAGAGAAGCCTTTTGAATGTTCGGTGTGCAATAAGAAGTTTAGTCAAACTTCTAACCTCAGAAGTCACCTCAGTACCCACACCGGAGAAAAGCCTTTCGGGTGTTCGGTCTGTGACAAGAGGTTCAGTCATGATGGACACTTAAGACGTCACCTCCGCACCCACACCAGCGAGAAACCTTTTGAATGTTTGGTCTGCAATAAGAAGTTCAGCCAAACTGAACACCTTAGAACGCACATCCGTACCCATATCGGAGAAAAGCCTTTCGAATGTTTGGTCTGCAAGAAGAAGTTTAGAGAAACTGGGAACCTCAGAAGTCACCTCCGTACCCACACCGGAGAAAAGCCTTTCGAGTGTTCGGTCTGCAGCAAGAAGTTTAGACAAGCTGCACACTTATCAACGCACCTCCGCACCCACACCGGGGAGAAGCCATTTGAATGTTCGGTCTGCAATAAGAAGTTTAGGCAAACTGGGGCGCTAAAATCTCACCTCCGCACCCACACCGGAGAAAAGCCTTTCGATTGTTCGGTCTGCAGCAAGAAGTTTAGTCAAGCTGCACACTTAACAAGGCACCTCCGCACCCACACCGGGGACAAGCCTTTCGAATGTGTGGTCTGCAACAAGAAGTTTCTTAAAGGTGGAAACCTAAAATCGCACCTCCGCACCCACACCGGCGAGAAGCCATTTGAATGTTCGGTCTGCAATAAGAAGTTTAGGCAAACTGGGGAGCTAAAATCTCACCTCCGCACCCACACCGGAGAAAAGCCTTTGGATTGTTCGGTCTGCAGCAAGAAGTTTAGTCAAGCTGCACACTTAACAAGGCACCTCCGCACCCACACCGGGGACAAGCCTTTCGAATGTGTGGTCTGCAACAAGAAGTTTCTTCAAGGTGGAAACCTAAAATCGCACCTCCGCACCCACACCGGCGAGAAGCCATTCGAATGTTCGGTCTGCAATAAGAAGTTTAGTCAAGCAGCACACCTCAGAAGTCACTTCCGTACCCACACCGGAGAAAAGCCTGTCGGTCTGCAACGAGAAGTTAAGTAACGCAGGGCACCTTAGACGTCACCTTCGTACCCACAGAGGCGAGAAGCTATTTCAAGAAGCTAAATCGAACCAGACAGCTTAAAAAGCACCTGCGCTCTGACACCGGGGGGGAAGTCCAGTGGTCGATCTCGGTCAAGTCGAATCGCGGAGGCAGTATTTAAAGACACACCTCCATTCACAGCAGGAGTAGCGAGTCAGTGATTCGTTTGTCAAGAGAGGTAATTGATTGTGATTTCTCTTACAGCAGCATGGAAATCATTTTGTGGAAAATCTTGTTTAAACAGATTCTAAAACTACTGAGACTTGTTGAAAACTTTTATGCTCGCGCTTTGCACGTTACTTGGTCTTACTTTACAGTGGGCAGTTTGTCGTGGTTTCGCGAGTGTTGCACTGGTCTAGCTAGAGCGGCACAGGTAAATTTCTCCGCTCTTTGAGTTTTTGCAAACTCATTGCATTTCTCCGCCAGTTTTATCTCTTGTCCTCTTAATTAGAACGCCTAATTGTATTGTTTTGAGTTTGATTTGTTATTTTCAGTTGTTTTGTCACCTTACTGTAAGAACCTTATGGGTGGCATTTTGAGACGCTTGACAAACAAAACTGAGTTTCTGTAAACATTTGTGTATATATTCTACCGCAAAATAAATGTTGACACCCATTGTGAACAGTGGTTTCGATATTTCATTGGCTTACTGCAACCCCAAAGGCACTGATTCATAAGCATTTAGTGGGCTGAGACACATAGTGTGAAGAGAAACGAAAGGAGCACTGAGAATACAAACGCTATGAGTATAGCGTCAATTGGTGCAATGCCTCCCATTTCCCATGCATTAGCATAGGGCCTTTTCGGGAAGCATTGCACCAAAGGTGCAATATGGCTGTGGCATTGCACGTATGGTGCGATATCACAGCGCATTGCACCATACGTGCTATACTCATAGCGTTTGGAATCTCAGTGAGTGTTTCGGTTGAAGTTCTTTTTCATCTCAGACGTCTTAGTCAGAGATCCAGCGTGAGCGTAATTAGGTGGAATGGAGCCATTTAAGTCGCTTATTCAAAAAATGTCATGTTTCCATTGAAGCCTTGGACATGGAATAGAAGCCTTAGATAGTTAACCATCTTACGTTTTTGTCTTGCAAAGACGATTACAAATTCGCAAGCACATTGCAATTTGGTCAATTTTGGGCCCGTCCCGTATATTTTTTGCAAAAACAATTCCGGAGGATCATCTAAACAAGAAAGTGCAACCATTACCGTGTCTTCGTTAATGATTTTATTCAAAGCAAGAACACACAGCAGAAAATACAATGTCATGGTAGCCTGAATTTATTAAAAAGGTATATATCAGCGAATCCGCACCCTGCATTGAATAGTGTCCTCCTAACATGTCAGAAGACTATATTCACGACACAACCCAACAATAAGGAAGAAATTTGACAATGTAAACAGATAACTTTGAACTTACGTCCTTTGACGTATCTTACTCTTAGAAAACAGATACCAGAGGTGAAACTGGGTAACACATGCACCATTCGCTTGAGGTTCGTCTGTGACGAGGTTCCAGCTCAATACAGCTTGACAGTGAGAGAAGGACTTTCTCTCACAATTTAACAAAACTTAAAAAAATTGAACTAGGTGTGCAATAAGCACGCTTCCAAACTACAATTATGATTCATGTGTCGAAAAAACGTTTTCACTGAAGTTTCCCATCACCACGCATTAGAGTCCTCTCTAAATCGAACAATAAAACAAAACCACATCAGATGATAGTAATCACGACTCTACGGAGTGTCATTGTCAGACGAGAAACCGCATGTGCATTTGGGAGGAGATCCATCGGAGTCGAAGGACGCGTCCTTGGCACCACACTTGCACACCTTAGCATCGCCCGAATCGTCGGAGAAGGAGCTTTGAGGTGGAGAGAAGCTCGTTTTATCGATAAGTTTGAAATCCTTGTTCTTCTTCTTGAACGCCCATTCCAGCGAGCGCACTTCGTCTCTCCAGGACTCAAGTTGCTCGTCCTCTTCAAGCTGTTCGGTGTCCAGCTCGAGGAGCTTCAGGTTAGGTGCCATCTCCGGCTTGATTTCGCACACCGTTTCCGGGTACATCCAATGCCCGTGAATGAGGCGCAGTTCTTCAAGGCACGGCAGCGACTTCAGTGTCGCTTCCATCTCCGGGAATTCCCAGACCAACTCCAACGAGAGGCTCTTCAGCTTCTTCAAAGCTCGGAGGGCGCGGAAGAGGGGGAGAACTCTCTTTTCGCTCAGTTGGAAATATTTGAGGCTGAGGCTCTCGACTCGGTCCGCAGTAGAAGGCAACTTGAAGAAGTCAGCGGCAGCCTGGATCTCCGCGTCAGTTCCTTCCCTGTCACTCATGTTGACGCGGTGCACCTCGAGTTTCCTGAGCTTGGCGCAGCCCCGCAGCTGGGCCAGCTGCTTGTAGCAGGGCGTGGACACCTCCTGCAGCTCGCTGCACTGCGCCAGCGCGGCGAAGACATCCTCCCGCTCCCCCTCAGCAACATCCCAAGGAAGCTCGAAAACGCGCAGGCTGGCCGCTTTGGCCAGGACCCGGAGCAGGGGCGCCAGCACCGACTTCTGGCCTTTGTCCTTCGACGAAAAGCTGAGGTGGTAGCCAGTGAGAGTCAGAGAGCGCAGGTGGCACCACTTCTCCGCCTGGAACGGGAAGGCAACGTCCCGCAGGAAGGGGTCCGCCGGCAGGCTCAGCTTCGCGATGTTCGAGTCCTCCACGATGCCCCAGAAGCGCCGGATGTAGTCGTCCCTCGCGAAGTCCCATCTGAGGGGGTTGAGGTGCAGCTCCTCCAGGTGTTCCTTGCAGCGCTGCAGCAGCGCCAGCACGGCCTCCTCGCTGTCCCGGCCGAAGGTCACCAAGAGCTGCTTGATCCTGGCGGGCGCCCTGGGCAGCGTCTCCAGCACCGACTTGGGCAGCGGCTTGTCGCGGTCTCTCAACAGGTGCAGCGAGAGCGACTTGATGGAGGGGGCCGTGGTGAGGGCGGACAGGAACGCCTTCCGCTTGGCCTTCTGGACGATCGTCTGGGACGTGCAGCGCAGCAACTTCAGCTCCTTCCCCTTGCCGCCCGCAGCCACCTGCACAAACAGCCGCTATTCTAAGTTGAACGGCTGACCCGTCCTCTTCGTAACGAGGAAAACTGTGGCTTCCCTCACACTACAATACTATACGTTTTATAATGCATAGCTGTTGAACGGAATAAAGCATGTGTGTCACTGTGGCAAAAGGGTACGGAATATTCTGTTAACTTTTTTGCCAGGGCTCTCCGTAGCCCTCTTATCAATATTCTCCGTAGGCTCTTACAGTATTCTGCGTAGGGCCGCACAGTATTCTCCGTAGGACCGCACAGTCTTCTCCGTAGGACCGCACAGTCTTCTCCGTAGGACCTGGAAGACTGTAAGGTCCTACGGAGATCAGGAAGACTGTAAGGTCCTACGGAGATCTGGAAGACTGTAAGGTCCTACGGAGAAGACTGTGGGAAATACTGTAAGAGCCTACGGAGAATCCTGACAAGGGGGCTACGGAGAATCACCACAAGCTGGTTACAGAATTTTCCGTAGCTTTTGGCCACAGTGGTGAGATGCACGTATTCATGCGCCAAAACACACACTTTCGTGCGTACAAGGAAACGTTAAATCACATTCAAAACTCTACGAAGAATCGCTTCGTAATACGAAGAAAATGAAGGCATTGTAAAATCTACGAAAAACTGCTTCGTAATATGAAGCAAAATCCTTCGTAATACGAAGCATTTCTTCATAATACGAACCAATTTTACAATGCCTTCATTTTCTTCGTAGTTATGAAGTAAATGCTTCGTATGCTTTTAAGAGTGCGAGTCTGCTAGTGCAGGCTTAGAAATCGACGTAATCTTTGAACCACACAGAGCGTTCTTGGAGTTTTGAGTGTCCGCGCTCAGCCACGCCAACCCACCTTGCAGTCGCGGTGAGTACTCCTCAGGTCGGCCAGCTGGCACGCCGTCTCCTTCTGCAGCCTCCGCTGCTCCGCGACCTTCTCCGACAACTGCAGCAGTCGGCTCCGCGCGGCCTCCAGGCCCTGCTGGGCATGCTCCACATCGCCGAGGTCTTGCTGCTGCTGCTCCTGCTCAGGCAGGGCTGCTGATGCGTCCGGTGCTGACGCACGCGGCTTCTTAGCGGGGGGACCGGCATCGGCTGAGGCTGCGTCCTAAAAGAAACCACACGTGGCGAAATCAAGCACACGTTTCGAAAGGAAACTCATGCACAACTACGCACACTTCAGTTACGATCAAATTCGTGCACAAATTTTTGAAAAGCTTGTGCCAGCTTGTGCACAAAATCAACATTGTAATTTAGTGAAATGGCTCTTCACTCTGAATGTTTATGTACTTATATTGTCCGTAACTATTGACATATTTGCACATATCTGTGCTCAACGAAGCTATATTCAATTCCATACATAATTTTGAGACAATATTGTCATATTGTGCTTAAGTAAATTTGTACTCAATGTCGGTTCAAATTTTTACATAGCTAACGTAAGCACAGATATGGCAATGGGTGTCGGCAAAAAGTCTACAGCAATTTAAAGGGCCTGCATGGGAATTCGAGGAAAACGACTTCACAATCCAATCTATGACAACATGTCACACATGTTGAAACGAGAACGAGAATACGGAGTCAGTGATAACACGGTAAACACGGTACCTGGTTTTACATTGAGACAGGTGATTTCCAGGGGGTCCCTGGGAAAGCCAGGAAACGCTTTAATCGTGAATGTTACTCTTTCAAACACACTGTAAACCCACCTCGCAGGAAGCGTGGGCCTCTCGCAGCTCCTCCAGCTCCAGGCACATCTTGGCGTGCTCCGCCTCCATCTCGGCGAGCTTGACGCCCTTCTTGGCCGCGTCCAGGGCCACCTCGGCTCCCTGCTGCTTGATGAGCGCTGCTTCCAGTGCCGTCTCCGTCGATTCGACGCGTCTCTTAGCAGGATGCCCAGAAGACATGCCAGTGGACTGGACGCTGAAAACACCGAACAAATAAATACATTTTTCAACACCCATTTTGAACATTTCAGTACTCCACAAACAAAAGTGTGTAAGGAAAGGTGGGGCACCATGTGACAGAGCTACCAGCGATCAGAATTTGAAACCCTTTAAAATCAGCTTATTGGATCTTTTTCCATTTCACGCCGCGTCTGCTTTTTACCTTTTAAATACATTTTAAGGACATATGCCTTACAGGATGTTCTTCTTAGACGTTGGCTCTATTCTCTGCGTTTGAGCGTTATAGCTATTTCCCTCAAAACCACGTGGCATTAACGTCATTCACTACGGAATTCCACGATTTACATAGTTGAATGTGTTAAGGGGGCTCATACACGTTTAAAGCACTTTGCAAAAAAAAAATTTTTGAAGTAGACGGACTAAGATTTTACAATTTCTGTGTTAAAACCTTTTAGATAATTGAGTAAGCTTCGTTTTGGCTTAAAGGAAAGTGACTTTGGACATTTTTTGGAGATTTAGTCGAAATGTTTAAAATTTTGGTTCTCGTAAGATTTTGTTCGCATACTTGCTCAGATCTGTTGGGAAAAATCAGGAAGACTCATCCCTAGTAGTGTCATAGATTTGACAACAATGGGCTGTATATCTGCAATAGTTTTCAAGAAAAAAAATAAAAACAATTTTTTGTTAAAAAATTTGTTTACTAGCCAGGGGAAGGCCTTCGGCCTCGATGCTGAGCTGGATTCGGCTGGAGATGGATATGCATTTTCATCAGTAGTAAATTTGGATGTGTTTATTTTGAAAATGAGCCTCTTTTCTTTTTGGGGGGGTGATAGCCAGGAAGTATGCTTTTGCGCAAAGGATTGTGATTCGGCAATGGTTGGTTTCTCCTTGAATCGACGGAAGGCTATTTAATAATCTAAAACTAAATGTTCCAACCAATCCTAACCTAACCTAACGGGCTCGTGACAGATCTTACTCTACTCGTGACAGATTTTACCCTACTCTCGACAGATTTTATTCTCAAACTAAATGGTCCAACCAAACCTAACCTAACCTAACGGGCTCGTGACAGATCTTTCTCTACTCGTGACAGATCTTTCCCTACTCTCGACCGATCTTATTCTCAAACTAAATGGTCCAACCAATTCTAACCCAACCTAACGGGCTCGTGACAGATCTTTCTCTACTCGTGACAGATCTTTCCCTACTCTTGACCGATCTTATTCTCAAACTAAATGGCCTATGAAGCTTGGCGTACGACTATGGAGCTTGGACTATTGAGCTTGGCCTATAGAAAATGGACTATGGAGCTTAGACTATGGAGCTTGGACTATGGAGCTTGGACTATGGAGCTTGGACTATGGAGCTTGGACTATGGAGCTTGGACTATAGACTTTGGACTATAGACTTTGGACTATGGAGCTTGGACTATGGAGCTTGGACTATAGAGCTTGGACTATGGAGCTTCGACTATGTATACGCATATGAATATAGTAAAAATAAACAGAGGAAGATACCTCTTGTAAACTAAAGGTATCAGGGGGGGGGTCGGACAAATGAGCTATTCAAAATCCCAAACAGGGTGCTTCGCTTCGCTCAGCAAAAAAATTGTTAAAAAAATTGTTTTTATTTTTTTTCTTGAAAACTATTGCAGATATACAGCCCATTGTAGTCAATTCTATGACACTAATAGGGATGAGTCTCCCTGATTTTTTCCCCACAGATCTGAGCAAGTATGCGAACAAAATCTTACAAGAACCAAAATTTTAAACGTTTCGACTAAATCTCCCAAAAATGCCCAAAGTCACTTTCCTTTAAGCCAAAATGAAGCTTACTCAATTATCTAAAAGGGTTTTAGCACAGAAATTGTAAAATCTTAATCCATCATCATCAAAAGAAAAATTTTTCAAAGTGCTTTTAACATGTATGAGCCCCCTTAAGTGTTAAGTCCATGAGATTTGTACACAAATAAACTTAAACCTTCATTGCTCGGGAACCAAAGATATGATAACTCAATAAAAAGTTGGAAGATTTATTCATTCATAGGGTACGCTATAGGTTCTCTGAATAAGATTTAAACCCTGACAAAAGGCCACTGTCACACGGTGCACTAAGGTAGAGTCGGTACGATGTGACACTGACTTAGGCCCCTTTAACTCGGGATAACTCAGCAACCAAAATAGATAAATGAGAAATCCCAACAAAATTTGAAAGATGCAGAATCATTTTGTTCACATCACTACTTATGGATGTAATGCGATTGGTATTATTGGGTTTACGGGCACTTAAGCAAAAACCGTCACAAGGTGCCCCACCTTCCCTTACGCATCTACACAATGAAGTCATGGGGCTGCAAGTTTGAAGATTCCCTCCAGACCATTCCCTCCAAACGGAACATTCAAGACGATAGAACTAGTATGTGAAAGGTGGTAAATTTACTGCTTTCAAAGGGCGGTACACGGTAAAAACGGAACCTGGTTTTCCCAGGAAGCCAATGAATGGTGAAGGTATAGGCGATTTCCAGGGAGTTCCTGGGAAAACCAGGAACCGTTTTTACCGTGATAATTTTTGAACCGCACTGAGAAAACCTTACAAACTATTTTGGGCCTTACAAAGAAAAGTAGTTTGTATAACAAAGTATTTGAGCATACGTAAGCTTACAAAGAAAATACTTCGTAATTTACGAACTATTTCTTCATATAACAAAGTATTTTAGTTTGTTATATGTATGCTCAAAATACTTCGTAAGGTTTTAAGAGTGCGCTCTTGGAAAGGCGGTGAAGAATGGATGCCGCCCCTAGCAATATTACCGCCCCCAAAAGCGGTAATTTTACTAGCCAGGGGAAGGCCTTCGGCCTCGATGCTGAGCTGGATTCTGCTGGAGATGGATATGCATTTTCATCAGTAGTAAATTTGGATGTGTTTATTTTGAAAATGAGCCTCTTTTCTTTTTGGGGGGGTGATAGCCAGGAAGTATGCTTTTGCGCAAAGGATTGTGATTCGGCAATGGTTGGTTTCTCCTTGAATCGACGGAAGGCTATTTAATAATCTAAAACTAAATGTTCCAACCAATCCTAACCTAACCTAACGGGCTCGTGACAGATCTTACTCTACTCGTGACAGATTTTACCCTACTCTCGACAGATTTTATTCTCAAACTAAATGGTCCAACCAAACCTAACCTAACGGGCTCGTGACAGATCTTTCTCTACTCGTGACAGATCTTTCCCTACTCTCGACCGATCTTATTCTCAAACTAAATGGTCCAACCAATTCTAACCCAACCTAACGGGCTCGTGACAGATCTTTCTCTACTCGTGACAGATCTTTCCCTACTCTTGACCGATCTTATTCTCAAACTAAATGGCCTATGAAGCTTGGCGTACGACTATGGAGCTTGGACTATTGAGCTTGGCCTATAGAAAATGGACTATGGAGCTTAGACTATGGAGCTTGGACTATGGAGCTTGGACTATGGAGCTTGGACTATGGAGCTTGGACTATGGAGCTTGGACTATAGACTTTGGACTATAGACTTTGGACTATGGAGCTTGGACTATGGAGCTTGGACTATGGAGCTTGGACTATAGAGCTTGGACTATGGAGCTTCGACTATGTATACGCATATGAATATAGTAAAAATAAACAGAGGAAGATACCTCTTGTAAACTAAAGGTATCAGGGGGGGGGGGTCGGACAAATGAGCTATTCAAAATCCCAAACAGGGTGCTTCGCTTCGCTCAGCAACCACCCTTGGGTTTTAAGTGTGAAATAACTAGAGAAGCGGTTTGTAACGGAACACGTTCGTCGCGAGCTCTTCCAATCCAGCAGTAACTACACTAATACTTACGACGCCGTCCCCTGCTGCTTGGCCTTGCTGCCGGAGGGCTGGTTTGGCTCGCTGCTCGCCGCGCGCCGCCTGCCACGTCCGGACATGTCGACGCTCGAGTCTTCTCAGTCGCGCCTGGGGTGACCTGAAGCAGAACAGTGGAAGATGTGCCAATCAATCCGGCAAGTGACGTGGAGAAGGTCTGGACCGGAAGTGACGTGGAGAAGGTCTGGACCGGAAGTGACGTGGAGAAGGTCTGGACCGGAAGTGACGTGGAGGCCGTCGGTCAAATAAGTCTTGACGCGTTTAGAGCTTTAAAGTAGCTGACCAGGACTCGAACCCCGCGATTGACGCCCTCGAAACGATAAATTCCTCGTTAGGAGAAAAATCCATGGGTGGGTTCGGTTCGAGTGCCGATTTAAACGTCGGTAATACCGACTCAGAGAGCTCAAAAAGCGTCTGGGATTTCGACCGCCTCCACATATCCTTTCGCCCTTAGAGGCATTTTTTTTAAGAAGTCCGATCGTGGAACACGACCGATGCCGATTTCCTCCATTTTTTGGTCAAAGGTAGTCCTTGTGGGTCTAAGAAAGGCCACAAATTGTTTTGGCCGAAATATGCACCGTTCAGATTCTATGGGCAATTTTCGTTTTCTCTGACAACTTTTCACATAATATGGCCAAAATTGAAAAATCACCTTTCTGAGGCCTCGAAGCACTCGATTGAGCTCAAAATGTGGTATCGTATGTAAAATCACGCGAGGAACATGAATCCGGTGCCCGTTTGTTGAGAGGACAACCCAAACAGATGTTATGACTGTTTTTCAGGTTTTGTAGTGGTTTTTACTTTTCTTGGGGTTTTGGTATTCGGCATCGATTTTCGCCAATCCGATGAGTGGATTTTATAGATAAAGGACCAATCTATCATACTACGAGATAAAAAGTTTGTGTACGCCGCGTGAAAAGCAGTGGCGCTGCAAAAATTGAAAAACCGTCATTTCTGGGTAGTTTTAGATCAGATAAGCCACCTTTCGCGTGACCGTCTCCGCCCCATATTCAGTCTAAATATTGTCCCAAGTGATGTCAGAGTTGGTGTGAAATTTCACCGCTGTAGCTCAAGTAGTTTGGAAATGGCAGCTTTCTAAAGTTTTGCAATCACGTAAGGCATTTACTTTAAGTAGAATTGCGGTAGATGTGAAGACTTGCCACAGATCGGGTAATAAATGAGATAGATGAGTGCGTCAAAGTTCTCTAAGCGTAATTTTGGACGAGGAATCCGATTTTGCCGGTTCGAAGACCCTAGGTGTACACTGGTGAAACAAAGGCATAAAAATTATGCCCTTTAAGGGCGTAAACGATTTACGCCTTTAAAGGGCATAAATCGTTAATGCCTTTGGGAAGGGCATTAAAATTTTGCTTGAAATTCCTATACCATTTACGCCCTTCCCAAGGGCATAAAACGATTTATGCCCTTGCAAGGGCGTAAAAGAGTATTTATGCCCTAAAGGGCGTAATTTTTATGCCTTTGTTTTACCAGTGTACTCTAAAACTACGTTTTCGTGCAAACCACGTAAAAATGGCCTTTTTTCCGACTTCAGAGTTCGCCTAGGGTCTTCGTACCAGCAAAATCGGATTCCCCGTCCAAAATTACGCTTAGAGAACTTTGACGCACTCATCTATCTCATTTATTACCCGATCTGTGACAAGTCTTCACATCTACCGCAATTCTACTTAAAGTAAATGCCTTACGTGATTGCAAAACTTTAGAAAGCTGCCATTTCCAAACTACTTGAGCTACAGCGGTGAAATTTCACACCAACTCTGACATCACTTGGGACAATATTTAGACTGAATATGGGGCGGAGACGGTCACGCGAAAGGTGGCTTATCTGATCTAAAACTACCCAGAAATGACGGTTTTTCAATTTTTGCAGCGCCACTGCTTTTCACGCGGCGTACACAAACTTTTTATCTCGTAGTATGATAGATTGGTCCTTTATCTATAAAATCCACTCATCGGATTGGCGAAAATCGATGCCGAACACCAAAACCCCAAGAAAAGTAAAAACCACTACAAAACCTGAAAAACAGTCATAACATCTGTTTGGGTTGTCCTATCAACAAACGGGCACCGGATTCATGTTCCTCGCGTGATTTTACATAAGATACCACATTTTGAGCTCAATCGAGTGCTTCGAGGCCTCAGAAAGGTGATTTTTCAATTTTGGCCATATTATGTGAAAAGTTGTCAGAGAAAACGAAAATTGCCCATAGAATCTGAACGGTGCATATTTCGGCCAAAACAATTTGTGGCCTTTCTTAGACCCACAAGGACTACCTTTGACCAAAAAATGGAGGAAATCGGCATCGGTCGTGTTCCACGATCGGACTTCTTAAAAAAAATGCCTCTTACTGACCGTTGCGTGGCCGTGCGCGTTGAAATCTTCAACTTCCGGTCTGGATTTTATCCAAGGTAGACCAGGGTAACGTGAGCCAATTTAGTGTCAAAACACGGAGTTTCAAGTGTTGGTAACCCTCCAATGTGTCACATTCGTTTCAATGTGGATTGCAGCTAATTTGTGGCTGGTTCACATCCAAGCGAATGTGACACAATGCTCTGAGGAGCGGGACACTTTGTCACCGACCGTCGATTGAACGTGCTGGCACGTTCCTATAGAATGAGTGTTTTTGAGACCTCTTCAATTGAATTTGGAAGAACGCTGCACAACTAAAGCTTGGCGGATGAGTCTGATACACTCTATTCCAGTCGTTAATTAATTACACGACAGGAAAGGAAAGAAGAGCGCGTCCAGCCCGTCGTAAGGAGAAAGCACAACCTGCAAGATTTGTGGCAATGCAGATGAAGCCCCTCACGGAATTCCAGCGAAACAATGAATTTATCAATCAAGCTAGCAGACTATGCCGCTGAATCAACTTAGATCCCCTGAAAAACAAACGCACCGGAAGTCGGGTCGCGTTAGCCAATCAGAAGCCTCCTTTGCCGACGCGACCAGACTTCCGGTGCATTTGTTTTTTTCGAGGGATTGAAGTGGATCAAATGAAATGGTCTATGATCATCATTTAAATACCATGAGCGAAAGATTTTCATTCAGTAAAACTTCTGGACAAAGTCTTGCGAAAAGTAGCGAGCCACGAAGATTAGACTATCTCGCGTGAAAATTTGATGTGGTTTCCCTTGAAGTTTACTCAAACAGAGGGTTTCAAACGCTAAGACACACTGCAAGAAAAAGTGTAGACAGTGTAACAAAAGTACAACAGAAACTGTACAATAAAGGGACAACAGGTAGTACAACGAGAATTGTACAAACCACAACGAGCCCTGGACGACACAGCACTTGTCATGCCGGTTCCATTGTACTTTGTACAACAATTGTTGTACTTGAAAAGTACACTAAATTCCCGATAAAAAATTTGCCAGAAATTTGTGTAAATTCCTGCAGTGCACTAAGTTCCATTCGTCTCAACTTCAGAGTTCAGCAACGCTGCGATTGAAATCGGCTTTTTAAACAATTCCTTAAACCGGAAGTCAAATAACAAAATAGTACTTCCGGTCCGCGTTTTTGTGTAAAGAAATGAGGTCGCAGCTCAAATGTAAAAGTACGAACCCTGTAACGCAGTACGTGGCCTGATGTACAACCGCTACAGAAGCTAGCGAGGCTCTGAGCAGTTAACTTCTCGCTTTTCCTAGCCTATCAGACGCGCAGCAATGCTGTCCAGATTTCTATACTTCCAATTCACATTCATTTCTGGATGCCACGAAATAGTTATAGTCCTGTTACGTTAAGATAAGATCTACCTGCCTATCCACGAATTGAATCAATTGTTGAAATGGCGTTTCTGCTACGCCAAGACGTTGACTACCGTGAACGTACCTTGAAAATCTCGTTCGAATAAAATATCTCGACGGATGTGGTGCGAAAGACCTGTCACGGAGAACGAACCCAGCTCCTAGCTACTCCGGGGCTGTGAATGACGCCTTCGTGCTTCGTGCTCTCACGAACGCCACTGCCTATTCGCGAGCTCCTCGTCCCTTTCAGAAGCTGAGGCCAAAAATGTCGAAAGCTGCGGAACGTTCAGAACACGTATCAGAGCTTACAGAGCAAGATAGACAGACGTGGGACTGCGCATGCGCATGTCTGGCTTCTGACTTACCCTTACTTTGTCCCGGAAAGTAACATCCGCTTCGTCGTTGCAGTTTTGATCGTAGGAGCAAATCGACGTCGTGAGTTCGTGTTGAAGTTTAATCCTGGACAGCAGGAGACGGTTTACACAGTTGTCTCACGGCAATGCGGTTCCCAGTTCACTCACGACCGAGGTCTACAGCCGCACTGACTCGCTTGCTTTTGCGTCCTGCGCTACGCTCCGTTGTCCGGCTCGTCACCCGATACAAGAATGCTTCATCAGCGTTCTGCCCGAGGGGTTACCCACCCCGGGAATCATGTGTACACTCAGTCCGGGAATCATTCGTAAATCTTTTAAAATTTGATGGAAAATCCTCATAGTTTCAATTTAAAGTCATGGTAATCATGTGATACACACAAAAACATTCAAATACAAAGCAAATTTTCGAAAGTTCTCTCTCTTTCTCGGGGACATGTTCTGGGAATCGCGGGAATCCGGAATCGTGTGTACACTAAAACAACGAGTGGGTAACCCCTCGGTTCTGCCTGTGGGCCCCGCGTGCAGTGCCCAATGCACGCGTAGCCATCTAGGTTGATACGCACACGACTCACTGTCGCCTAATTTTGTATGAGGAATTGCTCTTTGGAAAGCAGATTTGCCTCGAGCCCTACATGCTCCTTGGGCCCTTGAAGGGCCTAATATCACCCATTCCAGGAACGTGACGTCACGTTGAAACAAATTTGAAGAAATGTCACGTTCATTTCAGCGTTGTGTCACATTTGTGTGAATGTGAATCGGCCAAAAATTAGCTCATACACTGTGGCAAAAAGGTACGGAAAATACTGTTAATTTTTTGGCCAGGATTCTCCGTAGCCCTCTTATCAATATTCTCCGTAGGCTCTTACAGCCCAAGGGAAAAAATCCCTAACGTCCCTATAAAGGGATATTTCGCGGCCCCTTGGTATAGGGACGGTCCCCATGGAAGGGCCAGTCCCTATGGATAGGGACAGCCCTTGTCAAAGGGCCGCGAAATATCCCTTTGGTACACTCTAAAAAATAATGGCATTTGTACTGCACCGTCGTATGGTAAAAGTACCAACTTCGGTATGGGAAACGACAATCCTATACGTGATTTGGAAAATTCTTATGCTTTTCGTTCTTTTGCCAATGCGGTGCAGTAACAATCCGAACCGAGTATAGGAATTTAATTTCCTATATTCGTGATCGGTTTTTTGCCACACTTTGTAGTAGAAATTCTATTACTTCAGGCCGTTGTATAGTGCTTTTCCTACAACGAATTAGTAAGAATCCCAAACATTTCTGAAAAATCTTTTTAGGAGAGAGGGGAACAAAATGGATATTCAATATTGATAACAGGCTGCATAAGGACAAAGGCGGCAAAACTGCCCAGAGAAAAGTAAACAAAAGCTCATGTGGTGTCAAACCGTTGTATAGAAATTGGCACTACACGATTGGTTAACACAGTTATTTTGTGTCTTGTTATTAATCGCATATGGTTTTAGATTATTTCGACTTCTTCAGTAAAACTTGAAATGGGTCAGTCTCTGAAAATCGCGGCAACTCTGAGAACTATTTATGTAAATGAGCCATGGTTTTAAATCCTTGCGGAATTTTACGTGATATTATTTATCATGAGACTGAAAGTAAACGTAGCGCTCCAAAGCATTCTGACATCGTCTATTATTATTAGGTTACCTTGTAAAACGTGAACTGTGGGCAAAGGTATGGCCCACTGTCAGCCGCCTGGCGCCAGGTTTCACAAACCTGCCGCTAGGTGGCGCTTGGAGCGCCGTGCCCGTTCACCAATAAGTATTTCCGATTTATGTTACTTAAGTGAATAATTTTTGACAATTATATCATCTGTTGCCTAAGTAAGTGTCAGCCCTAGCCGTTGGCTTCCAGTTTTGAACAAAATATTACACTATAGTAGAGAAAAACGCATTTCCATGTTGCCACTCGCTGTCGACTGCGGTCGGCCATTAGGTTGGGTGCACGCAAGATCTTCTTCGTCTCCAAGCGATCCATCTCGTTTATGAGAGTCTAGGACAGGGTTGAGCTGTTTTTTGAGTTTGAGGTCACATCTGCTGTAGTCCTCACAACTTCATTTTTGACATGCCATCCCGAGAGAAATGGTGCGATGTTCTCCTGAGTGATGTCCAACAATCCACGAAATAAGCATTCCTATACTAGAATAGGAGATTCACCACCTCACGTAACGAAAACATTCCACAATTCGTATGGGATTTTTACCATACGGTGTAGTATTTTCCCCCACACCCTAATATAGTAGAAACCCAACAACACGTATAGGATTTTTGCCATATCGACATATGGTAAAATTACCATGTCCTGTGTTGGGAAAAATCCTATACCGAATAGGTTAAATGCGTCCGATACTTTTATAGGATTTCTACCACAAATTTTTTTAGAGTGTAAGGGACGTGCCGCGGAGTGTTCAAGTGTTGAAAACATCTAACTCTTGAACATCAATGTACAATATAAGAAACGCTTTCTGAGTAAACTTTTGACGCTGATGACAATGGTAGTGTCGCCGACACTCTATCTAAAGCCGTTTACAAGATACCCTTAATGGGTGTGTAGCGGGTTTGCCTACCTAAATCACCCACATTTTGCCTAACTGGCAGGCTGATTTATAGGACCTTGTGGTCTGGAGGGCGGATCCCCAAGTCCATAGGGCTGATCCCCAAGTCCAAAGGGCCGATCCCTAAGCTCATAGGGCCGGTCCCCAAGTCCATAGGGCCGGTCCCTAACTTGATAGGGCCCGGCCATATGGCAGATAGGGCTGAGCCCCTTCCAAGGGGCCAAGCCCTTTCTCGGATAGGGCTTGGCCCCTTCGGAAAGGGACCGTCCCTTTAAAATCATAGGGATTCTCTCCCTTGGGAGTATTCTCCGTAGGACCGCACAGTCTTTTCCGTAGGACCTGGAAGACTGTATAGTCCTACGGAAAACACTGTGCAGTCCTACGGAGAATACTGTGCGGTCCTACGGAAAATACTCTAAGAGCCTACGGTGAATACATAAGGGGGCTACGGAGAATTACCACAAGCTGTTTACAGGATTTTCCGTAGCTTTTTGCCACAGTGTATACATTCGAACGAATGTGACACAATTCTCAAAGGAACGTGACATTTTGTAACATTCGTTTGAACGCGATGTTGAAAGTGTAAGTCCTGGAGTGTAAGTCCCGTTACTTATCAAACATAAAAATTCCTCTCACTGTTCGGGATTATTTTGTGAAATTACGATTAATTGTCTGTTAAATCTGTACCACGAACTGCTCGTAAATTTAAAAAACGATCTGATCATCCATCTTTTTTTCGTCAATTTACAAAAATATTCTTAAACTTACAAACTTAATCCTCAAATTTTGGTCGTTTCAGACATTTTTTTCTTCCTATATAGTAAGGAAACAACGGACGAAAACGCATTTTTTCAGACTTGCTTTTTACAATCATGCTTGTAAATTAACGATTTCACCTGTAAATTTAAGAAGCAGTTTGTAAAATGATGAACAATTTGTCAATTTACAATTTACTTCGTAAAAAAACATGCAGTTCGTGGTACAGATTTAACAGGCAACTAAGGGAAGGTGGGGTACAGTGGGACACCGGGTACATTGGGACACCTTCAATATTTCCAACTTCCGGTTATGTCAGGTTGTCCGGAAAATTGACCAAAATAGAGCGTTATTTGGTTTACTGTTTTCACGACTCGGGGACAGAACTGGGCGTTTTCTGAATGAGAAACGTGGGTTGGAAGTTTGATTCCACGAAAACCGATGAAAAAGTGGCACGTTTTTTGAATTTTGTTTTCTTTTTAGCGTCTGAAATGCACGTCGGATGATCGCACCGCGGTTAGGAATGTGTTCCCTGGTGCAATGGGCGTCAAAAAGGGTCAACGCGCAGAGCTTGGTCTTGAGGTCAAGGACCACAGACCAAGTTGACGTTTTAAAGTGGCTCAGTTCACATTGGGACAGGGTGAGGCTACTGGGCCATGTGGATAGCAAAAATACATGAATCGTACGTATATTGTCTTGTCTCGTCCAAACAAATAAAAGTTATCTTATGCATGTGGTCTCTGAAGTCATTACTTCTGGGTTTTCTCGAGTAGAGAGGTCGAAAAAACACGAAAAATAGTACTATTCCATTGAAAGCAGCGTATCTTCCGAACGCTTGGAACGAGAGATCCGAGTCTGCGCTCATTGTATTCAGCATAGCTTTTTCTACAACTTGGCAGTCCGAAAAAATAAACGCACGACTTAGATCCAGATATTTTTCATTGCTGTCCCAATGTGCCCCGGATCTGTCCCAATGTGCCCCGGTACTGTCCACATTGGGACAAGTGCAGACTCTACGGAAAATATCTCTTCTGCCTAAAAACGTGTCGAAATAATTTTGAATGCTTCAGCATTTGATAGGCTAGATGTCAATGCACAACTTAGGCCTGCCCCGACCATTATAGCTCGAAAGCCCTCTGACGTAGAGCGCCAAGAAAAAATCCGTCCCAATGAGCCCCACCTTCCCTTATTCATAAAAATAAAGCTCGATTTGTAAGAAAACAAGTTTACGCGTGATAAAACGAGAATAGTCGTAAGATAATGGTTTTATCAGTAAAACTACGATCTTTCATCAGTAACATTAAGATTTCATCGTAAAATTTCGAATTTATTCCTAAATTTATGAGTTAAGATTGTCGAAAATATGACAATTGCTCATTTCATGAATCTTGTAGTTATTTTACGAATTATTATTTGTAAAATTACAACACTAATTGTTGGGATTACAGTTGTAAAATAACGACTTCTCTTAACAGTGCTGTTTCATAGATAAAAATATTATGTTGTTGGCTGAGCGAGCGAAGCCCGTTACTCGGATGGGGTTAAAAACCTTTTGCTGTCTGCGTGTGTGTGTGTGTGTGCGTGTGTATGTGCACTACTACTACTGAACGACTCGGCCGACCTGGCTGAGATTTTGCAGGATCCTGATGTCCTGGGCTCGCCACACACCAAAAATTCAGCTTCCTAACTTAATCCATTCGGTAATATTAACAAGAAAACACTTACAAAACGGCAGAAAAAATTCAACTTTTTAGGTACTTTTAAATTTTGATCAAGTTTCATAACGTTTCGTATGTTATTGAGGGTGCTGATGACGAAAATAGAACCCATTCCGACCCACAGTCAAGTCCCGTTAGTCTAGATTTTGATCACCAAATGCTATTTTTTGAGAGGATATCACGACCATTTCTACGGTTTTTCTGCGAAAGCGACTTGCCGAGCAGGCCAGCGCCGCAGGTCAAGGTAGTTGTATGCACCAGGCGTGGATTATCGGAACTGGCGCAGCATACGCGAAGCCTGTTACGACAAGACACGGTCTGGCGTACACCTACCTTGGATACCGTCGAGTCCCCTAAAGTGGGACGATTTTTACGAAAAATCGTCAGTTATTCACAGAATAACGATGACACCGAAAATCGCCGGGGATTTAAGAATCTTCATGTCAAAACACGTCTTTTACCGAAAACAAAAATTTTTTTCAGCCCATGGGGCTCCAGTAGGAACAGCAAGAACCGTGTCCCAATTTAGGAGCCAAAGTCTCCTAAAGTGGGACAAAGTCCCCTAAAGTGGGACACGTTCATTCGTTTTCGCCCAAAAACTGCAGTAGCAAAAAATTTCTTAAAATGTATTATGTCCTAAATTAAATTTGAAGCAAGATTGGTTCTGAAGTCTTTTTCGATATCTCGACTGGTTAAGCTGATATGAGCCTCTTCAATCAATTAGATTTCCTTAGATATATTTAAATTAGAAACAGCCGTAGCGCCTAAACCAATTGAAATACGGCGAAAACCAATAAAACAAAATGGTCTTAAAATTTAATTTCTGACCAAAACCATTTTATAAAATTTTTTGCTCAGGTCATATTTTATAAGTTTCGAAATGCACGGCAAGAAATACATGTTGAAATTTTGAAAATTAAAAACCGTTCACCCGGCAACTTTTTTTCTGAGAAAATTTTTGTTCAAAATATGATTTTACGCAAGATTTGTCTTATGGTCCATAACGATATCTTTGTAGGTTAAGCCAAGAGGAAGCATTTGCTTTCAAACATTGACTAAATTTTGTGCTGACTTAAAGCGTACCGAATAACCGTACTTGCCCGACTGCCTGGGCCTCCAAACCGAGACCTGGCAACCTAATATATACAAGGCAGCGTTTGGAGGACGCTGGAGGTGAATGTAACGCCTCTGAATCGGTCAAAACCTAAAAGAAACGAAGGAAATGCATGTGTCCCACTTTACAGCCCCTCAGAAGATTGCTTCCCACCGTAAAACGAAGCGTCGGAAACAAATTTTCTAAAGTGCATCTTGTTGTAGCGCGTTCTTTTGTCTACATGTCTGAAGTCTAGAATGGTCCGAGCATCAACGGCTCGAAGCCCCGAATCCGCGCTAGACGTCTGAAAAAACTTCTCTTTTTTTCTGCAGCAAATTCCAATTTTCAAGATTTTTTGGGGGAGGGGGTATGAGCGGGATCAAGACACTCTGTGCGGATATGGTCTTGGAGGGGTCCTACCGTCTCAAAAACATTTTTTACCTCGCAAAATATCCACGCGTTGGCCGTTTACGGCCTAAAATAGGAAAAATAGTCAAAATGTCCCACTTTAGGGTTCGTGTTCACATTTAGGGGACTTGACGGTATTATGTGGTGTGTCACGTGGCACACTGCGAGAAAAGATCATGGTAAATCCTGTACTGATTACTCCAGACTTCACCGTACATTCTTTAACAGGCAATACCGTACTTTTTAACCCGGCTATACCGTACTTTAAACACCTATCAAAAACTGCTATAACTTTTTTCAGTCGGTCGACCCTCTTTTTCCAAGATCCTGATGCACGTAACTGCTGAAGTCGGACTCCTCGACCCCCCTTCCGACCACGCGTTGAAAAGGGCTTTACGAGACCTTTCGAAAGGTGCAATAAACTTTTTCAGTCGGTCGACCCCCTTTTTTCAAAATCCTGATGTGGACAATTCTTGGAAGCGGCCTTTGTTGGAACCAGGACCAGATCTGGTCCTTCTTACGGCATGGACTGTACGGAAGAACGGTAACTACTGTTCAAAGACCACGGAATATGTTGTAAAACAAGTACGGTAAATACTGTAGGCTGTACGGTGGATACTGGTTTTCGAAGTACGGTAAAGTTTGGCAAAAAAATTATCCAGGATTTACCATCATTTTTTCTCAGAGTGCAGAGCAGCAGCATGTTGCGAACGGCAAAGGATCAGTTGTGGTCTAGCCTCGCAAGTTCAAGTTCAAGAGGCGGACCCTAGGGGAGGAAAGCGCCTGCAAACTCGCGGTAGGCCAGCCCGCCACGCACCCGAGCCCAACGGGGTGCCTACGTCGAGTTCACCATTACCATTAAGGGCCAGACCATTCATGATGGTATGCCATTTCGGGCCTGACACGTGTTCGCCTGGCGCTGCACTCGAGGGGTGTGCCTCTGACTACAACTATGTACACTAAAAGAAAGGGCATTCATAATTTTACTGCCATTTACCCAAATTGTTGTAAAATAGGAGGGCGATTCCATGCCAAACCAACGAACTCTGGGAAATTCATCTCTTCGATTTGGATGAAACTTCTGTAGGGGTAGGGGTCATTATGAAAAGATCCCATGTCAAAGGGTGTTGCGATTTCTTGCCCCGTTCGGCTGTAAATAACAGCGAAGTTTTCACTTTGGTCAGAATCGTGATATTTTCTTTATTTTTCTCCATACTGAAAGTTTTTAGATTTTTTTCCGACAGTGGTGAAAAGTGTGACAGTGTGAGAAGAGCTGGGCAACACGATGGAAATAGTTTAGAGACGATTGGATGAAGTTTTCATGTCGTTCTCTCTATTTAAGGTAATTGTTTTCTTTTTTATCTTTTTTTTTAAATCGCTGTTTTCAAAGTAGCTCATCTTTGATTTTGATGTGACTTTCCTCACACACTGAAAATCTACCGGCGTGACTTCGTGCTGCTGCAGGGGCGTGAATAAAGTGTCACGCCATTAAACGGCTATGACAGAAAAGTCACGCCAAAAATCGGCGTGACTCAAAAATTCACGCTAATTTTTGGCGTGAATATCTTGTCATGCCGCTTTTTGGCGTGACTTGTCTCGTAAACCGCGTTGTCATTCACGCAAAATGAGGGCGTGACTCACATGTCACGCCGTTTTTCGGCGTAAATTTCATGTCACGCCAATTTTTGGCGTGACTTTTTGTCACGCCATACTTTTGGCCATGTGTCCGACCATTCCGTTTTCAGTGCATGATCCTCTCACACATTAGAAGAAAGTCCTAAAAGAATGTGGTCGGCTCGCCGAAAGTTTCGTTTCTGCATAAGAAAATATGGCCGTTCCCCCCCCTTTTTTTTGTATGCGCGCCTGTGTCCCGAAGCCATGGAAGTGGCGTCGCCGCTCTTTTAACGCAAGGAACGAAGTGTCACTCGTTGATATTTTAGAGCATGAAAACTTCCTTGTTGGCTTTTGTTCATAGGTGCGCACAAAATATTGCGATACTTTGAAATTGGCAGATAATACCCTTGATCTTCCTGTATCGGAAATACACGATCTGCGAATTTAAATGATACTTCCGAAGTTGTCAGTACGATCCAGTTAGGGCAGAAAGTACTAACTACATGTTTATGGAGTTGATATCTTGACTATTGTACCCTTTCCTAAATATGTTATCTTAACTAATCATGGAAATCTGAGCGTGAAATCCCTGGCCTGGCAAATGAATGGAGATGTCAGCAGGAGGCCACAAAAAATGTACTATTCTTAACCTGAACTTTTCTTCCCCAACAAACTTTTATGTAACTGCGGAACATCTCTAGCCAACATCAAGTCTGGCCCAGCAGCACTATTTCACACAGCCTTCAGTGGTTTCTATTGAAACTACCAGTTCTCTATGGAGAACTGAAATCTCATCGTAGTCGGTTAGGGGCCATCTGGGCCGCTTCTACTACCATCAACCAGGACACAAGAATCCGTCTCGTTTCTGGATTAACACGGTAAAAACGTTTCCTGGCTTTCCCAGGACCACTTGGAAATCGCCCATGTCTTCACCATACGCTTCCAGGGCAAAGCAGAAACCTTTTGTACCCTGAACGCATTGTATGAAGAGGGAAGAATTGCACATGAAATAACACATTGCATGTTTTCAATATTTATTCGATTAACTATCAGAAACAGCTTGTAAGATAACTGTATCTTACGGCTTGCAAGATTAAGTGCAGCACTAACAGCTGGTAACAGAATCATAATTATTAACAGCTCTTAAGATTAACCTGACAGCTTGTACGATAAACTGCATACAGCTAGTAAAATAAAAAAATATAAGCTTTCAAGATCAACTGCATTATTGACAGCTTGTGAGTGTAATCAACATCGCCATTTAAAGGACTCAAGGTAAGATGCCGTTGTCGAACTCGGTCATGTCGGTGATCATCTTGTCGTAGTCGGTGACGACCCGCATGTCCCAGGTGAGGCGCGCCGCCGGGAAGGCCGCGGCGAGGCGGGGCCGGGGGTCCAGCTCCAGGGCACTGAGGCGCCGCGGCCCGCCCGGCGCCACGTAGTGGCGCCAGCGCAGCGTGATGGAACGCAGCGCGGTGAGGCGCGGCGCCTGGCGCACCAGCGCCTCCACCTCGCCGTCCAGCGTGCTGTAGTGGGCCTCCACCGTGAGGCTCTCGAGCGAGGCGGGCAGGGCCGACAGGCAGTCGTCGTGCTCTGGGCCCAGGTCGTCGGTGCCGCCATGGCCCAGGTAGTCTTTGTCCGCTTTGCCCAGGTGGCAGCGCATCAGCACGGTCAGCGAGCGGAGGGACGGGTGCTCCGCCAGCAGCGGCAGCCCCGACGAGCAGGGCAGCACGGCGCGGCGCAGCGACACGCACCGGGCCAAGGCACGCGTCACCTGGAGACGAGCGCAGCAGTGGCATCACCAGGACAAAAGACACCCCGTCAAAATGAACTTCCTGCACTGTAAATGATTAGGTAGAATTTCGTACGAGCTACTTGCACGATTTTGTGCATACGTGAAATGCGTAATATCATGCGCGAAACTGAATAAATTTGTGTAAATTGTAGCACAATTTTATGCACGACGGTACACAGGTTTAAAAAGTTGTGCATCACCACGTACAAAATTGTACATAGACATTTAGTGTGTGGGCGAACGCAGCAAGTGTGTGCGCGGCCACACATTTCGAACAGTGTTTACACTAGCGTAGATTTTTATGGTGCATTCGCACAAAATTGAGCAGGCACGTGAAGCGCACGAATTTACGCGTAACAACGTACACTTTCGTGTTTTGTTATGCGCAAATACATGCATTTCAAAACTCATGCACAATTTTGTGACAAGCTTATGCACAAAAAGCTTCATAGTAATTTAGCTTTTTCTAAGGAATGTGCACGCACTCCATCCTACTGATCTTTTTCTTCATAAACAAACAAAAAGCTCAGTATTATAACTGCGCAGCGAATGGTAAAGAGTTCTCAGTAACTTATGACCAATGTCTTCATATTGCGAACGAAGTTCTCTATGACAGATTTGTGTCGTTAAGTGCTGAGAAGTAGCTTAGTATTATGACTGCACGGCATTGCACTCTCATTCCAGGAACGTGACATTACGTTGAAACGAACGTGACAAAATGTCACGTTCGTTTGAGCATTGTGCCACGTTCGTTTAAATGTGAACAAGCTGATTTTTGGCCAATTCACACCCAAACGTGACAAAATGTCACGTTCGTTTGAGCATTGTGCCACGTTCGTTTAAATGTGAACAAGCTGATTTTTGGCCAATTCACACCCAAACGAATGTGACACAATGCTCAAGCGAACGTGATGTCACGTTCCTGGAATGGGAGTATGCTCAGTAGGAGATTGAGAGTGCATGCTTGCACACTAATTTACTAGGGGCCTATGTACTTTTTTGTGCACAGCGCTTGCTCGAAATTTATCAGTTAACTTGCCACGCGATTTGCAGTCGCGCCACCTACCTCGTTTGTCTTTCGTTGCCAGGTGGCCAACTTTTCCAGCTCCACCTCTTCCAGGCTCTTGCAGTGGTTTTCCAGGAGGTGCACGAGCGGCTTCGGGTTCCAGCAGGAGTCGTCACAATCCTTGGGATCGTTGGCTAGCCAAGAAAAGTATTGCCTCACGGTCCTGGGAGCATCAGAAAGGACAACATGGGAACAACTTTCGCAGGTTTATAGAAGCAAGCACTCTTATAGTCCACCCTCATAGTAAAGTGACGTTATGTTGAAAAGAATGTGGCACGACGCCGCGTCGCTTTGAGCATTGTGTCACATTCGTTGAGATGTGAATCAGCGCAAAATGATCGAATTCTCATGTACACTAAGAATTTTTTTTTGTAAATTTACAACAAAACTTCTGCAAATTTTGTGCCACGAACTCGTTGTTTTTGAAAATTACGACACGTTTGTACTTTTACAGGCAGCTTTGTTTTTTGGCGACAAAGAGGGGCACTTTTTTTCGGTCCTAGAAGGCTGTTGCCAAACCTAACCTAACCATGATCATCAAATGAATGAAAAAGTCATCATTTTACGACAGATTGTAAAATTTTGAATCCGTTTGTCTTTGTCAATTTACAGCAAAAGATGTAAAATATTGAAAAGCAGGTCGGTCTGGTGGTTTTGAACCTGTCATGTTTCACTTGCGGCGCACGCTCTTTACCACTGAGCTACAAAGACGTACAGGAATCAAGGTGTCAGCTGTACCATGACACTTGAAGCGCACCTCCGCTTTCTGTTTTCAGACAAACTCCGGTATATGAACAGGAAATCCATTTTTTTTAGAAATTAACAGCATTAGTTGTACTTTGCACTAAACAATAAGATTATATATTATTTTTTCGTAACCGTACGACATGTATTGTACTTTGCAAAAACAAACCATCAAGATAATCCGATTTTAGTTCGTAAATTTACAACATGTGTTGTTCTTTTCAAAAAACATTGTGGTTACCCAATTTCTCCCTATTAATGTACAACAAGTGTTGTACTGTCGAAAGAACAACGAGATCACCTAATTTTTATCGTAGATTTACAACACGTGTTGTATTTTGCTTAAAAACCAGTGAGGTCACCCAATTTTTGGCCCGCCCTTCTATTCAAAAAATGGGGGGAGGGTTTTGGCATTTGCCTTTGTGTCTGTGTTTTTTGTTGTTGTTGTTGTTTTTTTGTTGGCGTCTGTGTAAAAGGGAAAGGAGTTGAGCTAGAGTAACCAGATTTGGAGGGTACTTCAGGAGTACCGTCCAAACAAATAATCCGGGGGTTGCAAATCCCGCCCGGGTCGCACAAGGGCTGCTGCAGGTGCATCAGGGTTTACATGAGCGGGAGGGGGATTTCCGCCATTATTGGTGCTAGCGGGGCACATGGGGGTTATTTTTGGAATGGGGGCGACGAGACAAGATGAATGGACCTGGTCCCGACCCCATCGGCCGCTTTTACCATTGGCCAGACCAGGGATTTTAAAAAAAAGGGGGTCGACCGACTAAAAAAATTATTGCAGATTTCGTTTGGGTCGCAGCAAGCCCTTTTTTCAACGAGGGGTCGGAAAGGGGGTCCAGGACCCCGACTTCGTCTATTAGTCACATCAGGATCTTGAAAAAGGGGGTCGACCGACTAAAAATTTTTTACTTAAGTTTTGGATAGGTCTTGGCAAGACCTCTTAAACGGGGGGTGGGAAAGGGGGGGTCCAGGAGCCCCCCTTCATGAGTTAGGGGAAAAAATGCGACGGACTCGTTTTGCGCTCCTGCTGTGCTTCTATTGCAAGGAGTTGCTGTAGCATGGCAAATATGGGTATTTTCGGAATGAGGGGGAAGAGACAAATGAAATGGGCATATTCTAAGGACAGTTGGAGTAAAAAGTGTAAGGACTATTTCATATTGTGAATAGAAGGGCGGGCCTAAGTCACGATGGTACATCGATAACTTTGCTTTAAACCCCTCACGGTGTGTGTGATGCGAGGGGCCGAAGGCCCGGCCCTTCGACTGGCCAAGTTTGGGGCTGATGCGAGGGGCCCAAGGCCCGAGGGAAAAAGGGCCCCCGGCAGGCAAGCTGGGCCGGCCCCCCTTTGAACCGAGTTGCCGGCGAAGCGAAGCGGAGCTGGCAATTCGGTTCGACGGGAAGGGGGGGCCCTAGCTTTTTAAAGTTAATTTACAACATGTGTTGCACACTAAATTCTTGTGGACTTTTTTGTGCATAGTTATGCATGCGCAGAAACGTCCATATGTTATGTATAATATTATGCATCACTGTGTACATTTTATGCAGGAAGATGCATAAAATGTACACAGTGATGCATAATTTTTACATACCTCATGGACGCTTCTGCGCATGCATAACTATGCATAAAAAATGCGTCCTTATGCATTTAAAAAGTCCATAAGTATGTAGTGTGTGTACTTAGCAAAAAATGGAAAGACCATTCAATTTTTTTCGTAAAACTACAGGGGCTCTTGCAAGCATGAGACAAAACACTTGTAAGCGTGAGACACAGTGATTCGCATTATGTAGTGTGAGACCGTCTCACACTCGGATTTGCAGAGTAATCTTGAGAGCGGCGGTAGGACTCAAAGTTTTCGCTCGCGGTGCTCACTAAATTTGCTCAGTCAAAATATCATATCCGTGTCAGCGAACAGGTTTCTCAGGTTTTTGCCCAGATTATCACAGTTGGAGATACCTGCGCGAAAGCAATACAGTACGTACTGCACTTATGCTACAATAACTTTTTCACGACGTCAATAATGCAATGAAAATGTTGTTTCTTTTGAAATGAGTTCATTATTTCACTTGGAATACTAGCCAGGGGAAGGCCTCCGGCCTCGATGCTGAGCTGGATTCTGATGGAGATGGAAATGCATTTTCATCAGTAGTAAATTTAGATGTGTTTATTTTGAAAATGGGTCTCTTTTCTTTTTGGGGGGTGATAGCCAGGAAGTATGCATTTGCACGAAGGATTGTGATTCGACAATGGTTGGTTTCTCCTTGAATCAAAGGAAGGGTATTTAAAAATCTAAAACTAAATTGTCCAACCAATCCTAACCTAACCTAACGGGCTCGTGACAGATCTTACTCTACTCGTGACAGATCTTTCCCTACTCTCGACAGATCTCATTCTCAAACTAAATGGTCCAACCAATCCTTACCTAACCTAACGGGTTCGTGACAGATCTTACTCTACTCGTGACAGATCTTTCCCTACTCTCGACAGATCTTATTCTCAAACTAAATGGTTCAACCAATCCTAACCAAACCTAACGGGCTAATGACAGATGTTACTCTACTCGCGACAGATCATATCCTACTCGCGACAGATCTTATGCTCAAACTAAATGGCCTATGAAGCTTGGCGTATGGTGCTACGACTATGGAGTTTGGACTATTGAGCTGGGACTGGGCAATATGGACTATGGAGCTTGGACTATGGAGCTTGGACTATGGAGCTTGGACTATGGAGCTTGGACTATGGAGCTTGGACTATGGAGCTTGGACTATGGAGCTTGGACTATGGACCTTGGACTATGGACCTTGGACTATGGACCTTGGACTATGGAGCTTGGACTATGGAGCTTGGACTATAGTGCTTGGACTATAAGGATTGGACTATAAGGATTGGACTATAAGGCTTGGAATATAGAGCTTGGACTATACAGCTTGGACTATACAGCTTGGACTATTGACCTATTGACCTCGGACTACGTATGCATATATGGATATAGGATTAAGATCAATAATAAGATACCTCTAGGAAACTAAAGGTATCCGGGGGGGGGGGACAATTGGGATGTCTAAATTCCCCAACAGGGTGCTTCGCTTCGCTCAGCAAACAGTGTACTTTCAAAATGACCACCATAATATGCTCGGCCATACGTGGGTTATGAACAGTTTAATACGTACTTAAATACATAAAGTCCACGCGCAATGTACGGTGGCGTCTGGCCTTCCCGATCCGATACAGTGACTCAACCGAGGGTGCGTTACTTCGTCCCGTCAGTGTACACCCTTAACTCCAGTCACTGACCTTGACTCAGTCTGGTCTAGTCACTTAAAAAGCCGGCACAAACGCGTAAATTTGCCCCATTTGCAGCATTTTTGTGACGCCTTTCGTAAGATTTGCATTCTAATCATAGTGTAAATTTAGTCCAGTCACCAGTCAGTGTACACCTATTTTTCAAGTGAGGTACCACCCCTCCTACTCAACTTACTTGCCATTGTCGTCTACCTCCGTGAAGTTGTCGTGGTTGCCTCTGGTGACCGTCTTGATGCTCAGGGAGCGCAGCGGCTGCAGCGGCACCGCGGCCACCAGGTGGACGGCGTGGCAGTCCACCGGGCCGAGGTGCAGCGCCGTGAGGTGCGCGGCGAACCGCTTCACCAAGTCCCGCACTTCCTTGGGGGCCGCCCTGTACTCCCAGCGCAGCCCCGCCACCTGCGGAACACCGCTCGGTCACTTACACACCAAAGTCCTCGGGGGTGACCCCACTGTAAAATTTTGTATACGACGCTGTGGGAATGCACTGGAATGTGCAAGATTCACTGCAAGAAACAGTGTGAATAGTACAACAAAAGTACAACAAAAACTGTACAGTGAAAGGACAACAAGGATTGTATAAAGTACAACGAGAATTGCACCACAAACCACAACGAGGCCTGGACCGTACAGCACTCGTCATGCCAGTTCCATTGTACTTTGTACAACAATTGTTGTACTTTGAAAGTACAATAAATTTCCGATAAAAAATTTGCCAGGAATTTGCGTACTTTTGTTGTGGTTTTTTCTTGCAGTGTAAATCTTGCACAATCTAGCACATTTCCCGGAATCACTGTACACCAAAATTTGATAGTGGGTCAAAAACTCGTTCGGGCCCGTCCTCACCTCAGCGGCCGTGTCCAAGAGGGCGGCGCGCAGTCGCCGGGGCAGGTCCCTGGGCAGGGTCACGCAGCGCAGATAGGGCGCGATGCGCAACACCCCCAGGCAACTCGGATGGTTGGACAGCCGCAGCGAAGCGTTGCACCAGGCCCGCTTGTCAGACACCACCTTCCGCCACGCGGGGCTAACCTGCAACCCAATCGTCACGATGGGAAAACATCTCCCAAAAACAAGACTGAAAACTCAGAGGTGAGAAATTAAGCTAGTCTATGAGGTGGAAAAAGAAAAACTTTCTTTGCGAGCGGTGACAATTTTGATCCTCATCCCTTTTACAACATATAGGTTCGTATAGATTGGTAATGGAGCAAACAATACCAAAATTCGGTGAGAATTTTAACTTTCACCACAAGATGGTAAGAAATGTTTCTTGCCAAAATTTTGATTTCAATTCTCACCCTACAATTTCCAGAGTAAAATTTGAATTGAACAAAAGCCAAAATTTAACAAACACAAGATGATGTAGGATTTACACAGACTACTGAATGTCCGCATGCGAAGGATGTAGAAACCTTCCAATGCAGAACACTGACTCAGATTCTGACGGCAATTACCTGGTGCAATGCAAACAGGTCAGTGCTTCGCAGGTACGAGCAAATCTGCAGCAACTCCTCGTGTCGGAGCACATTCAGCGGGTCCACCGCGGTAAGGTCCTCCACCTGCAACATCAACATTGCCCTGTCAATGGTGAATCGCATTGTCACACTGTGACAAAATACTACAGAAAATTCTATTAACAGCTTGTGGTAAGTCTCCGTTAGCCCGCTTTATCTCCGTATGACCTTACAGTATTCTCCGTAGGACCTTACAGTATTCTCCGCGGGACTTACAGTCTTCCAGGTACTACGGAGAACACTGTAAGAGCCTACGGAGAAGGTCCTACGGAGAATCTTGGCAAAAAAATTAACAGAATTTTCCGTACCTTTTTGCCACAGTGCCTTTGACGGCTCTTTTCAGACCAAAAACTAGTAACACCCGACCCTGCACTATCCTCTGTAGGCATTTTATCACACCAAATGACTACGTAGTTTTTTGTGTGCATACTTCGCACAAGATTGTGCACGCGTTTTAAAATGCACGTGTGTGTGTGTGTGGGGGGGGGGGGCTGTAGGCTATACTCACAAGTGGTGATTTGCAGCTGGTCTTGTGGAACTTGTAGTCCGACTTCTGGTGCTCTCTACTGCAGTAGAAGACGAGCTGGCACTTTCCACACTTCTTCAAAACGTCGCCTCGAGCGCCGCACACAGCGCATCTTGCAGCAACGGCAGCCATCACAGGCTAGAATAAATAAGAACCGGTAAGGCAGAATTCTCCACAGGCAGAGGTGAGAATGTTCTCACACGTTACATAGTGGAAAAAATCATGTCCAAATCTGGTCAAATTTCTATTCTCAACATAAGATGATAAGAAATGTGTCTCGCCAAAATTTGGTCAGAATTCTCACTAATTAACAGGCGGGAACACAGAGAGAGGGCGGGGCGTTGTTGTCACGTAAAATAGGCTTAACATGCTTCACTCCAAGAAAAAGTGTAGATAGTACAACAAAAGTACAACAAAAACTAACTGTACAATAAAAGTACAACAGGGATTGTAGAATGTACAACGAGAATTGTACAAACCACAACGAGCCCTGGACTGGCCAGCACTCGTCATGCCGGTTCCGTTGTACTTGAAAAGTACACTAAATTCCTGATAAAAAATTTTCCAGAAATTTGTGTACTTTTGCTGTGGTTATTTTCTGCAGTGTTCCGCTCCAGGCAGCCATCGCTGCTCCACCAGCCGTTCAGATCAGAGAGATGCGCACCCACGCGCACCGTGGAGTCCAACGTGCTCTACTGGGTTGGCCGGGCGCCGGGACGGTAGGCAACCAAACGTGCACCACTAGGCACGCCGCCGGGGCGGTAGGCAACTCAACGAGCACCTCTGGGTCTGCAGGGCGCCGGGAAGGCAGGCAACCAATCAAACGCATGCCCCACTGAGTTGACCGGGCGAGCCCTGACCTGAGCTCCATTTGAGCCCCGCTCCAAAAAAAGTTGAAATTTGACCCAAAATCTTCAAATGGATACTTTTTGGTGTGGGGTTCAAGTAGGCCTCAGGACGGGGCTCAATCCGGGCTCAGGTCGGGGCTCTGGCCATCGGGGCTCGAGTCAGGGCGTCGCACAGCCCGCTCCGATCGGTACCATGCTTGGCTCCGGCTGCGTAGCCGAGCTCGCAACGCGCTGGCTCGCTGCGAGCGGCGGTCGATTCGACGCCAGGCAAGGCAGCGAGCCGCTCGGAAGCCGTCCTTGTCTTACCCATAGAGTGCGTTTGAGTGCGAGAGAGATGCAACACTGAAAACGTTATGGTCGGACACATGGCCAAATTATGGCGTGACAAAAAGTCACGCCAAAAACTGGCGTGGCTGTAGGCTATACTCACAAGTGGTGATTTGCAGCTGGTCTTGTGGAACTTGTAGTCCAACTTCTGGTGCTCTCTACTGCAGTAGAAGACGAGCTGGCACTTTCCACACTTCTTCAAAACGTCGCCTCGAGCGCCGCACACAGCGCATCTTGCAGCAACGGCAGCCATCACAGGCTAGAATAAATAAGAACCGGTAAGGCAGAATTCTCCACAGGCAGAGGTGAGAATGTTCTCACACGTAACATAGGATAGTGGAAAACTTCATGCAGAAATCTGGGGAGAATTTCGATTCTCATCAAGGCGGGAACGCAGAGAGAGGGCGGGGCGTTGTTGTCACGTAGGCTTAACATGCTTCCGCTCCAGGCAGCCATCGCTGCTCCACCAGCCGTTCAGATTCAGAGAGCTGCGCACCCACGCGCACCGGGGAGTCCAACGTGCTCTACTGGGTTGGCCGGGCGCCGGGACGGTAGGCAACCAAACGTGCACCACTGGGCACGCCGGGACGGTAGGCAACTCAACGAGCACCTCTGGGTCCACAGGGCGCCGGGAAGGGAGGAAACCAATCAAACGCATGCCCCACTGTGTTGACCGGGTGAGCCCCGACCTGAGCTCCATTTGAGCCCCGCTCCAAAAATAGTTGAAATTTGACCCAAAATCTTCAAATGGGAACTTTTTGGTGTAGGGTTCAAGTAGGCCTCAGGTCGGGGCTCAATCCGGGCTCAGGTCGGGGGCAGGGTCGACATGAGCCCCCCCGATTGAGCCCCGATGACGACCTGAGCCCCGGCCAGAGCCCCGTTTGAGCCCGACTTGAGCCCCGACCTGAGCCCCGTTTGAGCCCCACTTGAGCCCCACGCCAAAAAAATCTTCCATTTTTGAACTTTTTAGTGAAGATTTTGCATCATATTGCAACTTTTTGGCGCGGGGCTCAAATGGGGCTCAAACGGGGCTCAGGTCGGGGCTCAAAACGGGCTCAGGTCGGGGCTCCGGCCATCGGGGCTCAGTCGGGGCTCAAGTCGCGGCTCGAGTCGGGCTCGGCCGGGGCTCCGGCCGGGGCTCAGGTCATCGGGGCTCAATCGGGATGGGGCTCATGTCGACCCTGCCAGGTCGGGGCTCTGGCCATCGGGGCTCGAGTCAGGGCATCGCACAACCCGCTCCTACCGGTACCATGCTTGGCTCCGGCTGCGCAGCCGAGCTCGCAACGCGCTGGCTCGCTGCGAGCGGCGGTCGATTCGACGCCAGGCAAGGCAGCGAGCCGCTCGGAAGCCGTCCTTGTCTTACCCATTGAGTGCGTTTGAGTGCGAGAGAGATGCAACACTGAAAACGTAATGGTCGGACACATGGCCAAATTATGGCGTGACAAAAAGTCACGCCAAAAACTGGCGTGGCTGTAGGCTATACTCACAAGTGGTGATTTGCAGCTGGTCTTGTGGAACTTGTAGTCCAACTTCTGGTGCTCTCTACTGCAGTAGAAGACGAGCTGGCACTTTCCACACTTCTTCAAAACGTCGCCTCGAGCGCCGCACACAGCGCATCTTGCAGCAACGGCAGCCATCACAGGCTAGAATAAATAAGAACCGGTAAGGCAGAATTCTCCACAGGCAGAGGTGAGAATGTTCTCACACGTTACATAGGATAGTGGAAAACTTCATGCAGAAATCTGGGGAGAATTTCGATTCTCATCAAGGCCAGGGGGTGGCAACAGCCTAGTGCGCGCGTGAAGCTATGCGCGCCGCTCGGGCCGGCAAGGAGCGGCCGGGCGGCTGGGCCGCGCGGCCGAACCAAATTAAACAGAACTTTGTCAAAACTGCATCGAACTGAGTAAACGAGGTCATTTTTAGATTCTACGCAAAATTTCCTATCCGTGAGTGACAATGGAATGGACTTTTGGATATGTGAAACAGTTCTAAAATCAATTTGAAAACCAAATTTACGGCACCAGACAGCCGACTTGAAGTTTCCCTTTCACTAAAAAAGCTATTTCCGTTCGTTTTAGGTCCATACATTCAGCGAGCCGATTGTTGGCCACTATTTTCCGGGTTGCGTGGTACACTTGGAACGCCAATACGACTTCTGTAGCAGAAATGCCGATCCAAAAACTAATTTCCATTTTTGGTCCAAAATTGTATTTTGCAACTTTGGAGGTTAAAAGCACAGTTTGAAATAGGTTTCTCAGCATTGTCAACCTCACTAAGCAACCCAGAATTCAATTCTCTATCGCCCTGCTGTGTTGAATTTGCAAAAGGAGGTCAAACTTCTAATTGAAACAAAAAGGGCCCGAAGCGCTGCAAAACCGCCAAAACAGTTCAAGTATTTTTTGGAGCTTAATGTGTGAAAACTATTTCTCAGATTGTAAATCCAACAACACCACCTTGTAGGCCAGTCAATTCTACAGCTCCATTGTAAGTTTCATCGCAATCGGAGACCAAGAGTAAAGACAGCTATAATAATTGTAAATCCCATCAGTTTGGTTGATTGGTCGAGCGGGCGCAAGTATGAGAAATCGCTGCGGCAGATTTTTGCAGCTAACTTTAAAAAATATTCTGCCGCCTTCACTCTTGGTCTCCGATTGCGATGAAACTTACAATGGAGCTGTAGAATTGACTGGCCTACAAGGTGGTGTTGTTGGATTTACAATCTGAGAAATAGTTTTCACACATTAAGCTCCACAAAATACTTGAACTGTTTTGGCGGTTTTGCAGCGCTTCGGGCCTTTTCGTTTCAATTAGAAGTTTGACCTCCTTTTGCAAATTCAACACAGCAGGGCGATAGAGAATTGAATTCTGGGTTGCTTAGTGAGGTTGACAATGCTGAGAAACCTATTTCAAACTGTGCTTTTAACCTCCAAAGTTGCAAAATACAATTTTAGACCAAAAATGGAAATTAGTTTTTGGATCGGCATTTCTGCTACAGAAGTCGTATTGGCGTTCCAAGTGTACCACGCAACCCGGAAAATAGTGGCCAACAATCGGCTCGCTGTATGTATGGACCTAAAACGAACGGAAATAGCTTTTTTAGTGAAAGGGAAACTTCAAGTCGGCTGTCTGGTGCCGTAAATTTGGTTTTCAAATTGATTTTAGAACTGTTTCACATATCCAAAAGTCCATTCCATTGTCACTCACGGATAGGAAATTTTGCGTAGAATCTAAAAATGACCTCGTTTACTCAGTTCGATGCAGTTTTGACAAAGTTCTGTTTAATTTGGTTCGGCCGCGCGGCCCAGCCGCCCGGCCGCTCCTTGCCGGCCCGAGCGGCGCGCATAGCTTCACGCGCGCACTAGGCTGTTGCCACCCCCTGTCAAGGCCGGAACGCAGAGAGAGGGCGGGGCGTTGTTGTCACGTAGGCTTAACATGCTTCCGCTCCAGGCAGCCATCGCTGCTCCGCCAGCCGTTCAAGTTCGGAGAGCTGCGCACCCACGCGCACCGTGGAGTCTAACGTGCTCTACTGGGTTTGCCGGGCGCCGGGACGGTAGGCAACCAAACGTGCACCACTGGGCACGCCGGGGCGGTAGGCAACTCAACGAGCACCTCTGGGTCCACAGGGCGCCGGGAAGGGAGGCGACCAATCAAACGCATGTCCCACTGAGTTGACCGGGCGAGCCCCGACCTGAGCTCCATTTGAGCCCCGCTCCAAAAAAGTTGAAATTTAACCCAAAATCTTCAAAAAGAAAAAGTTCAAAAATGGAAACTTTTAGGCGTGGAGTTCAAGTAGGGCTCAGGTCGGGGCTCTGGCCATCGGGACTCATGTCGGGGCGTCGCACAACCCGCTCCGATCGGTACCATGCTTGGCTCCGGCTGCGTAGCCGAGCTCGCAACGAGTAATCCCATTTAAGAAAAGACACTTCGTGGTACGACCCCCTCCGATCGTCCTTATTTTTTGTGGGCATGTTATCAACCTAAAAAGACGACAAAAGCCAAAATATTATGTCCGGCAAAAATTTATTGGCTGAGTTATAGCCCAGCAAAGTTACACAAACATGAATTTGGGTATTTTGCCTCATGCGATCAATGTTTGCACCAAGTGGCTGCGACAGGCGCCCTGTTACGTAAAATTGTCCAAGGAACAAGATTTTGCCCACAGATCGGACCTGCGGCCAATATTTCTTGACAATATGGCCTAAAAACCACTAAAAGTTGACTAAAACAGCACATTTGTCTCGGGATTTTCGGGATATCATAATTTTGTTGGCCCTCGAGTGCCTTGAATCGATAGAAAAAATCGTTCTGAATCCAATGAGCACCCGCCTACCTTTGTATCTCCAGCCGTTTAGAAGTAATGGCGCTCCAAAGCTTGATTTTTGGGAAATTTCGCGTCGTCTAAGCGCTAATGCATAGCCAAAAACGCGAATTTTCCCAATGGGATTACTCAACGCGCTGGCTCGCTGCGAGCGGCGGTCGGTTCGATGCCAGGCAAGGCAGCGAGCCGCTCGGAAGCCGTCCTTGTCTTACCCATTAGCCACCTTGAGTGCGAGAGAGATGCAAGATGTGCTCGCTCGTCGAGCGCTGTGATCACACCTCCGCCGCCAGAGCCGAGGCAGCCGAACCCAGCCAAACCCAGCTCGTTGCCTCGGAAGGGGAGACCCACGGCCCATCATCGTCCGTCTCTCTCGCACAGCCTAGGTAGAGCCGGCCGCGCTGGCGGCTTACGCGCTAAGTGATCTTCATCATGACCACGATGAACCAAAAATGATTGCCTTCCTTTCGGGCGCGTCACTATCACTGCAAAGCCGGTGGTAAGTTTAATTGCCACAAATTTGGCAAGCCGTTTTGAATGCCAAAAATTGGCAAGCTTAGCCTGGGAATACCCCACAGCTTGCCAAAATGCGGCAAGCTTGTGAAGATTTCTGACCATAGCTTGCCAAATTTTGGCATTCAAAACGGCTTGCTAAATTTCTGGCAAGTAAACTTACCACTGGCTTTGCAGTGATTGCTGGACCACAAACGATGGAACGCCCCCACTGGACAAAGGTTTAGGTGACGAGCGCAGACATGTCACCTGACGCTGCCGCGCTGCTCGCGGCTGCCGCCTCCCCGCTTATCACCGCCGGATGCCGCGTCGCCCGGTCTGTTTACATCGTAACCGAACGCCACACCGGCCGGCAAACTAACGGATAACGATGCAAACTTTTTCGCGGGCCAGAAGACGGGTGGAGGCGGCAAAAATCCCAGACGGTTTTTGAGCTCCAGAGTGCGACTCGAATCGAAATGGCCCCACCAATGGATTGCCCTCTGAACTAGGGATGGATTGTTGAGGTCACACGTTCTGGAGCTCAAAGCTCTCCTCCAGTGGGGTTGAAAAGTTTTTCATATCTGTCTGTCTGTGTCTGTGTGTGTGTCTGTGTACACTACCCCTCCTGAACGGCTCGACTGAAACCTACTTTAGTGACGGTCGCGACATTGACATTGACGGCGTGGCGCCACGCGGACCTACCAGCTGTTCGGGGCGGTGCGGCGTACGCGGCTAAGTCCCACAGAGGGCAGAGTCTCGGGCAGGGCCTCCGTTGGCTGGAGAGGTGTTGAACTGCTGCTGCTCCTCGCCGATGTGGTGCCAGCCCATTGGTCGGTGGTGGTTTAAATACGGTTTCTGCAGCCATTTTCGAACTCAACTCCTGTGTGTTCAAGTTGTGCATCCTAAAATTCGAATGCACTCCTTGGGATAAGGTCACCACTGCAGTTTCGAGCGCTATTTAAGAGGCGTTGTTCGCCGGGTAGTTATGGGCAGTGCGGCTTGAGCATGCCTCCAGAAGAGTTCGTCGCGCCTGCGGTGTCGGAGCTGTCAGAAGCTGACCTCGACCCCACTGCACAGTGGAGCGAAACGCCAAAAAATGCGACATCGTGCGACATAAAATTAATTTCCGATCTGTCAGCTTTTTTCACGGCATATGGTCATTTCATGATGTTATCTAGTAAAAGAAATGATTTCCTAGTATTGGCTAGGCTTGTAGAGCTAAAAATCGCGAAAAACATAAAAAATTTGTACCAAAATCTGCCATTTTTTACACGTCTTTTGCCCGTAAAACTGACATTTTTTCGATTCTGCAACTTTTCTTAACAGATTCTGAAAGCTAAGGACAAGGCCTACAACTTTTGTTTTGGTCGCAACGCTGTAGCGAGGTCGGCCATTCGACTTTTTTGGCCTCAAAGGTTTTTCTTTTAATAAATTTCATTGGAAAATTATTCCTATTTTGACAAGTTTAGGTACTTCTGGGCCCCTGCAGTCCGCTTTACATCCCAACCAGTTTCAATTCATCCAATCGAGTTTATAAGAACCGGAAATACATGTAACGAGGCAACACAGACCTCAAGGGCTCAAAAATACCTAAATTTGTCAAAATTTCTTTTACTAGATTACATCATGAAATGACCATATGCCGTGAAAAAAGCTGACAGATCGGAAAATAATTCTATGTCGCACGATGTCGCATTTTTTGGCGTTTCGCTCCACTGTGCACTGTGCCAGACGACACTCCCGTGCTGGAGTTCGAGTTAGTGCCGCCTTTGGCGACCGGCAGTCCTCGGCGCGTCCGCGTGCGCGATCCCACGTCTCCTTGGAAGCAAGACTTCGCGGTCTTGGTATCGTCTTTCCACGCAACGACCACACCAAACGCACCAAACGTGGTCTAGACCACACCAACTGATGCGGTCAAAATGGCACCCATTTGACCACGCCAGTTGGTGCGGTCTAGACCACGTTTGGTTTTTCAGTATTCATTTTATTCGTACTACGATGCGATTCTTCGTAGAGGTGGTTTTCCCAGGAAGCCTATGGTAGAGACATAGGCGATTTCCAGGGAGTTCCTGGGAAAACCAGGAACCGTTTTCACCGTGTGTGGGAGTGGGCATGGCGCGGGACAGTGAACACCGGGTCGGCCCGTTCCATTGGTGGTCCTTCCCTCCGCGGGCACGGCCATCGTCCATGCTTCGGCGTGCTGGCGTGCACCCGGCCTCCCTCGCCACGCCGCGAAGAAAACTGATTCCGAGAGCCGTCGTTTTCGTCGCTGTCTCTCTCGCACTCATAGGGCGTCCCGCAGTGTAGGTGCGAGAGAGAGAGAGAGAGAGAGAGAGAGAGAGAGAGAGAGAGAGAGAGAGAGAGAGAGAGAGGAGAAAGAGAGAGAGAGAGTCCAGAACGATTCTCGGAATCAGTCTCCTACACAGCTGGTGTCTTGACGGCCTGGCCACCGGAAATCCACGGGTATGGCCTGAGCCCGCGCACGGCGGCGGCAAGCACTGCGTGACTCACGCACTGCACTGCAACTGCATACCCGGCCAGGTCGTCTGTCTCACACCCACAGTGAATCCGGTGCATGGAGCCAAGCCGCTTTTGTTTACATTAGGCCTGGCGAGCGCTACGGCCTGTGCCTCGCAACTCCAGTCACATCAAAGCACAGCAGAGCCACCGCCATGGCGGCTGTTATCGTCTCCCCCCCCCCTCACGTCACCCGGCCCTTCACGGAAAAAAAGAATATTGTAGCAACAAACTTGGGATAGCACAACAAACTTTGTTAGGCGTACTATCAATTTAATGTCAGAACGAAAACTTTTTGCTCTCTCGGCATATAAATCGTGAAGAGTGCAAACCTTTGACTTTTTCCATTTTTAAGTTATTTAGTTCTCCTAATATCGTTCGTTGTCGGAACGAAATGTTCTTTACGCCTAACAACTTTTTTTAGCTGTCCCAAAATCAACATACATTTTCGTTGCCGAATCAATTTCTTTTTTTTTTCGTGTTCTAGGCGCAAGTACACTGAAAACGTAATGGTCGGACACATGGCCAAATTATGGCGTGACTGAAAGTCTCGCCAAAAATTGGCGTGACACGAAATTCACGCCGAAAAACGGCGTGACATGTGAGTCACGCCCTCATTTGGCGTGAATGACAACGGGTTTACTGTGACAAGTCACGCCAAAAAGCGGCATGACAAGAAATTCACGCCAAAAATTGGCGTGAATTTTTCAGTCACGCCGATTTTTGGCGTGACTTTTCTGTCATGCCGTTTAATGGCGTGACACTTCATTCACGCCCCTGCAGCGGCACGAAGTCACGCCGATAGATTTTCAGTGATACGTACGGATGGAATCGATTTCATCTGCGAAACGCTGAGGTACATCAAACACGGGTGGCCAGAGCCCGCGTAACATTCCGCTGACCAGACAACGAAGATTCCAAGTTTTCGCGGTTGAGAGCATGGCATCTGTCGCCTTGGTCACCATGCAGTGGCCCTTCGCCCGCGAGAACTCAGAGCACTTTGTTTTCTGGTCAGATCACAAACACAAAATACAAAGAGCACATTCCCATAGCAAAAGCAGTAAATCCGTATGCAGTAAATTGGGGTAATTAATTGTGTTCAGATAAGAAAATTTGCGTAACGTCATGCTGTGGAAGGGGTTGAGCGGTCTAGACCGTCGCAACGCTGCGTTCCGTACGGGGAGAGAAAGGGGGGGGGGGGGGAAGGTCATATAAGATAGGTCTGCGCAACCGAGATGCATGCTGGGAGACCGGACAGCTAATCCCTCCCGAATCCGTCGCCGGCTGCAGCGGAGGACCGCCTACCTGCCTGCCAGCCTGCCTGCCGGCTTGCCCGGTCTCCCCGCATGCATCTCGGGGGGGGGTTAAAGTGTCCCAAAACCTGCGTAACGCACGCAATTGGGGGGGGGATAAAGTGTCAAAACCTGCGTAACGCACGCAATTTGGGGGGAAAAGGGGGGATGGGGGGGAGAAAGTGTCAAAACCTGCGTAACGCACGCAATTTGGGGGGAGGGGGGCGAGAGCGTCCTGCTTGGACCGTGACCGGAAGGCGACTGACGGCGTCCGTCCTTGCCCTTTGAGCCCCGCGTTTAAATTCCCGTCAACCGTCAAGAACCCTTCCTCGCACGTCGATAGGCCGCGCGTTTGAGACCAACCAATGGAATATGCTTCGCTCACAGAGACGTAAGGTAAGGGGTACTTCGCCTCCTGATAAAATAATCATAACTGCCAGACACATACCAGACAATCTTAATTGTCAGAGCTATCCTCACTGCACAAAAGCACTGCACAAAGTCCGTTACGCTTACATACTTCATAAAGTCAGCTTTCTGAACGCCTTGTTAAAAAGTTTCATGCTTAGTGTTTAAGAGATGTCGCGATTGTTGCAATGTTGTAGTGAAGATAGTTTCCTGAACACTTTCAGATACCTCTACAGTTACGCAGGACAGTTCTCAATCTGCACTGACGTTAGGATTTTCTTGGCTCTGATCTGGCAGCTACGATCATTCTATTGGGGGGCGTCGACTTTGGTCTACTGAACAGATGCTTACCTCTTCGGTTTGATCCGGAAGCTGTCCAAAGCAACGCTTCTCACGGGTGGAGTCCGAACGCAGCTCGCTGGTCACAGCACAGAGATGCGGCACCGACAGGTCACAGCACAGAGACGTCACCAGCTACTGAAGCACAGACAGGTCACAGCACGAATGGGGCACAGAGCGGTCACAGTTCACACGACAACCCACGGCACGAGCGAACGCTTAGACGACGAAGCACGCAGCGCGACGCAACGTGGAGCTATACGCATGTACTCCCAGTAGGACCGCCGAGGGCGCACTGACTGACTGGAACTGGACTGGATTGGTTGGGAGGGGGGAGGGGGTTGGGGATGGTCCCAGGACCCAGACCGTTGCGGCGGCGGGGCGGGGACGGGGGCGGCGGGCGGGTGGGGGTGACTGCTAGCCGCTGCTAGCCGAGCCGGCCCCCAGCGCGGATCCAGATCACTCTCCCTTGAACGCACGCTGTGCAATGCAAACATGTCATTTTGATAGAGCCGGGCTCGAAGCCGACACTGAGAATGAGTGTCAGCACCATCACCCTTCAAATGGGTGGTACAACTTCGCTGCCCAATTTTAGATGGCGAAAAATTCATTGGCGCAACAAACAGCTGGATTTTTGGAATTTTCTGATAAAGTTTATCGCCATCCTGGACAAACGGCTGGCAGGAACTTGACCAATTTAGGTTTCCAGGTGGGCCGCTACCCAACCCTGAAGTCAAAAGTCCCGGACACCAAGTAGGTTTGTGGCCAGAGCTCCTTTGGGCTTGAAAAAAATTACCACTTCCTCTTCCGCCTGAACGGCGACCTAGTGGCACGTCCTCGTATCTCAGAAAGTACTGAGCGTAGAACGAAACTGACTTCGGCGTTGGGTATTGCCGCGGGTATTGCTGAGACCCGGAGGCCTCTACGCCACATAGGGGTCATCGTGGTGGCCCCGGAAGGACGTCATCGGGGACCTCACGGCGTGGCCGACAACGTTACCCAAATTTGGGCGATGATTTTTTGCCTGCCCAAAATTTAGTCACCGCTGACTCGTCACCCAAATTTGAGCGACGATGCGCGCGCCACCCAATGAAAGGGTGATTGTGGTGACTCGTTCATTCTCAGTGGAAAGGCATACGATCGACGTGTATTCGGCGTGTATTACGACATTGAAATGCTGAAATTTGGCACATTTGACCTTAAAATGGTGTTGCACTCACTGGCCAAGTTGCCAATCTCGCAAAGTGCGTAAACGGCTTCGCTTCACGCGCTCCCTTGGCCGACCCCACCCCCCTGTCAAATCGCATCTAGAGTTTGAGCCACCGGGGGTAACGGCTCTTTGATTTCGTGTCAGCGCCGGATTACTCAGATAACCTGTGATTTTCACTGAAAATTCGCCAATATTGACCCGTATTACAATCCACGCTGTCAGCCGGATTACCGGTGTTGTTACCCCCACACCCTCCGCGCCGGCGGTGTTGTTGTTCTGGACACGATGTAGGAACGCTCCTACATGGCGTTCTGGCCCACTGTGCCGGCCAGGGGCCGCGGGAACGGCAAGAAGCTGTATATTGGGCATTCCCTTTCGATGTTTGGATCTGCATGACGTTGCAGGCGCAACGTGGCAGCTGCGCCAGTGCACTGGACTGATTCCAAAAGTCGTTTGCGTCGCTCGTCGATCTCTCTCACACTCATGGGGCGCTCCGTGTAGGTGTGAGAGAGACAGCGCGACGTAAACGACTCTCGGAATCAGTCTGCTGCCCTCTCCAGTTACGAGCGCGGGTCACTTGACGCCGCCGCCGCGCTCCTCGCGGCCGCCCTTCCCCTCTTATCACCGCATGCCGCGCCACCCGGCATGCAATCGGTTGGGGAAATAATGAGACACCGAAACCTTGTTTATCGCCGTTTTGAAGGAAAGACTTTTCGGTACTAAGAGGAGGCTAAAGTAAGGCCCGCCGAGCGCGCTAAAATTACCTACCCTACCCTACCTACCCTAGAATTACGGCGCATCGTTACAGGCATCGACGTGAAAATTGGAGACGCGTTACAGAACAAGATTACCTAAAGGGTGGCGGTCGCCAAATTTCCATATCTTGCGCACAGCCGCTCTGGCTGTGGCTCAACTTCATTCAAAATTTCTAAGCTAGAAATTTAACGCATCAGATATTCGGGAGAAAATCTGACCTGACTGGCGGCAAGGATGACTCTTTAGGAACGCACGTGCAAAGTTTCAGATTTTTTGGTCAAGGCGTTTGCGAGAAAACAAAATTTACGTATCGGTCTACATTGCCTCCCGAGTCGGGGCGCTCCGGCCAGCGCGCTCGGCGGGGCTCACTTTAGACTCCTCGTAAGGCCGTTTTTTTTGGATCGCCAAAACAGGTACTGAAAGTATCACCATTGGATTTACAGTTTTGGATAACTTCATCGCTTTAGAATATCGACGATTTCATCAAAAGTCAATGAAATTTTCTTTTAAGGTATTGGCTAAGTTACCGGTAAGGAAGGAAATTCACAGTTCACAATTCACAGTTCACAGATAGAGTGAGGGGTGAGGCGGGGAGTCTTCACAGTTCACAACTCACAGCTCCCCGCCTCACCCCTCACCCTATCTGTGAACTGTGAATTGTGAACTGTGAATTTCCTTAACTTGATATAGCCATAGCATGAGCGTGACACCAATGTCATTTACAAGTTAGATGTCATTCGAGGACGAAAAATTAAGCCTGGAAACATTTACTAAGTATCAATTTAAATTTTCAGTGCGTCTGAAACCGAGATATTTTCTACCTTGACTGAGAGTTTTTTTTTCTGCCTTGAATGACTGTAGCTTGCGGGCGTTCGAAGACTCGCGCTTCAAAGCAGGTTGGCCAACGTGCGGAAGTCCGCAAGATCCGAGCTTAGCCTGGGAAAGCCTGCAAAATCTGCGGACGTTTTTTTATACAGTGAACAATTACTTTGACGCACACTCATTCAAGGCTTTGGCAGATATCAGTTGTCAAGACACTTTTGTTTTCCAGGACTGGTAGTTCTAAAGGCCCGAAAGAAGGAAAAGTTATTCATATTGCAATTGCAATTGAGTGAGGGTTGTTTATGTTGTGGAGTTGTCTTGGAGAGCTCTGATCAATTTGACAAGTATGCTTTCGTGGCAGTGATTGATTCTCCTTGACCTGTGTTTCAATCTTCGCTCCGTGTGTTGCCCAGCTTCTAATTTTAAATCGCTTTATTGGGAACTCTTCTTACATGTAGTTTTCCGCAGCCCGAAAAGCACCGTTCGTGTTTCGGGAGGTGCCGGCAATTTTCATGCTTGCTCTAGTCTTTGCGGGATGTAGCTCATCATGTTTTCCGGCGAGAAGATCAAAGTCTTCAGTTTTCCTTTGAGCTTACATTTCGGATCAAGGCACGCCGAAATGCGTGCTGCTGCGGCGCTCCCATCTCCCCGCAGCTACACCTGTTCAGGCTGCAGAACTTCGAACTGCATCTGTTTGCGCTGTTTGAAGTCCAGTAGCAATCCCTCTATTCATTCTTGAGAATGGAAGCCAACCGGGAAAACTGTAATGTACCTCTGACTTACCATTGGCATTTTTAACCTGTCAACAGAAAATGGTTGCTGTTTCGGAGATGTCAGCCTATGAAGTGTATCAGCGTAATAATGCTGATAAGAGGCAAGAGAATGCTACTAGGCTCAAGGAGAAAAGGAAGAGAAAGATTGTGAAACGAAAGCAGTTCAAGCTGAACGCATTGGCTGCCAGTGAGTTACTTGAAGCTGCTTCAGAACATTCGAAGAGAAGCTCTGTGCAAGATTCTGAACCAACCACACTCGGTGAAAAGGAACCAATGGTCACTATTGTTGAAGGTATGGCGTAGCCTTCATTTGAGCTTTGCAATGATCTTATTCGTTCATGATCGGTACATCTTTGTTTTCAGCCCCCAATAAGACTAAGTTGAACAATGGTTCTGTACAGGAGAGAAAAAAGTGAGTACCCACAATCATGGGGAGTGTGTTTCAATTTTGACTCTTTACTAATTTTTATGTTTATCCTTTAGGAAAAACAAATCTGAAGATACTCTGAATAGTGTGCAAGTCAGTAAGAAGTCAAACAAGAAAACTACTTTGGCTATAAAAGATTCTCTCACTGATGTGCCGTCAGCAGCTAAGAAAGATTCTCGTGCAGATTTGTCCTCAAGTGCCAAGGGAAACGGGCATCCAACTGTGTCATCTAAGGCTAAGAAACAATCTTCTTCTACAGTCCAGTCAGGTTCCAAAGTTTCAGAATCTGAATCAATATCTTTGTCAGATTCTGAAAGCAGTGTACATATTGCTGAAAATTTCTTCTCATGGTTAATGGATCCCATTAGCAAAGAGGATTTCTTCAGGTACTTTCTTTTTATTTTTGATCATATTTTTAAATTTCTTTTTCCTTCCCTCCTGTCTGTATTCTGATTGATTAATTAGTGCCCCTTGGGTTTATTGCATTCAGTCTTTATTGGGAGAAGAGACCTGTCCATATTTGTCGAGAAGAAAATCGTGACTATTATGGTGGTCTTTTGTCAACAACTGGCATTGATGATATGCTGCGCAAGAATAATATCCTGTACGGGAAAAATATTGACATCACATCATACAGCAATCAAAAAAGGGAAACTCTGAATTCGGTGAGACCTAATTTACTGTTACATTACGGGCCTTTCTCAATCCTTCTATTGTCTCCTCTTAATTTTCATCTTTATTATAGACTGGACGTGCCCATGCTGCAGTTGTGTGGGACTACTATCGCAATGGTTGTAGCATACGTCTGCTGAACCCTCAGACTTATCACCCTCAACTGAGAGAGCTGAATGCAAGGCTTCAGGAAGTGTTTGGTTCTTTTGTTGGAAGCAATGCTTACCTCACTCCCCCCAACTCTCAAGGATTTGCACCGCACTATGATGACATAGAGGCATTTGTTCTACAAATTGAAGGCAGCAAAATGTGGCGTGTATATGCTCCAAGGTTTGATTAATTTCTTCTGCATCTTACTTGAATCTGGGCCCTTGCGGAACCTGATCTTTGAACTTCTTTCAAGGAATGCAAGTGAAAGATTGCCTAGAACTTCTAGCCCTAGTTTTACTCAAGAAGAGATTGGTGAACCACTTCTTGAAGTCTACTTAAAAGCAGGGGATATTTTATATTTCCCTCGGGGATTTATTCATCAGGCAAATACTGTGCCAGGCGAGCATTCCCTGCATGTGACTATATCAGCATATCAGAGAAATTCCTGGGCAGACTTGCTCGAGAAGGTTGGTTAAAATGGTCAACCCCCAATGAATGTCATTTGAACAATCTCTTGGTGAATATTTAGTATTGTACTGATGTATGTGCATGTACCCTTTAGCTTGTCCCAGCAGCTTTATCTTGCGCTATTAATGAAGATGAAGACTTTAGAAAGGGCTTGCCTCTTGATGCAATGAACCACTTAGGAGCAGTTCATTCTGATTCAGAATCACCCGAAAGAGAGGCTCTTATGAAGAAATTAAAGCGACTGTTCAACAAGCTCTTTGACTACGCCCCTGTAGATGCAGCTTCTGATCAGCTAGCAAAGGACTACATTCATGGAGCACTCCCACCATGCTTGTCATCAGGTATGGTGTTGTTTGAGACCACTCACTTTTTTTTTTCTTCTTCTCCCTGAAGTTTGCCTAGCCTAGTCTCACTTTTGTCTCTTTTCTTTCTTAGCCGAAAAGAAATGTTCAGTGCTGGGAAACAGTGATAGAATGTGGGAAAATGGCCAGTGCCAAGGAGCTGTCATATTATCACTTGAGACGCCTCTCAGAATCACTCGTGCCAATGTCTTGAGGTAAGTTTGCCCTCAGTTTTTTAAAGTTGCTCTTCATAACTTATTGTTTGTTTTGTCTTTATAGATTGGTCTCTGAAGAAGAACCTGATTGTGTGAAACTGTATCATTCTATTGAAAACTCATTGGAATATCATGGGGAAGAAATTCAGTGGATTGAAATTCCTGTTCATTTTGCTCCTGCAGTAGAACATTTAATTATTTCATACCCAAAATTCACCCCAATTAATGACCTGCCTCTTGAAAATGATGCAGATAAGGTATGAAAATTTATTTATTTTTGAAGCTTTACAGTAGTGATGCTCTGATCGAATTAGTTTTGATAGGTGTTATTTACGTGTCTCCACTTACTCTCTCCTAACAGATTCAATTAGCTACCGAATTGTGGGAACGTGCCCTTGTTCTTACTCAAAAACCCCTTTCTGTGGTTATTGACAATGGTGTTGACGTTGACGACGATGATGACAAATGAATTAATGATTGACAGATTTACCTGGATTTGCCCTCAGAAATTTTTCACTGTAATCTTTTTTTCCTTTTTTCTTTTTCTTTTCTTTTATTTCTTTTGGGAGGGGGCGGGGGATTGATGAGGGGGACTTTCATGTATGACATGTGAAGATTCCTCATGCGACAGAAATGTTCTGTTTGTACATGTTTCTTGGGAATAGACCATGAAACGCAATTGTTACCCATCCTCTTCCAGCTTGTACAAGAACTTAGTTTGTAATGTTTTGGGCTGTGATTTTTACATAAACACAATCATTTTGTATCTTTTGATATTTTGTGTCAATTAGCATGCGCCTATTTTCTATTAGTTGAGGCATGGAGATGTATTTTGTCGTTGTTTTTAAATCATGCCAACTGTTTCCGCTTTTCTTTACATACTTTGACTCAGGATGATTGTTGTCACATGAAAGCAATTAAAAAGGTCAACGTTAATTTATCTCTTTACTCATCCTGTATGGGTCTTGCCTTTATTTACAAACCTGCACAAGTGAATGTCTTGAAGTCTCTATGGAAGTTGCATTATTCATACCACTGGCAGTACTTAGCGTGTGCAGACATGACAAGGCATGTTGTTTTGAATCGCTTGGAATCAAAATTAATGGAAACACGGTTTAGGTATTACAAGATCAATGTGACAGCTTACCTACTGTCAGTGCAGGTGACATGTCAAACGAATTTCGGTACGGTCTTAATTCCGTGGCAGTCAAGAAGTTTTTTGGCAGGCCATCCTTATTCAAAAAGCCCGCCAGTGGAATGACAAGGTACCAAACTGCGCCAAACTCATGCAGTTTTATGTAGTTTACTCAACTGGCAGCAGACGTCATGCGGAGTTCTGTTATTTTAATCGAGTTGCACTTTTATTTTTATTTTTAAACTTGGTCTATGCACAACTTTGTTCGACGTTCGCACTTCTTTCAGTGCACTGTCGGCTAGGTTGGTACACCGCAAACAACAATAACATTGCAGGGTAGTCGGGGTCTTCTTGTTGTTCTTGTTTGCTAAAGGAAAACAATTGAGCAGTTCTGTTCTGCAGTCGGTCGGGTCAACTGACGACATTTTACCAAGTGCTGTGTCTGTTTTCGGACATATTTTTTTGACACTTCTCACGTTTGCGATTCATCTTCACTCTGAAACCTACAGGGAATTGCTTGCGTTGTAAGTTAACTGATAAAACGTCTGGCTTTCTCGTCATGACATAACATAGTGGTTTACATTGCATATCACATCATCACAATTTTCCAGATATCATTTCCGCTCCACTTTTTTGGCGTTTTCAACTCTTGTGTCTGGCTGTTATGCCCGAAATTTACAGTTTCAACGCTGTGTTGTCGAATGTCTGATGCCAATCATGACTTATACTGTCAACTATTTTGTGTAATTGTTGAGGTTAACTTTCTGAATGGCTTCCTATGTCCTTTTAATTTAATGATTTGTTTCAAACTCTTGCTTTGCTTCAATCTGTGATAAAAAAAAGAAATAAATTTATCATTGACACTGGTACATGTTATGTGTTATTCTGCTAAGATTGCTCATAGTTCACACTGGTTGAAAACTTTGCCTTATGCTAATGTGTATTTCCTGTTTTTTAAATTGGCAGTGCGACTTCAGCAAACATTATCCACCATCATTGAGGAAAATAGTGGAGGGCCACCAGTGTCCGCACTGGTGGCAGACACTAGTCAACGACCTAGTTTAGACATGTCATCAAATTCTGATATGATTGATGATACCCAAGGACTTGACATTTGTCGAGTCTGCCGGTCCGAAGGCCTTCCAGACCGACCTCTTTTCCATCCATGTATTTGCACTGGAAGTATAAAATGGATCCACCAAGAATGTCTAATACAGTGGATGAGGTACAGCAGAAAGGTATGTATCTGCAAATATGTAAAAGATCTGCTTACTGTTTCATTGTTTACTTTGCAGTAATACATCATGTCTTGTGTTTTCAGGAATACTGTGAACTATGCAGTTACAGATTTTCCTTTACACCAATCTATTCACCTGATATGCCTCGACGACTTCCACTTCGAGATGTTATTAGCGGTTTACTTACAAGTGTTGCTACAGCAGTGCACTATTGGTTACACACAACCTTAGTTGTTTTGGCTTGGATTGGAGTTGTGCCTATAGCAGCATGTCGCATATATCGTGTATTATTCAGTGGATCTATTCAATCTGTGAGTGTAACACAAATTTGGCCTTTGAAATTTTGAATTATGATTGTTTCCAATGAGGTATCATTTTATATCTTTATTCATAGGTTTTAGAACTTTTATCTGTCGAAAATGTGGCTCTGGATATGCTACATGGAGGCATTGTAGTCACATGTACTCTGCTAGCTTTCATTGGTTTGGTGTGGCTGCGAGAACAAATTTTACATGGGGGCGCCTTGGATTGGGTGGAAAATCAAGGTATTGCTCAAGACGTTCATGATGAGCCTGTTGGTCAGGTAATCCTTCACCCCAACAACAACAATCAGCACCCATTGAATTGGCAGGTTGGTACATCTCTTGTCAGTGCTTCAACTAACATGTAACTTTAAGAAAAAAAAGTTCTTGTTTATAATTTTTTTTATGTTGTTGTCTTTTAGGATGTAGCAGAGGCTGCGCAGGGGGGCGATGTACCTGGGGTCAATGCTGCTGATGCTGCCCCTGATGTGGACGCTGAGGGAGACGTTGGTGTTGGCGACCCAGTCGCACCGCCAGGGGAAGCAGCGGCAGATGAAGCTAATTGGAATCCTATTGAGTGGGACCGGGCTGCTGAAGATCTGACTTGGGAAAGACTTCTTGGCCTTGATGGATCTTTGGTAAAGTTTTACTTTTGACTGGTCCCATTTCTACCACATCTAAATAATCCGGATATGGTATTAACGTATTAACATTTAATGTTTTCAGGTATTTTTGGAACATGTTTTTTGGGTAGTCTCATTGAACACGTTGTTCATTTTACTCTTTGCATACATTCCTTATCATGTTGGCCATGGAGCAGTTGTGTTACTTGGGCTGCATGAGTATGCAATGGCTGCCCATTTTGAAGGCCTTGTCACCACTCTTTGTGGATACTGTGCTATTGGAATGATATTTGTTATCCTTCAAGGCTTAGCTTCTTTGTTTGGGCTTATAAGAACTAAGCGTTTTTTGAGATTGTGCTATATTGTTGTGAAGGTATGTAATCAAAGCCGTTTGTTTCCATATTGCAAATTATGATGATAATTGTGATTTTTATTCTAAATGTCTCTTCTTTTTTATTTGGCAGGTTTCGCTTTTGACCGTTGTCGAATTAGGTATCTTGCCTCTGATATGTGGTTGGTGGCTTGATATTTGCTCTCTGTCAATGTTTGATGCCACCCTCAAAGATCGAGAGGCCAGCTTCCGCCTTGCACCAGGAACAGATTTATTTATTCACTGGCTTGTGGGCATGGTATATGTGTACTACTTTGCTTCCTTCATCCTTTTGCTGCGTGAAGTACTGCGCCCTGGTGTTCTTTGGTTCCTCCGGAACTTAAATGACCCAGACTTCAGTCCCATTCAGGTAAGTGTGGGAGATTTATTTGCTTGGAATGAAAACCTTAGGTGTACTACACTTCATACAATATATCATTCTTGTCCTGTCTTAGGAAATGATTCATCTGCCAATTCTACGCCATATACGTCGCCTTGTAGCGTCTGTTGTTATTTTTGGAATGGCTGTGCTGCTCATGCTGTGGGTTCCTGTGCGCATTTTGCGTTGGACGTGGCCCACTTTCTTACCATACACTGTGGCTTTGCACTCAGACACACAGGTCAATGAATTATCTCTTGAACTGTTACTTCTCCAGGTAAGCGCAAAACTACTTGACAGCTTGTTCCTGGGCAAGATTTGAAGTACTGCAATTCATGCCTTACCAAATTTTATTTCCACAGTAAAAATCAACTTTGGAATGGCATGAGTTCTTACTTATCAAGTCTTGTCGAGGAACCACCTGTCCGATTTCTACTCTGTATCCCGAAATTCCCCCAACTGACCGTGTCGGCGTTGTGTTTCCCTCAGGTGATCTTGCCCGCGTTGCTGGAGCAGTCCCACTCGCGCATTTGGCTCAAGTGGCTGGTGGGGCTGTGGTGCCGCTTCATGGCGTGGTCCCTGGACCTGCACAGCTACCTGCTGGGCGACGAGGAGCCGCCGGCGCAGCAGGCAGCGGCCGGGGACGCTGCGGCCGACGCCGACGGAGTCCCGGACCCCGCGGGCGGTGCCGCCGACGGCCCCGGCGACGTCCACGCCGGCCACGTCCACGTCCACGCCGCCGAGCCCGTCGCGGCGCCGCCGGACGAGGCCGTGCAGGGCGGCGGCATCGGCCTGGGGGGCATGGGCGGCATGGGGGGCGGCGGGCTGGGGGCGGCGCATCTGGCGCTCTTCCAGCCACACGCCCCCACCGGGTACCGGCCCTTCAAGCGGCCCAGCCTGTTCTGGGTGCGCCTGGTGGCGCTGGTGCTGGCCATGTGCGTGTCGCTGGTGCTGGCCAGCCTCATCGCCCTCACCGTGCCCGTGTGGGTGGGCCGGCGCGTCATGAACCTCTGCCTCGTGGGCACGGCCGCCACCACGGGCTCGTCGTCGGGCCGCATCCACGAGCTGTACACGGCGGCCTGCGGGATGTACTTGTGCTGGCTCGGCGCCAGGGCCTTCGCCCTCATGCTCAGCTGGCTGCCGCAAGGTAGGCCCTACTGCATGTCCGTCCGGTCCTGTGAGCCCTCTTGGCTGGCCGGCCCCAAGCCAGTGGCGTGCGCAGGGATTTTGATAAGAGGGGAGTGGTTCAAGCCATGCTGTTTGCTGACTTTCAGGCTAACCTGCCCAATTTGCCTACCTTCCTGGCGGCTGTCTAGTGCTCATAAAAAGAGGGTTCCATGACTACTACTCCCCCCCCCTCACTCGGAGCATGCCACTGCCACAAGCGCGGATCCAGTGGGGGGATTTGGGAAGCAATCGAACCCCCTTGGTTTCTAGATAGCCGCCTGAAAGGCAGGCCAAAAGCCACAGTTTAGCCCTGTTAGAAAGCAGTAATGTTTCTCCCTCAAGCTGGCTCTGGATGCGCCACTGGCTGAGCTGGTCTGGCTGCTGTCATGTCCAGCCGGCTAATAGACGGACGGTTGAAAGAGAGAGAGACGCATAGTGTCTCGTGCTAGAGCGAGCTGGACAGTGCTAGGTTCAGCTTAGTTTCAGCCGGTGGCTGGCTGCTCACCAGCCACCGGTCCAGCCAGCCAAGAAGCCTCAAAAGTCCAGACACTGTATTTGTCTTCGTCTTGTGCTTGCCTTTTAGTACTGTTGATCTCACGTGTGTCATCTTCATGCTTTCCAGGTCGGGCCGCCATGATTGCCAGAGTGAAGCAGTGGTTCGTGTGGAGTGTGCGCGCCGCAGTGGCCTTCTCTGTCCTGCTGGGTCTGGTCCCGCTGCTCTTCGGCCTCCTGCTCGAGCTGGTCGTTGTGGTGCCGCTGAGAGTCTCTCTGGAACAGAGTGCAGTGCTCTTCATGTGGCAAGACTGGGCCCTGGGTGTGCTGTACACGAAAATCGCCTGCGCTATTGCAATGATGGGACCAGACTGGTTCTTTAGGCGAACAATTGAAAGGGCGTACAGAGACGGAATCAGAAACATGGATCTTCGATTTATTTTAAATGACTTGGCAGCGCCACTTGTATTCTTCTTTGGACTGGCGTTATCAATTCCATATGCTACAGCACATGGGGTAGGATTTCGTCATCTCATTTTTTTAACAATTGATTTCTCATTCTTGCATTTTTTTATACCCAATTCTACATTGCTTGTCTTTTGCAGATTGTGCCTCTATTTGTGCAATCACCACATCTAAAAAATCTGATTTCAAGAAGAATCTACCCATTTGTTCTTCTTGTAGGACTTGTAGCTGCATTTGTATGTTTCCAAGTAAGTTTGTGGCATTTTCAATAAAATGGCCTTGTAATAATGTTTTATGAACATTAATTATGAAATCATTTAAAATTTTTAGATTCGCCAGTTCCGGAAGCTGTACAATCACATCAAAGACAGCAAGTACTTAGTAGGCCGGAGACTTGTAAACTATGACCCAAGAAGACACAAATCTACGTCAACAAGGGATTAATTGTGGTGCATAATGTAGACATTATTCCAGCATCAAAAGTATTATTGCTGGAACCCTTCACCTGGTCTATTTACCTCATTTAAATTTATTGAGTAACTCTTTGTCATATCGTTACGATTATTCATACTATACAATGTACCTCAGCCTCAGTGAATGTTTCTGATTATTTTTATTTTTTTCTGTTTGCTTCTTTTTTGATGTTATAACTGCATTAGAACAAACCTTCTTTCTTCTGTTCAGCTCTCAAACAGTGAGTTTTGATCCTTGCACCTGTCCAGTCAGTATTAAGTAAATGCTTAGCATTTCTTCAAAAACGAAAATTTTAACAGTTGATATTTGACAATAGTTATGAATTTTTCCTGCCACTTTGATAGTTTGAATTTAATTGTAGTGAATCTCATTAAACTTTCAACAACTTTTGTTTTCATTGTTGAATGTTTGCAGTTCTGTGACAATGTTCTATAGCCTGCTAAATTTAAAACTTTGGGTTTGAAATAAATTTTGTTTGAAAACAAGTCACTGATGTTGCAGGACTTATGATTATGTTCAAGGTCAGATTTTCTGCTAGTGTACTCATTTTTAAAATTATGTATTTATTTTTATACTTCATGCTTTACTTGTTTCTCATACAGGAATACTATAAATTTCTTATCATTGACAAATGGTGAGCTCAAAGCATCACATACTTTCCTATTCAGTCCGTCTCCTTCATGTTTCCAAACCTTGTCAGCTGTCTAGATGGATAACCAATTATTTTTTAAAGCACTGTGTTCAAGTCTTGTAATTATTGAAGGTAAGGATTTTGTCAGAGCCATTACGAGTGAGACTGATCGTGTACATACTATCAACTTAGAAAATGAAATGGCCTGAGCTTGTTAACATACATAGTATGGATGTGGAAGAACAGACAGAAGATAATTTTCCTGTCATTGCCTGTAACTTGTAGAGAAATGGTTAGGAGGTTCATGAGGGTTCAGAAAATACGAATATTGCGAGTTGCATTTAAGTTACTCCCTTCAAATTCTTTATGATTTACCCACAGTGAGAGGGTGTTGCTCAGTGATAAGCTTCCCTTTGGCACCAATCACCAAAATATGAATTTTCTGTCACATAGCTGGTACTCCATCAGCATGTATTTTGATGTGCTTCACAAATAAACTTGAATGTTGTCAATTCTTGGTAATGTTAATCTGAATGTTTGGAGTCTTCAATTGATCTGTGTGTCTGTGCAAGGTCCAAAAGACATGTTGTGGTGCTATTTCAAACTATCCTCTTAAACTTACTTCATTCTGAATCTGTAAAGTGGAGGGATTAATTAGACTTTCTTATACGCCAACGTTTGTTTTTCCGCTTTCATTAAAGGGACACTTGTTTTCTTATAATCTGTCTCGTGAACTTTGTGCCACAGAATACATGTATGTGATATTATTAGATGCTTGCATCTTACATGTAGTGTTTTCTGATTTGGACTTTTTCATTGTAGCCTTCTCCCTTTTTTTTCTTCTTACTTTTTAAGTAGATTGTGGTGATTGTTAAAAACATTTTATCAATGAACCTTTATGAACTAGTTTGATACAAAAATAATGCAAATTCACTTTTCTAGATTAAATTTATGAATCTATGTCCTTGTTTTTGTTACATGATTCTTGAAATAATTGACTATGTGTCAATAATTTCTAGCTTTATTTCTGTAATGTCTACTTGAGTAGGTACAGATGCTGAGACTGTTCATTTCATGCTGTGATAAGGAAATGTCAAAATAAGATGCTGGGTTTAGATGCAGTTTCGGTTTTCTTTAGCAGCTTCTAATAGCTATTCGTTTCACTTGTAACTTTACTTCATTTTGTAAGAATGTTTACAGTTGGTGTATTTCCTTTCAGACCCATGTACCACTAAGTATGCACTCCTATTCAAAGGCCATTGAGGTGCAAGTGAACAAACGTAACAAATGACGAATGAATGATAAGTACTTACAGTGAGAGCATTTTTCTCCTTGTTACCTTATTTCTTGGGGCCAATCCATCTGTGCATCGATCAGCCGTTCAAATAAATAAACTTTCATTACAGATAATAGAGCTGCCATGAAAACCATATCCAGAGAGAGTAATTATTATTATTATTCTTGCTTCTAAATTGAATGTGTTATGTAAATTATAAATGTTCCCAAACTACATATTTGTTATTGTTCACAAAATCTTCCTAGTGAAGTCTTGTGGGTACGTGGTTATGAATGAATTTGTGATTTAATTATCCTAGTTTTTAAGTGCAGAGGGAATAATATTTGAAGTGTTCTGATAGTCATGTACAATTTGCTGTAGTCATTCATGTTATTCCTTCTTCAATGATTGTTTGTAAAGATTTCTTTCACCTTTTTCTTGAGTTTTTTTGGAACAATGAGTAGGCTCTAAGCCAAGCACCGACATTTTAAGTTTTATTTGTCATTGTGACTATTTATGTAAATACCAATATGATGATAATTTTGCTTCCTTGTGGTACTTCTTCCGTACTTCATGGAAACATTTCTATTATTCAATAAACAGCTCTGTTACAATACATTGTGGGGTCTTAGTTAAAAACCTTCGCAACTGCCGTTTTTGTGTTGGAGCAGAAGAGTCCCTTTTGTTGTAACGTTGGGTGGTAGAAAGAAGGCACATGTGGACTGGCTGACAGTATAATTCGGACTAACTGGCAAATACAGAAGTAGACGCAAGGAGGCTCCAATAGTCAAAGGCAAAGGGGAACGTAAACAGCGCTAGTGGCAAGAGCAGGGACTACATACAGGGGATGGAGTATTGACACAGTAGTACATAGTGAGGTATACATCACTCCTCCCCCTTTAAAAGCTACGAACAACTAGGGGTACAAAGCTGTAACAATTCATGGAACGGAATACAAGACTTGACATAGGTAACTGGTACGACCAATTAGAACACTGAACAAATACAGTTTACCAAAGGCATAAAATTAAACGGCAAGGAAAACCGACAAGTTTGATGAAAAGTGTGACAAAATTTGATGGAAAGAAAATCCAACAAGAAATGCGCACAGAGAATACAAAGTACAGTGTTACATTAAGCGCAAACAAAAAATTACCTGAAACATGACAATTTGTTAGTACTACAGCATTACGACTTTGGCAAATAACCGAAGGACAGCATACATTGATAACACTTCACAGGAAGCGGGAAGAGAAAGACCGAAAGCCAACACAAAATTTCTCTTAAGAGATTCAGGAAGAGAAAACACAAAGTGGGACTTCTGTATCTGGGGGTCGGGGCGGGATGTAGAAAGGTGGTAGTAGACTCGAGTCGACGTCATCGACGGCGAGGCGTCGACTCGTCGCCGACGGCGTCCTGGAGCTAGAGGGGTGGGGCGGTGGTGTAGAAGGGTGGTCGTAGACTCGTCATCGACGGCGTCCTGGAGCAGAGCGTTGACTCGTCATCGACGGCGTCCTGGAGCTGAGCGTAGACTCGTCATCGACGGCGGCCTGGAGCTGGTGGCCCCGTAAACAAAACTAGTACATGTCTGGAATCCGACGTCTTTCGGACGTCCCGAAGAAGTCGGTTTTGGGAGCTCTTCGGGACCTCCCTAAACGTACTACAAATGAAGCTCTCTCGTACGTCGCGCGGGGACCTAGTGTGTGGTGCCAGAGTTCGCCGCCAGAGCGCGCCCTGGTCGCTCGTCCCAAAGTAGTCGGTTCTTGGAGCACTTCGGGACGTCCGAAACGGTAGGTCTATGTGAGGTCTTTGGGAGGTCCCCCACCACACCCGTCGCAGCGTCCTGCGGCCATGTAGTTCCGAGTGTGTCCGCTAGAGCGCGCCTCGGGCCCACGCGATGCTCACCTGTTGTGCAGATGACAGTCGGCGCACTTTGGCGCGCACTGTGCTTGTGGCGTCGGATCCTTACTTCTATTTATTTTTCTGTTAACTATAGTAAATTCATTTCTCCAAAGAAAAAAAAACCACGCACGAAGATGTTCAGTTCTCAGGTGCACCAATAAGAAGAATACTTCAAAGCCTGGTGCAGGCTTATTTCGTGTTTCAATCCAAATCAGAAAGTGCCGGTGTAAGTTAACCTACAATATTCTGTTACTTTGATACTCTTATTGTCAAAGTGCTTATTTTGTTCGTCATCTGATTTTATGCTTGAGAAATAGGCTCTTTGCGGAAACCTTGACCCACTGGAGTCGCCCAAGATTCTGGAACGATAACCTGAACCACTATGCAATTACATGTGGAACAAGAACTGACTCCTGTGCTTCAGTGTCAAATTAAGTGAATTTCCTGCGACAGAGCAAAGTAAGCATGACACCTTGGAATCAGTGCTAATTGAATTTCTTTCAGTCATTTTGGCTTATTTTTTAATCAAGGGGTGTTACAGTTATGGTTGCTGTGTTTTCTTTTCAGTCCAACTGAGATTCCTCTTTTAAATATTTTGTTTTTGAGTCCTGTCCACCATTTTTGTCTCCATATTTTCTGTTGTTCGTGACAAGTCCTATCGTTTGATTTTTAATTTAAAAAGGTCAGTGAATAAATACATTTTTCCTAACAGTTTATCTGTGTCATATTCACATTCCTATACGCATTCACATTCATATCCGGAACAGTGGCGCACCCTAGCGGCAGGCCATCGAACTACGACACAGGTGCGCGCTCTAGCGGTCACCTTCGGAACTACATGGCCGCAGGGCGCTGCGACGGGTGGTGGGGGACCTCCGAAAGACCTCTCACAGACCTACCGTTTCCGACGTCCCGAAGTGCTCCCGAAAGAGACGTCCTGAAATGTAGCACGGCAGTACTTCTTTCGGATGCCTTTTTTGTTTCATAAGGTACTCCTTCCGTACTACATTTTGGGATGTACAGAGCTCCGAAATGGTAGTACGACAGTACTACTTTTGATAGTAGTTTTGTTTACGGGGGAAGGGTGGTCGTAGACTCGGCATCGACGGCGTCCTGGAGCTGGGCGTCGACTCGTCATCGACGGGGTCCTGGAGCAGGGCGTAGACTCGGGCGTAGACTCGTCATCGACGGCGTCCTGGAGCTGGGCGTCGACTCGTCATCGACGGGGTCCTGGAGCCTGGAGCAGGGCGTAGACTCGGGCGTAGACTCGTCATCGACGGCGTCCTGGAGCTAGGGGGGGGTATAGAAGGGTGGTCGTAGACTCGTCATCGACGGCGTCCTGGAGCTGGGCGTCGACTCGTCGTCGACGGCGTCCTGGAGCAGGGCGTAGACTCGTCATCGACGGCGTCCTGGAGCTGGGCGTCGACTCGTCGTCGACGGCGTCCTGGAGCTGGTGGGGCGGGGCGGGGGTGTAGAAGGGTGGTCGTAGACTCAGCATCGACGGCGTCCTGGAGCAGGGCGTCGACTCGTCATCGACGGCGTCCTAGAGCTAGAGGGGTGGGGCGGGGGTGTAGAGGGATGGTGGTAGACTCGTCATCGACGGCGTCCTGGAGCTGGGCGTCGACTCGTCATCGACGGGGTCCTGGAGCAGGGCGTAGACTCGTCATCGACGGGGTCCTGGAGCTAGAGGGGGGGGGGGTATAGAAGGGTGGTCATAGACTCGTCATCGACGGCGTCCTGGAGCTGGGTGTCGACTCGTCGTCGACGGCGTCCTGGAGCTGGGCGTAGACTCGTCGTCGACGGCGTCCTGGAGCAGCGCATCGACTCGTCGTCGACGTGAAGGAGGGTCGTCGTGCAGGGTGTGCGGGGCGTGCTGGGTCGCCGGTGGAACGTGTGACCCCACCAATAGATTGCTCCCAGAAGGGGACATCTGTTGATGGGGTCTCACGCTCAGTTCAAAACCCATTTAGCGCGTCCCTGCGGAGCTCAAGACACGTCAAGAATTTTGGCCCCCTCCACCAGACTTCTGACCCCACTGTACGACGGCTGCTGCCGGCTACCTGACCACACTGACGCGGTGCGAGTCGATGAGTATTAAACAGTCGGGCCCCGGATTCTTGAGACCGTTGCGTGTGACACGCTGCTCCACCTTGTGGAAGGAGTCTGCCAGCAGCCGCCCGCGCGCTCCCCCCGGCCGCGGCCCTGTACAGGGAGTAATTGTACCTGGTCCGGGGTCCTGACACTACCTTCGGCTCGACCCGGGCGACTCTTCAGGGCCGTGCTCCGGGTCTTCCCATCATCACGTGACGTCCGCGCTGCCTGGCCCAGCGTCCAGCGCGACAGAGCCTGCAGGCACTGGCTTGCAATTCTTCTTCGGTTGTATCAACCCATTTCTTCCCGGGCTCCTCGCCGTCTTCAACGCCTGCCGACTGTTCAAACTCCTTCGTAACTCATCACTGTTACGCAGGTGAGTTCACCCAAGAGAGCAGGCAAGAAGCGCAGTCTCTTCCACTCTCTGTTGCACAAAGAGGGTACCCGATATGGAGAAGGCGTTCGTTGGCATCTAAGTTACGCTCTGGCCTGACAAGACGAGGGGGTAACGACTGGTAAATTTCGTGTCAGCCGGATTACGGATTACCCCGGATTATCCCCAAATAACCTCCGGATTACAGCAAAGATATTCCTGGATTACCTTTAGATTTAGCAGGATTACCCCGGATTACCGCAAAATTTCGGGTCATCCGGATTACGGATTACCAACTTGCTGTCAGCCGGATCCCCGAAGTCGTTACCCCCTCGTGACAAGATCATTCTTGTCGTCGGCGAGTGACACACTAACTTCTTTTGTTCAAATTCCGAGCTGCACTCTCATTCCAGGAACGTGACGTCACGTTGAAACGAACGTGACACTATGCTCAAACGAACGTGACAAGATGTTACGTTCGTTTGAGCACGCTTATCATCTTACGTTGGTTTTCGTGCGTAATACGATGATTTTCCATCGTAAGGTACGACCAATTTCCAACCTGCATAATACGCACGAATGTCAACGTAAGGTACGCAGGATTTTCAACGTAATACGCATGTTTTCAACGTATTACGCACGTTGTCAACGTAAGGTACGTTGATTGCGATTGTAGTACGATGACATTTCAGCGTAATACGCATGTTTTGATTTCAGCGTATGTTACGTTCGCGTTACCATCGTAAGATGATAAGTGTGAGCATTGTATCACGTTACGATGTGAGCAAGCTGATTTTTGGACGACTCCCAAACAAATGTGACACAATACTCAAACGAACGTGACATTTTTGACACGTTCTTTTCAACGTGACGTCATCCCAAGGGACAGAAAATTGTCACATTGACGTCAAGTGACTTGAATTTGACCAATTTTTGTCAAGCTCAGATACAGTGACCTCAAGTGATGTCAATTTGACCTGGTACAATCCTATGCAAAACAACTTGAATTACAAGATAAAGTCCAAATTGTTTCAAGTATTTGGTTTAGAGTTAAAGGAACTCAAATGTTGAACAATTTAATAGCTGAGAGAAGATTTAGTCACGACCTCTGTTTGATGTCATCTACGAACGCATTAAGGTTGTGTTATTTTAAGCAAATGGCGCGGCAAAATCATCCGTTCAATTTTTTTCTGAACATTCAAACTTTGTCCTGCGTGTTAAGATCGCATTTATAATACCTTGATCCGAAAAGTATCTGTATTTTGGTAACTCGCTTAGTACTCATATTATCTGAATATCTAAAATTTTGCACATTTTCAAACTTGGGTTGTCTGACAAGAATTTCCAGGCAAATCATTAAGTTTCACGCTCACTCTAAAAAAATATTTATACATTACAGGCCCATACAGGCCTCAAGAATTTCAAACGACCTGCATCTTAGAATACGAGTCACAAATGTGGGGCTACATCGTGGAAGCTCCATCAAGGCTTTGAAGCGTTTGAGCCACGGGCGAAAACATTTCTTACGCCGCCCTCAAAGTAGCGCCTAGCTGGGAGAACAGTGTGGCAAGGTAGAGATAGGCACAGCCACCATGTAGCTTCGTGGCGTAGTGGTAAAGAGCGCGCCTACGGAGCCAAGGAGTCGGGTTCGAATCCCGGCTACGGCGCAGCGGCGTTCGCCATTTGACAGAGAAAGCATACAGTAGGTGATATTCACCAAGTCAGGTTTCATCGGAAGGGAGAGTTGGAGTAGGTTGCTAGTCCAAACAAATAATTTTAACACCACTTGACACAATGACATCAATTGACATCAACTTGATGTCAAAATTAACTCAGTCTGATGGTCCAGTATGATGTCATTTTGACGAACATAAATTTGACCTGAGTTTGACATCATGTGACGTCAAAGTGACAATTTTCTGTCCCTTGGGTACGTTCCTAGAATGAGAGTGTGGGCCTCGCGCAATTTTGTTCAAATGTGAACGCGATTTTGTACGAATTTTAGCGATTGCGCGTGCAAAATGTGAACGAAAAAAGTTTCCGCATGATTACGCTAGAGATACCGCGTTCATAATTGTACACCTTCACTTAAAGCGAACGTTAACAATCTCTAAACCGCAGATGGTGTCTAAGTGCATTTGATCAAATGTTGTCTGATGCGGCACTCTTTTAAAAGCATAATTGGCCATTTCAAGGAATGCCTGAACCGGAAGTTCAAGACCGAAGGAAGAACTAAAATAGCTGCGCATGCTCTTTAGTGGTTTTGGTTTGAACTTTTGTTCTTTGATTTCCAGTTTCGAGACCCGTTTTAAATATCTTATTACCCGCTCTTCGAAATTCTTTTTGGCCAAAAGTGAAGTAATCATGTTAGTCATCATTATGTCTTCCTGGAACCGGGCTAGCGACCAGCAGGTTTTGTCAAATGAGTTAAATAATTACTTGCATTTCCTCGTTCTAGGCGATTCAACAACGCTGCAGATTCTGATCACCGCACGGTCCCCTGCCACTAACCAAGTAAGTGCGCACCGACAAGTTAGTTTATTTTCTTTGGACGAGTTTCTTCGTTTGGTAAGGTTGACACTTAATTACAGGTTTTTTTGTGTGTAAGCTTTGCTTAAAATTAAGCATGTGTTTCGATATTCTCTAATAGGGTACTTTCGTAGATCCTGAACCGGAAGCAAGCAGACCAGCAGACGCCAAATTGGCCGGAAACTAACGTCTCTTCGGATCTAAAACTATAGCCGAGCTGTACAAATATTGCTCGCCAAACACATATGCACTGCAAACAAGTATCAGACGACTGTTTATGTTCAAGTGTGGCTGATACGTTTGACTAACGTCTCTTTCCCAAGTCAAGTTTGTATCTACTTCCGCCAACATGGCGTCTGTGTGCTTCCGGTTCAGGGATCTACGAAAGTACCCTGTTCTATGCGCAATAACGCACACTTTCGTGCTTAGGTACGCATAAATTCGTGCATTTCAAAACTCATGCTCAAGCTTTGCCAAACTTATGCACCAAAAGGCCATAGTAATTTGGTTGTAGCTCTATCATTTCGATGTGGATCTGAGCCTCTAAAGGATAGTTGAATGAGCTGGATGGTTGACAACCGAGCGCCATTTGGTAAACCGGATCAAGATAGGCCTAAAGCGTGGCCAAGGGGTCATATTTCTCTTATCCATTATTTATCTCCTTCCGAAGTCGCACTGAAACCTAATGGGTCGTACATTAGTTACGTAACGTACTATTGGGCACTTCTTAACCCCCTTGCCGGCCCCCATGCAAATGCCAGAACCCTACAACCCCTCTCCAATAGCGTAACATTTCTTAATTAACCCTCATTTACTGTTAGCACTTCTCAAATGTGCTCTTATATTTTATGCATTTGGGAAAGCGTTACGCTGCCGCCCCCCCCCCTCACCGTAGCGTTACGCTGGGCCAGACCCGACCCCCCTCCCCCGCACCACTGTTACGCTGACCAGATAGCCCTCATCCCCTCTCGGTGCCCAACGTCGTTAATTGGGGGACCTAAAAGGTTGCCACTCTGCAAAAGTTTCGGCGTTTTTACTTATGCTTTCACTGATATTTCTAGTGTGATAAGTTTCGACAATTCGCCCCGATAAAAAGGCTAGTGTGATTCCTTCAAATTATCGCATCTGTGGCGGCAATAAAAACAACTTTAGCACTAAAACTGCAATAAGTCTCTTAGGTTTTGGCCGGTCTGGGCGCAGATTATCACAGTTTTGGTGTGATGATAAAATGATAACTACGTTAGCGATAAATGCGCTAATGCAATACAATAATTATTGCACATAATGCAATAACTTTTTCATGGCGCTACGAATGCAATAAAAATGTTATTGCTTTTCAAATTAGTTCATTATTACACTTAGAAAGTCAGTGTTGATGCATATCCATTTGGGCGATTCCATGCCAAACCAACGATCTCTTGAAAATTCATATCTTCGATTTTGATAAAACTTTTTTAGGGGTAGGGGTCGTTATGAAAAGATCCCATGTCAAAGGGTTTTGCGATATCTCACCCCGTTTGGCTGTAATACCTTACTTAGCAAAGTTTTCACTTTGGTCAAAATCATGATATTTTCTTTACTTGTCTCCGTACTTACTGAAAGTTTTTCGATTTTTTCCGACAGTGGTTCTTCATGTAAAAAGAGCTGGGGAACACAATGGAAATAGTTTCGAAACGATTGGGTGAAGTTTTGATGTCGGTTCTTCCATTTAACGTAATTATTTCCGAAAAATCGAGGTTTCCAAAATAGCTCGTCTTCGATTTCGATGTGACTTACCTCACATGATCCTCTCACATATTTCAGTATGAGAGAAACTAGGGTAAATTTTCAAAATTGTCCAAAATGACTTTTCTATATATCAATGGATTCGTCTCGACAAGACAAAATTTATATCCTCACGGGTCATAAGCTTGGACGCAAACTCAGACAGTTGGTTCGAGAATTCAAGAAAACGCCCAAAATGATACATATTTTCTTGTGCAGAATAAAAAACTTACGGTTGGCCGACCAAATCCTTTTAGGATTTTCTTTAAACATGTGAGAGGATCATGTGAGGTAAGTCACATCGAAATCGAAGATGAGCTATTTTGAAAACCTCGATTTTTCGGAAAAAAATTACGTTAAATGGAAAAACCGACATCAAAACTTCACCCAATCGTCTCCAAACTGTTTCTATCGTGTTCCCCAGCTCTTTTTACGTAAAGAACCACTGTCGGAAAAAATCGAAAAACTTTCAGTAAGTATGGAGACAAATAAAGAAAATATCATGATTCTGACCAAAGTGAAAACTTCGCTAAGGTATTACAGCCAAACGAGGTGAGATATCCCAAAATTCTTTGACATGGGATCTTTTCATAATGACCTTTACCACTAAAAAAAGTTTCATCAAAATCGAAGAGATGAATTTCCAAGAGTTCGTTGGTTTGGCATGGAATCGCCCATTTACCCTCCTCCACCCACCACGTTTATTTGTTACGTTGTGGTATTACTTGCCAACAGTTTTCTTTTGTTTCACCCCTTAACAGACTAAATTTTTTGCTTTCTCTCTCCCGTTATTGTACAAGTTAGAGTCTAAATCGCGAAAGATTTCTGATCTTTCTGTTTTGCCGCGCCTTGGCTCTCAGTTGACTTATGGACGTAGCGTCTTATTTCTTGAATAGTAGTTTTGTGTACATCCCAAGTGGGTCACATGGGCAACCTGTTGTCTGTTTCAGTTGCTTACGTGTTCTGCATGCTGTCCATCTTCAAGGAACACAAGCCGGCCGCATTGAAAATTTTTTAGCCGATCTCCAAATTCACGTTGTCATGGCCCGTCCGGAAGAAACGTCTTTCAGATGCACAGTCTGCAATTCGTATTTCAGCCGCAGGAGTAGTCTCTTGGCCCACCTCGAAACGCACATTGAAGAGATGCAATCGGAGTGCACGGTTTGCGACCGGACGTCCAATTCAGGAAGTGCTCTCGCTACCGACTTCGGTACCCATTCAGCTATAGCTTCCGTTTGCTCAGTTTTTAACAAAGAGATCGGTAACGAACAGAATCTCAAGGCGCATCTTAAAACATGCCACAGGAGCAAGCTACTCCACAGCAAGGATTGTAAAATGGCGTTCAGTACAGGACGTGGACTTGCAAGCCATCATAAGTCCCGTCCTGCGGATAAGCTTTCCGAGTGTACTGTTTGCAACAAAGAGTTCCGCAAACGTTATCTGACCACTCATCTTCGAACCCACACAGGTGAGAAGCCATACGAGTGCTCATTTTGTGGTAAGGCATTTTCACACGATCACAGTCTGAGGATTCATGTTGCAACCCATAAAGAGGAAAAGCCGTTTGAGTGCACGATTTGCAATAAGAAGTTACGTTCCAGTTTCGCTCTCAGACTTCATTTAAGGACCCACACTGGAGTAAGGCCTTTCGAGTGCACAGTCTGCAAGAGGAGCTTTAGACAACGTCCTCATCTTGTAGCTCACCTCAGAACTCATACAGGGGAGAGGCCATACGGGTGCACCTTTTGCAACAAGAAGTTCAGTGACAAACGGAATGTCGAAGTTCATGAAAGAATTCACACGGGTGAAAAGCCCTACGAGTGCTCAGTTTGCTACAAGAAATTTAATCAGCATCCTCATCTCACCGCGCACCTTAGGTGCCATAAAGGAGAGAGGCCCTTCGAATGTTTGGTTTGCCACAAGAAGTTTCGTCAGGTGAGTGAATTTAAAATTCACGTTAGGATACATACTGGCGAGAAACCTTTCGAGTGCACAATCTGCAACATGAAATTTACTCACGGTAGCGCTCTCAAAGTCCACCTTCGAAAGCACTCACAAGAGGGCCACTTTAAGTGCGCTGTTTGCAACGTAAAATTTAGACTCAAAATCGGTCTGAAACGCCATCTTCGAGCTCACAAGTGAAAGAAGACTCTGGAGTGCATCGTTTGCAGTATAATGTTTTCTGGTGAAGTCAGTCTCAGAAGTCATCGGAAGAACGGATAGGATGTATCATTTAAAAACTTGACCTAAAAGAAACGGACGTTTGTTGTGGTTGCTTCAAATATCGGTTCAATTTTAGGCATAGTCAGACCCTTCTTTAACTAAATTGAATCATTTCAGGACTAAGTTTTGTGCAGAGTAACTAATCGGAGTAATCCCTTCGGGGAGTCTTCCTAGGCTTGGATACTGTTGAACTAACATTATGTTTCCTAGATTACATGTAAACCAAAAGCATCGCTTTAGACATTGTTTTTTGAGTAATTTCTTTTTATTAGCCTTTTGCGTTTGAAACAATCTGAACTTTTTTGTAGTATCGTTATAAGTGCAATCTTAGACATTTTATAAGCCACTTCTGTAATTCCAATAAATCATTTCAAGACAAGATTTACTAACAAATCGTTAGTTTGGCTATATTGATATTGGTTTGTACGATTAAGGGGAAGAGAGTTATGTATATTTAGACATTTTTATGTATTAAAATCGAAGTATTGAGAGCCATTGGCTTTTTCAGAGTATCGCCCTCTTTTCTTTATACATCCTTTGATTAGCAATAAAGTACTAAACTACTGGAATTGACGTTTTTTATTACATTACCAGCATTTGTTGGATGATCATACTTTATTTAAATACCGCGAACGAAACGGGGTAACTTCGGACACTTTTGAGAGTTTTTTTTTTTTTTTTGAAATTGTGAGAGTTGTGGTGTTGTCATGGACTTAAGGGTTAGAATTTTGAATTTCGGATCTGGCCACACCAGGGCAGCTCAAAATATCATAAGGCACAGGAGCCCTCAGCAAGGCTGTGAACATTAAGTTTGGAGACTTTTCACATCTCGAATTAATGCCCACAAGCTGAGTAGTCTTTATGAAAATTTTTGAATGCTTGATTAACTCAACCTGTTGGAAGAGAGACAAAATGATACATTGTACAACATCTTACACTTCAGAAGCAATAGTTGTATTTACAAGTAACAAAATATTTATTGTTACATAACTTACATCTTCAGGTGTTTCTGAGAAACAAGGCATCGTGTCAATCTTATGTCGCAAAGACTGAAGGAGCGCAGAGTCTCTTTTGAGCAAAATCAACTAAGACGGACCACTTCTTCCGGCGACCCTCTCCGATTTGCCTGATTTTTTGTAGGCTTAATAACTAACTAAAGGAGAGTCTAAAGCCAAAATATTAGGTCCGGCAAAAATTTATTGCCCGAGATATGGCCAACTTTAGTTTAACTTTTGGAGAAAAAACACGAATTTGGGTATTTTGGACGGGTAGTAAAGTACTACCGAATCTTTAATTTTCGTCCTAGAAACTCGCGGAACCTTTACATATTGCTCATTTTGGGTGCCGAACCCGATTAGGCCCGGAAAACGCCGCGATTCCAACTTCCGAATTTCGTCCAAAATGTTGCGTTTTAGTGGGGACTTAGACGTGGATAGTGGACAGTGGACATTTCAGGGTGCGACGTTGCCAGCCTGCTTTTGTTTATTTACTTCCTCGTCTTGTCACCCACCACAAATGGTGCTCATCTCGTGTTTTAGCCATTTCTAACTCACTATGCAAGAAATGCAGCTGGAGCAGCTTCAGGAAAGAACGCAATAAGTTCAAAATGATGATATTGTTATTGGTGAGCGGCAACGTCGCACTGAACCAGCGCCTTATAACCGGGAACAGACTCTCCTGAAACGTCCACTATCCACTATCCACTAAGGGCTAAGCGGATACGGGGTTAGGGGGCGTCATGTTGACAAACAACCGAGCGTCGGCACCGCGCGCCCAGCGCCATCTAGCCGCCATTGCCAGTACCACGTCCGGAGACCACAGTGTACACCTGTCAAAATGCCGAAATGTCCAGTGTTCCTACTGTGGAAAGATGTTTTGAATGATCTGGGGGATGTTTGTCATTGGGGACCGATGAAAGTGGACTACAGACGTGCATTTTGGAGTGACTTGCACTACCGCGACCGGGTACTGGTTGCTTCATTCTGCTACCAGAATGGCAGTAACCTGTCCGCTGCACTGTCCTTTTTTCGCCAAAGGGGGCAGCCAGACACTCACATCAACAAAATGATTGAACTGTATTCCTACTGGAATGACCCAGAGCAAGGATACGAACGAAGAAAGAAGTACTGGGCCTATGATATGTATCTGGGATGCTTTGCGGACTTAAATGGACAGCCGAGACCAGGACAAGAACAGTACATCATTCAATAGAAGGGCAATTTATTTGTTGGTGAGTACCCCTTACCCCCAAAGAGTCACCCTTCTATTTAGCATAAGAGAACAAGAAAAAAATTATGTAATCAGTACATATAGCTTCTTAGCAAGGATACTTCTCCTTGATTTGTTGGATCATATTATACCGCTTGGAGTAAGCATCAGGGCCATACTTCTCAATCCACATGAACTCGTCCACGTATTCAAAGAAAAACTTGCTGTTCATGACATTTTTGGTCCTGCAGTGCTTCTTGAGTTTGTTCCAATGGCCTTCAATTAAGTTCGTGCACACGCCAGTGGGGCTCTTGAAATTTTTGCTGTGATTAACAGTTTCATGCTTGTAGCCAACTCTTGACAGGCCATTGTAAGCCTTCCAGCAGTCAGTCCAAATGGTGGTCCCTGGCTTCACATGACGTTGGATCTCAGGGATCATAGTAGCACTGTCACGCTTTTCAACGTATAGGATGACACTTTGACGAGTTTGCTCATCTATCATACCGAGCACCCAAGTTGTCTTTACTCTTTTGCCTCTGATGTACTTTCTTTTCGCCACAACACTCTCATCTATTTGGACAGTATTGCCTTCACCACCTAATGTTTGTGTTTCCAGTGTCAGCAGCTTCCAGGAGCAGATGTCCCGGAAGTAGCGAAAGTATTGAATTATTGTCACTTTGCTAAAATTAGTTAGGTTTCTTGCAACCTTAACACTGGTGTGTGAGGCCCACAGCCAGAGAAGTACAAAGAAGTCTTCGAATTCAATTTTTGTTGTATCAAAGAACGTCCCATCCGTCACATTCTTAAATTTTTTGCATTTTTTACAATAAAAGGCATAGCCACCTAACAAAAAAAGCCTTGATTAAAGACTGGTCAATATTGTCACTATCGTAATTGTCATGTCTAAATACCTTTGTAGTCCTTGTTTTTGTTTAGAGTTCTTTGGGTCCTGCACTTCGAACACCTATTTAGTTTAAGGAGAAGGCCCTCCGCCTCCAGCATTTCTATTACTTCCTTTGGACTGAGTTTACTAAATAAGGCATATACATCCTTAAGGGACGTAACTTCAGCAAGCATTGTAATTTAAGTGAGGGAAGGCCGCAGTGCTGTATTTGACCTTTTGACAGGTGTAGACAGTGTGGTGTGGTCGTGGTACTGGCAATGGCGGCTAGATGGCGCTGGGCGCGCGGTGCCGACGCTCGGTTGTTTGTCAACATGACGCCCCCTAACCTTCCCACGTCTAAGTCCCCACTAAAACGCAACATTTTGGACGAAATTCGGAAGTTGGAATCGCGGCGTTTTCCGGGCCTAATCGGGTTCGGCACTCAAAATGAGCAATATGTAAAGGTTCCGCGAGTTTCTAGGACGAAAATTAAAGATTAGGTAGTACTTTACCATACCCTTTTGGACTAATTTTACATTTTTCATAGTAGAGGGCTAAAATTTGGTCACTGTATGTAAAATTGGCCAAGGAATAAGAATATGACCTCAGAATTGACCTCCGACGAACACCTGTAGAGTAAACCCCCCAAAACACCCTAAAAACACCTAAAAAAACAGTTTTTTCTTGGGGTTTCTGGGAAAAATATGTAGAAAAATATTTCTGATGATCTTATCTTGTAGAAAATGACGCGATGAATCGAATGAGACCACGCGCAGATTTTTATGTCAAACCGTTTAGGAGATATAGCGGTTCAAAGTATGCAAATTTTGCCATTTATTTTTTTAAAAATGCAGGATTTGAGCATTGTTTGACGTTCTCTGCCTTCTTGGTGTGTGTGGGTGATTGTATCTTGTGGAAAAAGACGCGCTGAATCGAACGAGACCACGCACAGAGTTGTATCTCGAACCGTTTAGGAGATATTACGGTTTAAAGTATGGGCACGGTAGTCCGCCCGCCCACCAGGCGTGTTTGGCGAGCCTGCCTTGTCGGGCGTTGTCGGGTGTTTGGAGGAGCTCTCCCGTGCCCGTTCTTTAAACCGTTATATCTCCTAAACGGTTTGAGATACAACTCTGTGCGTGGTCTCGTTCGATTCAGCGCGTCTTTGTCCACAAGATACAATCACCCACACACACCAAGAAGGCAGAGAACGTCAAACAATGCTCAAATCCTGCATTTTTAAAAAAATAAATGGCAAAATTTGCATACTTTGAACCGCTATATCTCCTAAACGGTTTGACATAAAAATCTGCGCGTGGTCTCATTCGATTCATCGCGTCATTTTCTACAAGATAAGATCATCAGAAATATTTTTCTACATATTTTTCCCAGAAACCCCAAGAAAAAACTGTTTTTTTAGGTGTTTTTAGGGTGTTTTGGGGGGTTTACTCTACAGGTGTTCGTCGGAGGTCAAATCTGAGGTCATATTCTTGTTCCTTGGCCAATTTTACAAAAAGTGACCAAATTTTAGCCCTCTACTATGAAAAGTGTAAAATTAGTCCAAAATACCCAAATTTGTGTTTTTTCTCCAAAAGTTAAACTAAGGTTGGCCATATCTCGGGCAATAAATTTTTGCCGGACCTAATATTTTGGCTTTAGACTCTCCTTTAGTTAGTTATTAAGCCTACAAAAAATCAGGCAAATCGGAAAGGGTCGCCGGAAGAAGTGGCCCGTCTTAGTTGATTTTGCTCTTTGGGATGAGTTTTAGAGCGAACCTCTGATGGTTTTGAAATAAGATTGCCTGAAAATTATTTAAGAAGTAAAACAAAGTTCGATTGAAATTTAACATAGAAGAATAGGTGAGGACACACTTACTTGGGCCTCCAGAAGCAAGAGACGCAGCAATTTGCCTCAGATGGTCCTCCCTCGCTGAGTCTTGCAGCTGCCGTTTGACTTGGCGCAAAGCTTGGAATCGAGTTGGTCAATAAAACTGCGCCCTCGTGGCCAGCCGCCACCACCACCTTCCCTTCAGTCACTCTTAATCGACCCAATGCAGCAGCAGTCCCTAAAAAAAGATAATGAAATAAACTGAAAGCACACTCTTAAGATTTAGTTATAATTTTAAACTTAAGACAGGAAGGCCTATTCATTAACTATTTACAACCTAGATTTCTGTTTTTTCTTCACTATCTCAATAAATTTACAGTCCTGTTCAAATCAACAAAAACAAAGTATATGACACAGCAACAGGTGACTAACCCCTGTGCGATCATACGTTGAAGGTGGTACTGACTCATGGTGTAAACAAATTTCTAGAAACAAAATTTACGAAACAACTCTGCTTGATAACTTACCAACCCGTAGGATTTCGCCCTTGCTTGCTTTCTGCCATGACGGCTTCTTAACAGTCAGGGGTCGGAAACGGCCTGGGGAGCCCCTGAGCCCATGCGCCCCACCGCTGCCGACGCGCCGCGCGCGGCGGAGCGCTCTGCACGGCGGTACTAAAATCGACAGAACTTTGTCAAAACTTCATCAAATCGATCAAACGAGGTCATTTTTGGATTCTGCACAAAATTTCCTATCGATTTCAAACAATGGTTTAGCGTTTCAAGTGTTGAAAACACGTTATTTTTCAATTATAAGTCAATTTTACCGGCAACCGACAGCCGACTTGATATTTCTCATTAGCTTAAAAAGTGATTTCTGTTTGTTTTAGGTCCATACATGCAGCGAGCCGATTGTTGGCCATAGTTTACCCTGTGGCGTGGTGTGTTTGGAATGTTGATACGACCTCAGGGGCGACCACAGTGATCCAAAACGTAACTTGGACATTTGGTACAAAATTGGTTTTTGCAACTTTGGAGGTTAAAAGCACAGCTTGTAAAAGCGCGTTTGTCATGTTCTATACGCCTAAGCCACCCAGAATTTTATTCTCTATCGCCCTGTGGTAAGGGTTGTGCGAAAGGAGATCAAACTTCAGATATCTCGCGAAAGTTCCGAAACACTACGAAAACGCCGTAACAGTACAAGCAAACGGGGGAGCTTAATGTAAACAAACTATAGCTCGGATTGAAAATCTGACACCACCACGTTGTAGCGCGGACAATTTTACAAGCCATAGTCTAAGCTCATCGCAATCGGACCATCGGTTTGAACGTAGCGAGCAAATCTCTTAACCCCTGTTCAGTGCGCCGCCACAGTAATTTCTCATACTGCCGCCGCTTGACCAAACCCGACGTTAAATCTGTCTTTAAGAATATATACTGCTGTTTTCAAACCGATGGTCCGATTGCGATGAGCTTAGACTATGGCTTGTAAAATTGTCCGCGCTACAACGTGGTGGTGTCAGATTTTCAATCCGAGCTATAGTTTGTTTACATTAAGCTCCCCCGTTTGCTTGTACTGTTACGGCGTTTTCGTAGTGTTTCGGAACTTTCGCGAGATATCTGAAGTTTGATCTCCTTTCGCAAAACCCTTACCACAGGGCGATAGAGAATAAAATTCTGGGTGGCTTAGGCGTATAGAACATGACAAACGCGCTTTTACAAGCTGTGCTTTTAACCTCCAAAGTTGCAAAAACCAATTTTGTACCAAATGTCCAAGTTACGTTTTGGATCACTGTGGTCGCCCCTGAGGTCGTATCAACATTCCAAACACACCACGCCACAGGGTAAACTATGGCCAACAATCGGCTCGCTGCATGTATGGACCTAAAACAAACAGAAATCACTTTTTAAGCTAATGAGAAATATCAAGTCGGCTGTCGGTTGCCGGTAAAATTGACTTATAATTGAAAAATAACGTGTTTTCAACACTTGAAACGCTAAACCATTGTTTGTAATCGATAGGAAATTTTGTGTAGAATCCAAAAATGACCTCGTTTGATCGATTTGATGAAGTTTTGACAAAGTTCTGTCGATTTTAGTACCGCCGTGCAGAGCGCTCCGCCGCGCGCGGCGCGTCGGCAGCGGTGGGGCGCATGGGCTACGGGCTCCCCAGGCCGTTTCCGACCCCTGTTAACAGTGCACACCGCACCGGCTGTGAACTGCTCCAAGCCCTCTCCCGTCATCTCCTTACGATTCACTGTAAAAAAAAATTCTGAAATTTCAGACAAAATTTGACTGAAGTTAATTAACAGTAAGGGGTTCTGAAATTTCAGACCATTTCGGCGGTCTGAAAATTTAGAATAGGGTGGTCTCAAAGTTAAGAATTGGGTGGTCTGAAAATTAAGATAAAGGTGGTCTGAATTATTAGACACGGCCAGTCTGAAGAAAATTCAGACAAAAACACAAAATTGTAACGTTGAACCTTCACTCCATTGCGAGAGAAGTCTTTGATAGAACTTGCGCGTAACTTATCGGCCGATCTCTTTACTCGGAAACTCCGAATATCTTGGTATTCGAACCATCGAATCCTCGCTCGTCGGCTTTGCGGGTTATCCATTACACCACGGGACCGCTCTGAGAGCACGGCTGCAGGATGCCGATGACTCCAAGCGCGCTCGCTGGACGCTGGGAGGCCACAAATAAACAAACAAAGCGCGTGTTGCGGGAGTTAAACTGCGGACAATTTGGGCTGTTCGTTAATATTTAAAATTCTGTATCGAGCGCTCAAATATTGCGGTTAAATTTGGTCAAATGAGGCAACCAGTCTGACATTTCAGAACAATACGTCTCCCGTTTCAGACCCATGGTCTGAAAATACACAACCAGTTTGAAATTTAAGATCAATCGGTCTTCCTTTTCAGGAGAATAGTCTGAAAAGGCGATTCAGACTACATGGTCTTGTACTTAGTCTGAATTTTCAGTCACCCCTGTCAGACTTTTTGTCTGGATGGTCTGAATTTGCTTTTAAGACTGCGAAAGTCTTAAAATTCATCCGAGGATTCTTCTTTTGAATACTTCTGGTCTTAATTCAGAAATCAGACCACCAGGTCTTACAAAATTGGTCTGAATTTTAAGATTTTTTTTAACAGTGTTAAAGAGGTCGACCGCGGATGGGTCCTCTGTATAAACTAAGGCAAATTTGCCAGCCATCGCTACATGAACGAAAAATTAAGAATTACTTAAGAAGTGGTACCAATAAGTTAAAAAATATGGTCGATAAATTTGGTTAGGAAAACTGCTAAACATTGCGTCACGAACATGGAACGGAATGGAAACCGGAAAAGGAATAAGCAAATGGAATTCAAGTTGGC